GACACCATGATTTTTTAATTTTATTTTATTTATTTCATTTATATACTGCTTTTCTCAACCCGTGGGTTCGCAACAAGTGTAAATGGTATAATTCAATGCCTCACAAAATGGAAAATACAGCACAGGACTTAAATAGCATATAACAATAGATTAAAACCAGCAAACTATAAAACATTGAACATAGACAACATAAAACAAAGAACACTGGACATTGCACCAATCCCGAAGTTATCTTGACTGCTTCATCTCACTCTCCAAATGCTTGCTTTAAAAGCTTTAAGTAGTTTCCTAAACGTCAGGAGGGAGGGGATCGATCTGATCTCACTGCGGAGGGAGTTCCACAGCCAAGGTGCCACCACCAAGAAGGCCCGGTCTTCCATCCCCGCCAACTGCACCTGCGAAGGAGGTGGGACCGAGAGCAGGGCCTCCCAAGCTGATCTTATCGCTCAAACTGGTTCATCGCTCAAACTGGTTCTTCTGATTGAAGAAATAGGGTACTCTTTGTCCAGATGGGTGGCTCAGACAGAGACACTTTTGCTTTCTGATGTTGCAGTACATACAGACCTTGTTTCAGGCACAACATTATTTCAAATATTATATAAAATTACCTCCAAGATATGTGTATAAGTGGATTATGAAACATAAATGAATTTCCTGATTAGACTCGGGACTCGTTTCCAAGCAATCCCATGACGTACGCATAGAATCATAGAATCAAAGAGTTGGAAGAGACCTCAAAATCCAAAATATTTGAAATCCAAAACACTTCTAGTCCTGAGCATTTTGGATAAAGCATCTGACCACATCTGCTTAGCTTCCAAGACGAGATGGGATTTGTTGCTGTTTGCATAGTTGTGTATTTCTGTACTAGCAGCGTCAAAACGTCATCAGCCTCCTTTGTCTCAAGGCTAGACAGGAAAGTGCCTTTAACTGGAAGGAGGCAATTGTTCTCTCCTGGTCAAAGTGGAAAGCCAGGTGTGGACTTCAGCGCTCACAGGAAGTTAGTGATGCAAGTACTCCTTCTAAGACCTACGGTAATGAAAATCCCAATGACGACTTTCGTATAACATGGCATCCTTTTTTCCCCCCTTGTAAACAATAATAACCCAATTTACTGTCCATCAGCAACATGGGCAGATCTGATCTGCAACTTGTTGACTTGTTGACAGGAAACAACTCCTCTGCTTCCTGCTGGATTGCCATTTCCATCTTCAAGATCATGCAACTCTGCTGCATGGATACTGCTCACATTCCTCTAATGAGGTGTTTTGCTCTTAATTACAGATATAAAGGCACAATTATTTTGTCCTAGCACACAAGTCATTGTAATTTTAGTAGTTTTCCTCTCACAGAAGGGAGGAAAATAAATACCTTTGCACCATTTTCTCTGTTCTCCGAAGTGCTCCAGAGGGTTTTTCTGGATAGAAATTTTATGAGGTTTTGCGCAAAACCCAGGACCCTTCCACACAGCCAAATAACCCAGAATCCAGTATGCTGATGACAACGTCGTCTGTGCGCATTCAGAAGAAGATCTACAAGCCACTCTAAACACCTTTGCAGAAGCATACGAGAAGCTTGCCTGTCATTGAACATTGAGAAAACCAAAGTGCTCTTCCAGCAGTCCCCAGCCAACCCCTTTCCAATGCCAGAGATACAGCTTAATGGTGTAACATTAGAAAATGTTGACCATTTCCGCTACCTTGGCTGCCACCTCTCCACCAAAGTCAACATCGACACCGAAATACAACACTGCCTGAGCTCTGCGAGTGCAGCATTTTCCCAAATGAAGCGGAGAGTGTTTGAGGACCGGGACATCCGTAGGGATACCAAGGTGCTTGTCTATAAAGCTATTGTCCTCCCAACCCTGCTATATGCCTGCGAAACGTGGATTGTCTACAGACGTCACATGCAACTCCTGGAACGATTCCATCAGTGCTGCCTCCGGAAAATCCTGCTAATCTCTTGGGAAGACAAGCGGACAAGTGTCAGCGTGCTGGAAGAAGCAAAGACCACCAGCATTGAAGCGATGGTCCTCCGCCATCAACTCCGCTGGACCGACCACGTTGTCCGGATGCCCGATCATCGTCTCCCAAAGCAGTTGCTCTACTCCGAACTCAAGAATGGAAAACGCAATGTTGGTGGATAGGAAAAGAGATTTAAAGATGGGCTCGAAGCCAACCTTAAAAACTCTGGCATAGACACTGAGAACTGGGAAGCCCTGGCCCTTGATCGCTTCAGCTGGAGGTCAGCTGTGACCAGCAGTGCTGCAGAATTTGAAGAGGCACGAATGGAGGGTGAAAAAGAGAAACGTGCCAAGAGGAAGGCGCATCAAGCCAACCCCGACCAAGACTGCCTTCCACCTGGAAACCAATGCCCTCACTGTGGAAGAAGATGCAGATCAAGAATAGGGCTCCACAGCCACCTACAGACTCACAAGACTTCTGATCCTGGAAGACTATCCTACTCGTCCTACGAGGGATCGCCTAAGTAAAGTAAATAACCCAGAATCTCAAGGCAGCCCCTGGTGGTGCAGTGGGTTAAACTGCTGAGCTGCTGAACTTGTTGACCGAAAGGTCGCTGTTTCAGATCGGGGGAGCAGAGTGAGCTCCCGCTGTTAGGCCCAGCTTCTGCCAACCTATTTGTTTATTTACTTACTGTATTTGTATACCGCCCTTTTCAGCCCTCAGGCAACTCTAGGTGGTTTACAATGGTAATGATTCGATGCCCAAAAACACCATAAAATATTTAAAAACATTAACACATAATATAAAACCATAACAAGAATATTAAAACATAGATCATTTGCGTATCTTAATAAAAAACATTGTCCCATCTCGTCATCCAGTCGTTCCTATGTCTTTTACCTTGCATTTTCAAATGCTTGCTCAAACAACCAAGTCTTGACTCTTTTCTGAAATGTTAAGAGGGAGGGGGCCGATCTAATGTCCCCAGGAAGGGCGTTCCATAGCCGAGGGGCCACCACTGAGAAGACCCTGTCTCTTGTCCCCACCAAATGTGTTTGTGATGCGGGCTGGATCGAGAGCAGGGCCTCCCCGGATGATCTTAAAGTACTAGCAGCTTCATAAGGAAACATGCGTTCAGACAGGTAAGTTGGGCCAGAACCTAGCAGTTCGAAAACATGCAAATGTGAGTAGATCAGTAGGTACCACTCTGGTGGGAAGGTAACGGTGCTCCATGCAGTCATGCCAGCCACATGACCTTGGAGGCGCCTATAGGTAATGCCGGCTCTTCGGCTTAGAAATGGAGATGATCACCAACCCCCAGAGTCCGACATGACTGGACTTAATGTCAGGGGAAAAACTTTACCTACCTTTATGCTTTGAATTGAATTATCTGAGTCCACACTGCTATTATATTCCAGTTCAAAGCAGAAAATGTGGGATATTATTCAGAGGTGTGGAAGGGGCCCCGCTGTTCCTACAGGAGAACATTGCTGCTCAGGGTTGGACATTTGTTTTTGTTTTTTGTGAAACAAAATGGTATATTTCTCCATGCAGAAACACCTTAGGTCATTCAGATATTAGGAAAAAGCGGCACGTAAGCCTTTTTCCTATTATCCTCCCTGACTTGATTTCTTGACGATTGTGAAACTCATTTTTCAGTTGGAAAAGGAATAATAGTGAAGATTATTCCCATCCCTATCCTTCGTATTGGGTTATTACGGAACATAAAAAATATCTATTTTAGAAAGGGTCTATTCTAGCGGATTTCGTATAACGACTTTAGGAGCCGCGGTGCCACAAACTGCTGACCTGAAGGTTGGCTGAACTGCTCCTCCAGTTCCTGTCAACTTAGCAGTTCGAAAACATAAAATGTGAGTTGATAAAAAGGTACAACTTCAGTGGGAAAAAGCAAAGAGACACTCCAAGCAATCTCGCTGGCACACAATCAGAAGATGACAACGCAGGCTTGAAAAATTGAGAGCATCTGTATGTATTACTACAGATGCAATTGGACTGTAACTCACGGCACTCCTCAACATTTACTATATTACCTGATGGGATTTGTAGTCTAAGTGTCACCCAGCTCTGTTTTGGAGTGACATGAGAAAGGTCATGGCAGAAGATTTCTCCACGATGCTGAAAGTTAGGGCAAAACTTGGGAATGTATCTATATAAATAAAAATGTAATGTTCTTTTGTGGGATTAACATAACTCAAAAACCACTAGATGAATTGACACAAAATTTGGACACTATACCCCTAACAGACCTTCGAGTGACCATCACTCATAACCCGTAAAACAGTGGAAAGGACTTAAAAACCCAAAAAAAGCTAAATGACAATACAGAAAAAAGGAAGGAAGGAAAGGTAGAAAGAAGAAAGAAAGAAAGAAAGAAAGAAAGAAAGAAAGAAAGAAAGAAAGAAAGAAGAAAGAAAGAAAGAAAGAAAGAAAGAAAGAAAGAGAGGGAAAGAAAGAAGGAAAGAGAGAAGGAAGCATGGAAGCAAAGAGTGAAAGAAGGAAGGAAAAAGGTAGAGAAAGAAGAAAGGGGAGCAAGCATTAATGTCAGCTTCGCCCATGGGGTTGCAAAATTATTTTAATTTGCAAACATTATACGGTTTCTTGAACTGGCAGGTCCAACCTGGTCCGTTTTCCTTCTGATCCAGGAAGCTCAGCTTTGTGGGAAAGAACCATAATTACACTTCCCAAAGGAAGAGTAGGACAAGCCTGTGTTTGTAAAAGTGAGAGGAAAGGGGATCAGGTGCACACCAAAGGGAGCGAAGATGGGCAAAAACAGCAGGTGTGCACCTGATCCCCTTTCCTCTCACTTCAGTGCCAAGTCTGCCAATATTTCAGGACCAATTTTCTGCCTCTTTGGGCTTTCGGCAGCTCCATTTACCACTGTCCACCCACCCGGTAATGAGAAGTCAACCTGAGAAGTCTTTAGTGATGGAAATTACATGCCGGAGAGTCTAAATCTCTTTAATTTCCATCCGGATGGGCGAGAGGCTCCCTGCAAAGCACGTCAACAGGCTTTGCCTGATCCATTTCCAGAAGCTGCTTTAGGAGCCAGCTGTCGGCTGGCAGACATCTCCGCTGGCCTCCTGTTTGGACATTAAAAGAGCCACTAAAGACAGTGGAGTGGACAAACAGGCCAAAGGGCCAAGTAAACAAACATAACTTCCCTAATTTAAAAAATAGAGTAGGATAAAACTTCAAGCAGGACAAAAGGTCCAGCTTTTTCTCTCAGATTTATTTCCTTTTTCCCTTTGTCAACTGTCACCCTATACCAAGCAAGGGCAAACTTGGGCCTTCCTCCAGGTGTTTTGGACTTCAACTCCCACAATTCCTAACAGCCTACCGGCTGTTAGGAATTGTGGGAGTTGAAGTCCAAAACACCTGGAGGAAGAGCCAAGTTTGCCCATGCCTGGGCTAGTGAATGACTTTCAATATTCCGTTGGCTTTGTGCATTAATTATGCCCCGTCTCTTGTCCAGGGAGGAGTTCGTGAGAGATGACCAGTCATCAGAGCTGACCTCTTTGGATCCCGTCCGGCAAGCGGCTGTCCTGGAGGACTGCGCAGACCAGCTGACCGTCCTGGGCTGCATCATGCCAGAGAACTATGAGGGCAGGAAGGACATCTGCAACGTAAGCAATGTTTTCACTTGAGAAGGGGAACCAAGAGCGTATGTCCTTCCGTAGTTTGAGTTGGATTGTCATCCAGGATCGATGCACTGGTGGTGGGTCCGTAGGTGACTTTGGAGCCCTATTCTTGACCTGCATGTTCTCCCGCAGTGAAGGCATTGGTTTCCAGGTCAGGGTTGGCTTGATGAACCTTCCTCTTAGCACGTTTCTCTCTTTCGCCCTCCATTCATGCGTTTTCAAATTCTACAGCACTGCTGGTCACAGCTGACCTCCAGCTGGAGCGCTCAAGGGCCAGGGCTTCCCAGTTCTCAGTGTCTATGCCAGAGTTTTTAAGGTTGGCTTTGAGCCCATTTTTCAATCTCTTTTTCTGCCCACCATCATTCTGTTTTCCATTCTTGAGTTCTGGTATTCGCCAGCAGACTCCTACCCCAGTACTAATCAGGTCTAACCCTGCTTAGCTTCCAACATCAGACAAAATCTGTTGTCTTCAGATATTTAAGCAACGAAGGCTGTACTTACACTCCATCTGGAAGATATAGATTTTTCCTAAACGGTAATATGGGCTGTTTTTATGAAATGTAATAGATTTCTTTAATGTTTTATTGTGTTTATTTATCTTCTTAATTCTATTTTAATATTTATATGTGTTAGGTTGCAATTCACACATTGTTATAGTTTCTATTTTTAGCTGCGATGAGAAAAAGTGAGTAAAAATAGAAGAAGAAGCTGTGCTATTTTTGCTACGACCCCAACCACATATGTAGTGCTGGCATTCAACGTTTCGAAAGGCAGTCCCCTTGCTTGAAATGCCACTGCCATGTTTCTTCAGCCTCAGTATGGTCTCTAATGGTCTGTAGTGGGTTATACTGGGCCCATAACTGCTGCTGGGTAAATGAGTTTATTAACAAAAGACCCTCTACATAAATGTACTTATAAACAGCAGCGTGACCCAGAACCAGTAGCCTAAAGTGATAAAAAGAACAAAAAACACAGAGACCAATGTTATCTCTTCCTTAGAAGGCTTTTCTTTATAGCAAAATAATACGGTTGCAGTATTTACAAGAACACGGTTTCCATAACACAAAGTTCTTTATACTTCCTTCTTTGCTTCCACGCTGGGCTTCTTTCTCATGCAGATAAATAGCTTCTCTCTCACAGGGCCTCTTCTCACACTGAATGTTGGGAATCAACCTGTGTTTGTGTTCCAAGATCATGCTGCTTCTGATGTGAGAAATGATGAGGGAAATGATGGGGCCAAGCAAGATGGAGACGGTTTGGTCAATGATTTTCATACAGACAATGACAGAGAGGCCCCAGTGCAAAGGGCAGATTCTCATGAGAATATTCCTGCTGGGCCTAGGGATGATGGTTCACTCCCTCTTTCTGTGAGCTCTCAAGATTTGGGTTTGGAAAACAATCTGACACCTGGAAATTTTTATGACCAGCCAGATAGGGAGTTGAAGAATAGGCGGCTGAAGATCAGCCGGGATCGACAGCAAACTCAGTGTTTACGTCGCTCTGAAAGGCTTCGTCTGATAAGGGACAAGTGTGGGGGAAAGTGAAACCAGTTTCTGGGATTTGGGATATAAGGTTTGCTTCAAGGGAAAACCTGTTAGATCTGGCATTGTTTGGGATCCAAGTTCATGTGCCATGGAAATCCTGTCCAAAGGGTCTTGTTCCTGTGACGATTTCTAGCCTTTTGGATTCTTTGCATCCTGTTGATTTCTGTCTGGATAAGCACTGTTGTGGATAGCTTTTATATCTTGTGTGGACATTGCTTTGTGTTGCTGCCTTTTATTGACTTGTTACTTTTTGGAACCTTCTTATTTTCCTTAGAAGCATTTATTTCTACTGGCTATTTTACTAAGCTTCAATAAAAGAGGATTTGTTTCTTCACTCATCGCCTGGTGTGTTTTAAAGTCAGAGGGCTTCTTCCTGACCTGGAGTGTAACTTACATAGGAGTTTCACGCAGTAGCTTTACACACAGCAGCCTTCACACTGGAGCTTCACACATGAGGGCCTTCCTCATACTGAGGCTGACTAACACTGAGGCCTACCTCACACTGCGGCCTTTCTCCCACTGAAGACTTCTCTCACTGAGGCTCTCAGACTGAGGCCTTTCTTCCACTGAGATGAACTAACACTGAGGCCTCTTCATACTGAGGCCTACCAACACACTGAGGCCTCTTTCATTGAGATCTGCTGAGGGCTCCCTCAAACTGAGGGCTACTAAGCTACAGGCAAACCTGCTTATATTGAACTGCAGCTTTTGCTGAGTCATTTTACCCTTTTAGTGCTTGACTCACATTTTTATAATTAAAAATAGCTAGTTAATATTTAATATTTATGACAATCCTAACAATTGTTGAGATCTTTCAGGCTGGTGGGAATGACATTTCAGCAACATTTAGACGTCTACACATTCCACACCCCTAGACCCATCATTGCTATTCAACTGTGTCTGGTAACATGTATGGTATAGTGGTTTGAGCACGGCACTCTTTCCCTGTTTCCCACTAGTTCCCAAGAGTTCTTTGCTCCTTGTTGTTGTCTTTCCTGTTCAGCTCGATCACCAGGAGATCAGGGCCATTCTTGAGACCCAGAAGGAGCTGAGCACTCAATACAAGGACCTGATGGAGGCCAGGTCAGAAAGCCAAGCCAAAGTCCCTATTGAGCTGGGCAAGATCATGGACCTCGGGCGACAGCTAGAGGAAACCAGCAGTGACCTGAAGAGGTCCAACCACTTGTTCAACATGGCCACGAAGCAAAGTGCCCTGTCTGCAGACAACCTCAAGAAGGCCCAAGCAGACAGGTAAGGCCCAGAGGCGTCGGCGTGTTGTTATAAATCTCTGCTGTGGAGTTAGGAAGTGGAGTCAGGGAAATCCCAAAAGATCATCTGCTAGATCTCCATCCCACAGCCCCATGGGAACTCCTAAGCTATCTCAGATGTGTGTGGTGCTGCTGATTTCAATGGAAAACCATTGGTATAGGGCAGGCATTTGCAAACGTCAACCCTCCAAGTGGTTTGGACTTCAACTCCTACATTTCCTAACAGCCGGTGGGAGTTGAAGTCCAAAACATCTGGAGGGTGGAAGTCTGCCTTTGTCTGGTATGGGGTTTTAGGTAGATAATGCAATGTTAGATAGAAATGCATTGTCTGTAAGCTCATTGTGCATTACTGCTGGGAAAATACAGTTCCAATAGACATGTAATCACACACACATCCACTGAAGGATTAAGCAAGTAGTGATGTGGAACTAGATGGGCAGGAAAAGAAGCTGAGGTATGACTATATGACAGGTATCCTTTTGCTGAAGCTATTTTTATTCTTCAATAAACTGCTTGGTTATACAAAACTCTGGTGTGTGGCATTGGTTCAGAAGTGCTTTCCCAGCCCTGGTGTGCAACACCCGCTATGCCATTGCGTGTGGCCCTCCTTCCAGATGCTGAACTCCAACTCCTGCATTCCTCACCATTGGGCATCATGACTAGAGTGCATGGGAGTAGTGATACATTCACATCTGGAAGGCTGTAGTTTGTTCTATTGAATCAGTAGAGTGAGGTTTGAACTTAGACAGAAGGCTTGCAGATAGGATGCCTGACTTTAAAAGGTCTCTTAACCTCTCCCCAACCTCAGAGCCCCAAGGGCTGTTGGGTTACAATCCCATTATCCCCAGTCTGCATGGTGGCTGCTTCAAGACTCCTTTGTAGAGAGAAAAAGTGAGTCAGAAATGATTCAGCTTTTCCTTGCTTCTGGTCTCAAGCTTGGGAAGCGTTTTAAACCAGACTGGATTGATTTCCTGTCTTTCCTCTCCCCTCGTTTCTGGTCTCAAGCCTGGGAAGCGTTTTAAACCAGACTGGATGGATTTCCTGCCTTTCCTCTCCCCTCGCTTCTGGTCTCAAGCCTGGGAAGCATTTTAAACCAGACTGGATGGATTTCCTGCCTTTCCTCTCCCCTCGCTTCTGGTCTCAAGCCTGGGAAGCATTTTAAACCAGACTGGATGGATTTTCTGCCTTTCCTCTCCCCTCGCTTCTGGTCTCAAGCCTGGGAAGCGTTTTAAACCAGACTGGATGGATTTCCTGCCTTTCCTCTCCCCTCGCTTCTGGTCTCAAGCCTGGGAAGCATTTTAAACCAGACTGGATGGATTTCCTGCCTTTCCTCTCCCCTCGCTTCTGGTCTCAAGCCTGGGAAGCATTTTAAACCAGACTGGATGGATTTCCTGCCTTTCCTCTCCCCTCGCTTCTGGTCTCAAGCCTGGGAAGCATTTTAAACCAGACTGGATTGATTTCCTGCCTTTCCTCTCCCCTCGCTTCTGGTCTCAAGCCTGGGAAGCATTTTAAACCAGATTGGATGAATTTCCTGCCTTTCCTCTCCCCTCGCTTCTGGTCTCAAGCCTGGGAAGCATTTTAAACCAGACTGGATTAATTTCCTGTCTTTCCTCTCCCCTCATATCTGGTCTCAAGCCTGGGAAGCGTTTTAAACCAGACTGGATGAATTTCCTGCCTTTCCTCTCCCCTCATATCTGGTCTCAAGCCTGGGAAGCATTTTAAACCAGACTGGATGATTTCCTCCCTTTGCTTCCCCCCCCCCCCCGCTTCTGGAGTCAAACAACTACTTTCAAAGTAAAGACCACCCAATGAAAAAAGAAATAACACTTTCAAACCATTAAGGAAGGATTTGGAAGTCTCAGAAGTTTTGAAAAGTTTGAAAAAAAAATCTGTGAAAATCGGACTTCCGAATCAAACCACCAGCACCCCCTACATCCGAAACGAGTTTTGAACCTTTTTTTTTAATCAAACAAACCTACTGAGCAGCCCTGTCTGTTTCTGAGGTGCTACACCCCTGATTTCTCTCTTCCTCTCCTTCCTTGGCAGGCAATGGGCTCAGGATGTGATTTCGGCAACGATGGACGAACTGCTGACGCTGGGAACCTTCACCAACCTGCAGCACGCCGTGGATGTTGAAAAAGCCAAGAAGGAGGATATCCATAACCTTATCATGAGGTGAGAGGGGGCAAGAAGAAGTGGCCTGGTCAGACCGTGTAATCTTGTTGATTCTGACATACATTCATTCTTCAGAACCTTTTGCAGAGGCACCTTCCTCAGCCATTTTTACCTGTGTATCTCTTTATAAAAAGTGTAAAAGGGCCTAAATGCTTCCTCTTCCACATCAAAAGATCACATTTTGCAGCACCTAACGGTTGCCTGCTCCAACCCCTTTCTGATGCAGGCGTCGATTGCCATTGGTTCCAGCACAGCTTCTATCATTAAAAGCGACATATTTTGCATCCTTAAATATGCAGTTTGTGCTGGTACAGCTCTACCAGAAGCTCCCACTTTATTTGCCTTGTATTAAATGAATTGCTTGCAGTCCGAGGCTTGGGATTAACAGGGAGGCTTCCTGTTAAAGTTTGCAGTTATAGGGCAGACCACCTGTCCATCATCATTAGGTTCCTTAGTTCCACCCCATTTTAGGTTTTGGAGGGAAGGGAGCCATTTTCAGTCAGTCACACACAAGAAAGCTAGTCTATAGGACGCAGACAGCTTGTCCCGTAGGAAAAGCTTCATTCCTCAATATCATCCGGGAATCATCCAGGCACCATTCGGTCATCATCTGGGAATCATTCAGGGAAATAGAAGCAGAAAGAAGAGATCCCAAAGGCTCTGGCTGAGAGTTCACAGCCTCTCAGCCTCACAGCACCAGAGGGAAAAACAGCCCTGAAGTTACCACAGGACAGCATTACAGAACCACAGAATTCCAGCTGGAATATCTTCAAGCCTTGGCTGGTAGGTTTATTTGATGCCCAGATGCATTTGGGATCGGTAATAAGACCCAGACCAGTGGGGCCCAGATGATAGCCTGGGAGAGATTATAAAGGGCTCTTCCTCATGCTGAGAGAGTACAGTTAATCCAAGTCAATGCCAGTCTCTTAAAGACTAGAATAAGAAAGCCTTGAAGTGTTGTTTGAAGATTTGTTCTTTAATAAAGACTTTGTTGTACCATTAAAGACTCCAAAGACCATCACTTCCGGAAATCCCTAAGAATCTCTCTTTGAGGCACCCTGGCTTCCCACTGGGTTCAAAGTATACGTCCTATAGAATAAAGACAATTTGTTCAGACCCAGTGCGCGACAGAACACAGTTGATCCACAGCCAATTAGAGCTCATTAGTAGGCACCTACTTTTGGGTTTTGAGGGGGGGGGTATGTATTTATTTTATGTTTATATTTCCTTTGGTTTTATAATGATGGGAGATGATCCTGCTGCTCCGGCCACAAAGCAAGTCTTTGGCTAGCTCAGTAGGTGGATTTTGCTTGCCTTGAGACCACAAGGCCTTTTGCAGGCTGAGTGAAGGATTTTCCTGCTTCTTGGCAGTGGGTTGGACTGGATGGTCCATGAGGTCTCTTCAAGCTCTATAGAATCATAGAATCACAGAGTTGGAAGAGACCTCATGGGCCATCCAGTCCAACCCCATTCTGCCAAGGAGCAGGAAATTCTATGAAAGGCTGAAGCGTCAACAGCATCCTGCCTTGTTCAATTTGGAGAGACTGTGGGACGTTTCTCTTCCCTTCTAGTGAGATGCTGGGAAGGAAGAAGATCAAGAGCCTCCAGAAGCAGCTCAACGACATCATGAAGGAGAAGGAGTATGAGATGCATGTGAGCTTGGGACCACGCCAAACGCCCCTCATTTCATTCTGCTGAACTGAGAATGAATGCGGAAACTGCCCATTTGGGAACCCAACAAAAAAGTGCAAAAGGCTACTGAAGTGTTCACGGGGCTCTCATTGTTCTTGGGGTGGAATAAAAGAACTGTATCCGGAAAGGACCTTGAGGGCATCTAGTCCAACCCCTGCCCAAAGTTCTGCGTACATTAGAAAGCAGCATCTAGTTTTGCTGCACAGCCTGTCCTGCAGCAGCTTCAGAAACAGCCAGCCTTCCTCCTTTTAAAGCTATTTCATTTGTCGTGTCAGGGCAACCAGTCAATTGTATTACATTTCTAACAGAACAAAACAAACAAACAGACAAAACACAAATTTTGCAAGTTTGGTAGTTGATTAAATGTCCTTTGACCAGTATCTGGCCACTTGGAGTGCTTCTGGTGTTGCTGCAAGAAGGTCCTCCATTGTGCATGTGGCAGGGCTCAGGTGGCATTGCAGCAGGTGGTCAGTGGTTTGCTCTTCTCCACACTCGCATGTCGTGGATTCCACTTTGTGGCCCCATTTCTTAAGGTTGGCTCTGCATCACGTGGTGCCATAGCGCAGTCTGTTCAGCGCCTTCCAAGTTGCCCAGTCTTCTGTATGCCCAGGGGGGAGTCTCTCATTTGATATCAGCCATTGGTTGAGGTTCTGGGTTTGAGCCTGCCACTTTTGGACTCTCGCTTGCTGAGGTGTTCCAGCGAGTGTCTCTGTAGATCTTAGAAAACTATTTCTAGATTTAAGTCGTTGACGTGCTGGCTGATACCCAAACAAGGGATGAGTTGGAGATGTCTCTGCCTTGGTCCTTTCACTATTGGCTGCTACTTCCTGACGGATGTCAGGTGGTACAATACCGGCTAAGCAGTGTAATTTCTCCCTTTTAAAGCTGAAAACAACTGAAAATAATTTTAAAATTAGGAGTTAGAGCAGTCATGGGCAAACTTTTTAACTTGGAGACCGAATGGCAGACCAAAGCGGAATGAGTGGGCCTGGAGGGAGAGGGTTTTCCCCAAGTCCCATCCCTACCCTTTCCTCCCCTTCCAGAGGCAGAAAGTGAAAGACAGACGGGAAACGTTTGGGTCCCAAAAGAATTTGTCTTGGTCAGGATGAGATGGTGGATGGGAGAGGAAAAGTGTATCCATTAAACCCCATATTGCCTGCTCCCGATATAGAATTCTAGAATCCTAGAGCTGGAGGAGATCCCCAAGGGCCATCCAGTCCAACCCCCTGCCATGCAAGAAGGCAAAATCAAAGCACTCCCAATAGACAGCCTTTGCGGAAAAGCCTCCAGAGGAGACTCTACCACACTCCGAGGCAGCCTAGGCCACTCTCCAACAGCTCTTACTCTCAGGAAGTTCTTCCTAATCCTTTCAGTTGAATCTTTGCCATTTGAAACCATGGTTCCCTTGTGCCCTGGTCTCTAGGGCAGCAGAAAGTCAGTTTTCCTCCTCCTCAATGGGACACCCTTTCAAATCTTGAAACATGGTTATGTTCCCTTTCAACAGTCTCTTCTCCCAGGAGGAAAGGAGGAAGGAAAAAGGGAAGGAAGAAAATGATGAAGCGAAGGATGGATGGAAGGAAGGAAGGAAGGAAGGAAGGAAGGAAGAAGGAAGGAAGGAAGGAAGGGGGAAGGAAAGGAGGGAGGAGAAGGAAAGAGAGAAGGAAAGACAGGGAGGAAGAAGGAGGAAGGAAAAGAGAGAGAGGGAAGGAGGGAGGAAAGAGGGAAGGAAGAAGGATGAAAGGGGGAGGAGAAAGAGGGAGGAAGGGAGGGGAAGAGGAGGAAGGGAAAGGAAGGAAGAAAAGATGAAGAGAAGAAAGAAGAGTCAAAGGGGGAGGGAGGGAGAAAGAGAAAAGAAGAAGAGAAAAGAAGGAAGGAAGGAAGGAAGGAAAGAGAAAGGAAGGAGGGAAAGAGGGAAGGAAGGAGAAAGGAAGAGAAAGAGGGAGAAGGAAGGGAGGGAATGAGGAGGAAGGAAGGGGAAGGAGAGAGGAAGAAGGAAGTGAAGGAGAAAGAGGGAGGTAAGGAGGAAGGAAGGAGGAAGGAAAGGGAAAGGAGGGAAGGAGGGAGGAAAGAGGGAAGGAAAGACTAAATGGTGGAAGGAGAAAGAGGGAGGGAAGGAAGGGAGGGAAGGAGGAAGGAAAGGGAAAGAGGGAAGGAGGGAGGAAAGAGGGAAGGACGAAATGGTGGAAGGAGAAAGAGGGAGGGAAGGAAGGGAGAGAAGGAGGAAGGAAAGGGAAAGAGGGAAGGAGGGAGGAAAGAGGGAGGAAGGAGAAAGAGGGAGAGAAGGGAGGAAGGAGAAAGGGAAAGAGGGAAGGAGGGAGGAAAGAGGGAAGGAAGGATGAAAGAGGGGGAGAAGAGGGAGGAAGGAAGGGAGGTAAGGAGGAAGGAAAGGGAAAAGGAAGGAAGGAGAGGCTGGTGAGAGAAAGGAGGGCCTGAGGAAAGAGCCCAAGGGGGCGCATCCAGCCCCTGGGCATGGGTTTGTCCATACCTGGGTTAGAGGCACAGGATCCTTGTGGAAGTGCAAAAATGGCACAATCCAGATATAGATTTTCTGCTTGTGAGACTCCCTTAGGAAAACACTAACTTGCCAGGGACTTCTGACATTCAGGAAAACAATTCCTCCGCCATTTTTAATAATAGTCTTACCTGCCCCTCACTCCTGTCCCTCGCTCTGATTCCACAGAACCGGAATGAGATGATTACGTACCTCAAAGACCAGCTGCAAGAGATGAAGGCCAAGACGGAGATGGAGTACCGCTACGTCAAGAAGGACAGGGGGCTCCAGGTGGCCCAAGTGCAGAAGAAATGCGCCAATGCCGAGAACGACTTGCAGAATGAGATTGACGTAAGCCCCAGGAATATAGTATGTTATGCCCTTCAGATATATACAGCCAGTCCCTGACTTACAAACATCCGACTTACAAAGGACTCCTAGTTAAGGATGGGGCTGAGACAACAGGAAGTGAGAGACATCTCCCCCTCGGATGGAGAGGAAATCCACTCCTGGAAGAGTTATTATCATGGGTAAAAAGTGTTTCAGTTGAAGCTTTCTCTCCCATTCTTGTTTCCACAACAAGCCATTTTTTTCAATATCTAGTTCTCACAGTGACAGAAAGTGTGGGGAAACCCTCTGAACAGGGGCACAGACAGTAAGGAAACACCATTGGGGTGTTAACCCTTCCCTATGCTATCCAACACTGAAATACATATATATTTGGATGGAGTTGCACTTAAAAATGTAGCTGCTCTGATTTACAAAGGTTACTTCTGGGTTCAAAAGGACCTGGTGGGCTTTAAACCATGGCAAAATGCCCCCTAAATCCTAGAGGGCATTTCAAGGCTATTTATGTTTGTTTGTCGTGTCAGAGCAACCAGTCAATTATATTACATTTCTAACAGAACAAAGCAAACAAACAGACAAAATACAAAATTTGTGAGTTTGGTAGTTGATTAAATGTCCTTTGACCAGTATCTGGCCACTTGGAGTGCTCTGGTGTTGCTGCAAGAAGGTCCTCCATTGTGCATGTGGCAGGGCTCAGGTTGCATTGCAGCAGGTGGTCAGTGGTTTGCTCTTCTCCACACTCGCATGTCGTGGATTCCACTTTGTAGCCCCATTTCTAGGTTGGCTCTGCATCTCGTGGTGCCAGAGCGCAGTCTGTTCAGCGTCTTCCAAGTCGCCCAGTCTTCTGTGTGCCCAGGGGGGAGTCTCTCATTTGGTATCAGCCATGGATTGAGGTTCTGGGTTTGAGCCTGCCACTTTTGGACTCTCGCTTGCTGAGGTGTTCCAGCGAGTGTCTCTGTAGATCTTAGAAAACTATTTCTAGATTTAAGTCGTTGACGTGCTGGCTGATACCCAAACAGAGGATGAGTTGGAGATGTCTCTGCCTTGGTCCTTTCACTATTGGCTGCTACTTCCCGGCTGATGTCAGGTGGTGCAATACCGCTAGACAGTGTAATTTCTCCAGCGGTGTAGGGCGCAGACACCCCGTGATAATGCGGCATGTCTCATTAAGAGCCACATCCACTGTTTTAGCGTGGTGAGATGTGTTCCACACTGGGCATGCATACTCAGCAGCAGAGTAGCACAGCGCAAGGGCAGATGTCTTCACTGTATCTGGTTGTGATCCCCAGGTTGTGCCAGTCAGCTTTCGTATGATATTGTTTCTAGCACCCACTTTTTGCTTCATGTTCTGGCAGTGCTTCTTGTAGGTCAGAGCACGGTCCATACTTATATGTGTTTTGGGAGATGCAGCTCTCCAAAGTCTTCTAAGGGGTTACTGTGCCTTGCTAGCTTTTCTCTTCTGTTGGCCCTTCATTAAAGAGCTGTACCTTCAATAACCATTTTTGAATGGTCAGTCTTCTTAGTTTAGTACATGCCTGTTGAAGGTTGTCAGGAGACTGGGCTTGTAAGGCTCCAGCCAATCACTTCCACACCAGAGAGTTGTTTTAGGGTCTCACAATTGGCAATTCTTTGCACTGAACCCCCAAACAATTGCCAATTCTGGAGAGCAACCTCTTAGACCCCCTGCAGGCAGCCTCCCATGTTTCAAATCAGGCAATTACTATCAAAAGACAGACAAGAGCAACAGACTATAATCAATATCTGAAGACTGCTCATGAGAGCTTCCAAGACATCATACGGTTCAACGGTGGGCCGCGTCTAGAATGTGTGTGTATGTGATGAATGGGTGCCGTACAGTCTCCAAAGTGTTCCCAGCTATTTTGCCTCTGGCAAGGTGAAGTCTGAGTGTCGATTAAATAAAAGTCCATATAATTGAGTGATACAAGTTACACGTCCTTCTGGGTCTCTGCTATCTTCGTCCTTGCTGCATTCAGCAGGGGAGATGTAACATCTTACGCAGGACACTTCCCTTTGCTTTATCACAAATTGAGAAAAGCAATAAAGAGCCCCCGGTGGCGCAGTGGGTTAAATCCATGCCAGCAGGACTGAAGACCGACAGGTTACAGATTCGAATCCAGGGAAGAGGCGGATGGGCTCCCTCTATCAGCTCCAGCTCCTCATGCGGGGACATGAGAGAAGCCTCCCACAAGGATGATAAAAACATCAAAATCATCTGGGCGTCCCCTGGGCAATGGCCAGGGGACACCCCCTTGCAGACGGCCAATTCTCTCACACCAGAAGCGACTTGCAGTTTCTGAAGTCACTCCTGATACGACAAAACAAACAAACAAACAAACAAACAAAAACCCTCTGAGGATGCCTCCCATAGATGTGGGCAAAACGTCAGGAGATGTCATGGATGACTTTTCAATAACTTTATTCATCCTCATGCACCCAAATATTCTCCCTCCTTGGAGAAGCACCTGTTAGGCCGGACCCTGCTTCTCTGCAGCCTGCCAACGTATAGTTCCAAAACTTCCATAACTTCAAAATGGCAAAACTTCTTGACCTAAGAACAATGCCAAGGACCAGATCTGTTTTCCATACAGCAGAACCTGACTCTCTGCCCAAAACTTAAGACTCCAAAAGTGCACTTCTTCCTCTTCTCTTGAGAAAGAAGCCCCAAAGTGACCAGAATCATGCTCTCCCATAGCATATCTGTCACTCTCCAAATACACCATCTCTCTCCTTCCCATGGAGCAGAGCATAGGGGGTGGAACAGACTCCTCAGGTCTGCCACACTTTGAGCATTATTAGACCGAGTCTTTTATAGGAATATGCTGTTGATGTCATCCCAAAGTTGTAAATTAATAACAGACGTCTTCCATCCTGGATCCATCTCTGTTTCCTGGCCAGATGTTGATCTTCTTGATTGGTGTTGATCTTATGTTGACTTCTTTCTTAACATTATAAAAATTTCTGTTATCACTGTCCCAATTCTTATCAGAGTTTACTTTTCAGTTCTTATTAGCAACTTTTAATTACAGTCCAGCAAGCAGGTAGTTTAGTCATTGCAGGCCTGGGTCTTTTACTGGTGTTTCCAAAATTATTAGCTCCATACATCCTTCCATTCTTCCCCGCACATCATATTAAATCCACATTTATAAAATCTGCACATTAAATTTTTGTGACAGAGAGAATGCTTCTGGAACATGGCCATACAGTCCGGAAATCTCACAGCAACCGTGATGCCAGCCATGAAAGCCTTAGACAACACAGCAATAAAGAGCTTTGCAAGGATGCATTTTGACTAGTTATGTGTTTAATCTAATCATGAACCTCCAGCCAAAACAGCCTCATTTTAGGGCAGCGGACTCGCATGTGTTCCAGTGTGACCACATTATTATAGCCTCTGATAAATTATCCTTGATAACTGGAGTTATTTTAAGGGCCACAAATGCCCACGATGCATCTCTTTCCCATCACAGAAGCTGAGGAACCAAATAGACCAAGAGACCCGGGTCCACATGGACATTGAGAATTTCCTGAAGCAGCAGCAAGTGGTGAGTGATTGACTTTTTTTCTGGTTCTTACTAGAGAGAGACCACATCTTTTCCATTAATAGGTCTAATTCCTTGTTTTCCAACAATAAGCCGTAGTTTAATTTAAATTTTCCAATCTATTAGGTTCTAATATTGATCCATCTTTATTTAAAAGCTAGCATCGCACATTTCAGGGCTGCATATCCTTGTGCTGTTGCGGACACACTTGTAGGTAAAGGTCAAGGTTTTCCCCTGACATTAAGTCCAGTCCTGTCCGGGGGTTGGTGCTCATGTCCATTTCTAAGCCGAAGAGCCAGTGTTGTCCATAGACACCTCCAAGGTCATGGCCAGCATGACTGCATTGAGTGCCATTACCTTCCCACAGAAGTGGTACCTATTGATCTACTCACATTTGCATGTTTTCGAACGGGACACACTTTGCAAAATATAACACCCAAAGACTGTGTAGCACAGTGGTTCTCAACCTGGGGTCCCCAGATGTTTTTGGCCTTCAACTCCCAGAAATCCTAACAGCTGGTAAATTGGCTGGGATTTCTGGGAGTTGTAGGCCAAAAACATCTGGGGAACCCAGGTTGAGAACCACTGTAGCACAATCCAGACACAGTTGCACACTCAAAGCATTAAGGTATTCATTCTTGCACCGGGACTGTGGCAAGCTGGCTGGGAGTCAGCTACATTAAGACCACTACTGACCAAAAGGTCATGAGTTCGAAGCCAGCCTGGGTCAGAGTGAGCTTCGACCAATTTGTGTAGCTTGTTGTCGCCCTTTGCATCCCGAAAGACAGTTGCATCTGTCAAGTAGGAAATTTAGGTACCGCTTATGGGGGAGGCTAATTTACGACTCCATAAAAATCTCCAGCAAGCGGGCAAAGAATGAGGAAGTACTTCATCAGTGTCACAAATGGACGGTGAAGCGACAGCTCCCCTGGTGGTCAGAATACCCTCATGAAAAAGCTGGAATGTTAAATAGCCTCTGTGTGTTTGTCTATATATGTTGTGTGCCTATGGCATTGAATGTTTACCATGTATATGTACATTGTAATCTTCCCTTGAGTCCCCTGCGGGGTGAGAAGGGTGGAATACAATTTATATACAATCTATATAAATAAAAATGTAAATGTTGGTTTGTGGGATTAACAGAACTCAAAAACCACTGGACAAATTGACACCAAATTTGGACACAAGAAACCTAACAACCCAATGTATGTCCTTCACTCAAAAATAATTGATTTTGTCATTTGGGAGTTGTAGTTGCTGGGATTTATAGTTCACCTACAATCAAAGAGCATTCTGAACCCCACCAACGAAGGAATTGAACCAAACTTGGCACACAGTTATCCCATGACCAACAGAATATATTGGAAGTTGTTTGGTGGGCAGTGTCCTTTGGTTTTGGAGTTGTAGTTCACCTACATCCAGGTCACTGTGGACTCAAACAATGATGGGTCTGGACCACACTCTACACGAAGACTCAATATGCCCAAATGTGAACACTGGTGGAGTTTGGGGAACATAGAATCTTGACATTTGGGAGTTGTAGTTGCTGGGATTTATAGTTCACCTACGATCACAGAGCATTCTGAACCCCACCAATGATAGAATTGGGCCAAACATCCCACACAGAACCCCCATGTGGGCCACTGCAACGCATGGCAGGGGATGGCTAGTACTGTAAATAAATAAATAAATATAGGGTCTTTACAGGGAGAACTGTCCTTTGAGGAGCGTGATTCTTCCTGTAAATGCCGCACAAAGGAGGTGTGTTGTCGTACAGGAATATCTTGCACAATGCTGAGTGTTTGCGTCTGTCTGTGAATGTCCCAGAGCATAGAGGAGAAGCTGGAGTACTGGGTGGAGAAGTATGAGAAGGACACTGAGGCCAAGCAGCAAGAACTCAACAGCCTGAAGGCCGCCAGAGCAGCTGACCAGGCAGCGCTACAGGAAGCGGCCCGGCTGGTAAGTAGGAAGGAAGCGGGCTCTAATCGGAAGGACAGCTCTCGATGCTTTAGAGATTGACGGATGGTTCAGCATGAGCTTTTATGGGCTGTAGTCCACTTCATCAGATGCATGGAGTCAAGCCTAGATATGTATGTACCTAAGTATGTAACCAGGCATGGGCAAACTTGGGCCTTCCTCCAGGTGTTTTGGACTACAACTCCCACAATTCCTAACCGCTGGTATAGTTTCCCATGAGAATGTCCCTGAGGGGTGTGGGGATGATGGTGTGCTTTCTGGATTGTTACCAGAGAGTTCCCATGATAGGGAACATAAAAACAGCTCGGCTCCAGGCCCAGCTGCAGAAATTAATGAGCAAATGGATAATGAGCAAATAGATAGATGCGAGGAGATTAGTCAAAACAGGAGAGCCAAACAGTGGCTTCGGCGGTCTGCAAGGCTTTGAGAGAAAAAGATAAGAAGTTCCCAGTTAAAATGAAACCAATTTCTGAATGCTAGAGACTTAGCTAACGAGGAGATAAAAGTCCCAAGTACAGGATATGTAGTCAGATGAAGCATAGTTTGGAATCAAGTCAAGATCCCGTTCTTGTTCATGGAAGTTTTGCTTGGGAAAATCATGTTGTAAGTGCCTTTGTTTCATGGTTTTGATTCCCGGATTTTATGCTCTATATACATGCTTTGGGTTCATGTTTCCTGATTCTTTGCATCTTATTTGGGAAGTTTTGCCTTGGTTTTTTATGGACTTTGCTGGACTATTACCCTGGGCTACTTTGTTCCTGCTTATCTTCTTACCTAATTGGATTTACCTATTTCTTTAAAGTATTTTTTTTTTACCTTACTGCTTTTTAATTATCTTCAATAAAATGATTGTTTTCCATCCAACGGTGTGGTGTTTAAAGTCAGAGGGCTTTTCCTGTCATGGAGTGCAACAACCTACATGTACTTTCTCCCCTGTCCTTTCTGCACAAGGATGTGGTAGGCTACTGTGTCCTTATGCTGAGAGAACAGGGAAAATGAGGAATGTGTTGTGTCAGAGAATCAATGTCAGGCTTAATGCCTGAGGGAACCCTTACGCCTGTGTCCTGTGCCCTTTTGCAGTGCCTGGCCTATGAGCAAGCCATCATTGAAGACCGCAAGGAGAAGGAGAGTGCTCGGAAGAAGGTAGAGCAAGATGCTCTGGAGATGAAGAGTATCCTCAAGGTAATCCTGGACGCATTGCTGGGCCCTCTGGACCTTTGCAGGTTTGAGAGAGAAGAGAACCTCTCTCTGCTCTCGTGTCTCCTCTGTCCTTCCACCAAGGGACACGGCAGGAGCTTCCCAAGAACTTCAGCTCTACAGCGTTTCTCAACCTTCCTAATGCCGCGACCCCTTAATACAGTTCCTCATGTTGTGGTGACCCCCAACCATAATATTAGTTTCATGGCTACTTCATAACTGTAATTTTGCTACTGTTATGAATCGTAATGTAAATATCTGATATGCAGGATGTATTTTCATTCAAATTTGGCACAAATATCCAATATGCCCAAATTTGAATACTGGTGGGGTTTGGGGAAGGGATTGCTTTTGTCATTTGGGAGTTGTAGTTGCTGGGATTTATAGTTCACCTACAACCAAAGAGCATCCTGAACTCCACCATTGATGGAATTGAACCAAACTTGGCACACAGAACTCCCATGACCAACAGAAAACACTGGAAGGGTTTGATGGGCATTGACCTTGAGTTTGGGAGTTGTAGTTCACTTGCATCCAGAGCACTGTAGACTCAAACAATGATGGATCTGGATCAAACTTGGCACAAATAATATGAACACTGGTAGAGTTTGTGGGAAATAGACCTTGGCATTTGGGAGTTGTAGTTGCTGGGATTTATAATTCACCTACAATTCATTTAGTGAACCCCACTAAATGGTAGAATTGGGCCAAACTTCTCACACAGAACCCCATGACCAACAGAAAATACTGTGTTTTCTGATGGTCTTTGGTGACCCCCTCTGACACCCCCTTGCGACCCTCCCCAGGGGTCCCGACCCCTAAGTTAACAAACACTGCCTTAAGGGGTCTTTTCTGTCGCTTAAGGGCTGAGCCCCTAGTAGTGGCACGATGCAGGATGGGAGGTCATTTGATCCCTCTGTGTAACTCTACTCACAACACAACACCTACCTTTTGAGCATCTTCTGCTAAAGATGAAGAAGTGAAGAAGGAGAGCCAGGAAGACACAGTTCTACCACGTCTTCTGGGTCATCAGTTGGGAACCCCTCCCCCCAGCAACAATATAGTAACATTGTGCTATGCTAATAATATAATATATTGTATATACACACAATACTGATAATAATATTGTAATGTAATACAATACTAATAATAATGCTATATAATAATTGTATATTATATATTACATGCAATACTACTAACAATATTGCAGTACAGAGGTATATATAATACTAATATTGTGCTATGCTAATAATATATTGTATGTACATATAACTTGTAAGATGTTATATGTCCCCTTCAGAGTGAGAAGGGCGGGATCTAAATGTTGTAAATAAATAAATAAACAAAATGTGAGGATCCTCTTGAACCAGGCTTGGCTGGTAGAAGAGGCAGCCATGGCTGAATATGATAAATGGCAGCAGTGCACACAAGCAAGGTCTAAACCAGGCATGGGCAAACCTAGGCCCTCCATGGGTTTTGGACTTCGACATTAGGAATTGTGGGAGTTGGAAGTCCAAAACACCTGGAGGGCCCAAGTTTGCCCATGCCTGGTAAGGACACCACCATATCTATAGCAAGGTATATATATTGGGACAAGGTGCTATGAAAAGCGTGGCCTTCCAAATTCTCCCAGGGAAGCGACACCACATTTGCTCATCCCAATATATACCAACATTTTAAAATAACAAGTCAAAGTTTGGTATGCATCTGATCGGAGTGATCTTACTTTAACTGGAGACGAGAAAAAGGGCAGTGGGAGAGAAAGGATTTCTAAATGGTGCTATACTGTCTGTGGAGACTGAGTGTAATCCCAACCTCACACGTTTTCTATCCTGGCTGCATCAGCTGGCCTTTCCGACCCGGATCGCAGGGGATTTCTGCAGCAGATGCCAGCCTTTTCCCAGTCAGGCTCCCCTGGAGTGGGTCCAAGTTGTGCCTGTCTGAGGCTTGAGCTGCAGCAATGAGATCAATGTGGGCATTCGATGCTTGGAGCAGACAGGCGGCAGATGGAGGGCTGGGACGCCGGCCAAGGAGTGGAGGGAATCCTTCCTTGGCAAAGCGGCCCTTCCTGGGAACCCGTTCGTTGTTAGTTATTATTAGCCAAGCGAGCTGAAAGGCCAAGCAGGAAGACCTTCTCTTCTCACCAAACTCTCTCCTCTTCCTCCTTTCAGCTGCAGGCCTGGTGGAGAGGCATGATGGTCCGCAGGTTCCTGGGTCCTTACAAGCTCCTGAAGAAACTCTTCGAGGAAGAGCAACCGGTCCCACAGAAAGGGAAGAAGGGCAAAGGGAAGCCTGGAGCCAAAAAGAAGAAATGAGCAGGACGAAGGACAGCAGCAGCAGCAGCACCGGATTCACGTGTTGCCTTTGGGAAACCATGTGGTTTGCGAGGGGGCAGCTGTATGTATTTATTTACTTACCAAGGGACCAAAAATAAAACGGTCAGCACTTAGTCCTGCCAGATCATGGCAGTATTAGCTGAATGGGACTGCTATTTTTCACACCAGAAGTGACTTGCAATTTCTCAAGCTGAATGGTACTGCTATTTTTCATTCTAAAAAACACAGAATGCTCTTCTTCCTGTGAAAGTGAGCAAGTCATATACACACAGGCAGACATTTAGCATCATCTAGACCAGACATGGGCAAACTTTGGCCCTCCCAAGTGTTTTGGACTTCAACTTCCACAATTCCCAAAGAGAGCACTGTGTATGGTCCCCTCCATTGACTTGCATGAACGTGTGGAAATCATTCTCCCATATAATAAAGTAATAGCAATGAAATATTGAGCCCTGTTCTAATGTGCTGAAAAGTAACTTTGCTATCTCACAAACTCTTTAGCTACAAGAGCTAGAAAGATTTTATTATATTTCATATCAAAACCATTGCATAAATTAGAATAAAACTGATAAAAATAGAATGAGTACAAATGGTTAAATATCTAAGTTCTTGTGGGTTTTTTCGGGCTATATGGCCATGTTCTAGAGGCATTTCTCCTGACGTTTCGCCTGCATCTATGGCAAGCATCCTCAGAGGTGAGGTTAAATATCTTTTGATCAAAAACGGGCAACAGCAACCACATTGTCTGTAGCCTCCAACAATTCTTCTTCTGTACATGAGGCAGGACACTGCAGACAGGCATACAGATGCAGAGTTGTCTATTCTGCTCCACAGTTGCACAAAGTGGAGGATTCTTCTAGGTAGGGCCATTTTACCAGGTTGTCTTTTGAGCTGCCCACTCCACTTCTGAGTCTGTTCAGGAACTTCCAAGTTGCCTATTCTTGGTTTGCCCCTGGAGGAAGACCCTCGTGGGGGACTAGAAAGGTAAGTGGTCATGTATATAAGAGCCTGAGAAAACTACCCCAAATGAATGGTGTATTTATGGTGAGTCTCCTTGTGAAGAGAAAAAGTGGAGTATAAATAAACACAATAATAATAATAATAATAATAATAATAATAATAATAATAATGGATTGCCGATGTCGCAATCCCAGGTGACAGCAGGATTGTAGAGAAACAACTGGAAAAGCTGGCATGATATGAGGATTTAAAGATCGAACTGCAAAGACTCTGGCACAAGCCAGTCAAGGTAGCCCCAGTGGTGATCGGCACATTGGGTGCAGTGCCTCAAGACCTTGGCCTGCACTTAAACACAATCGGCACTGACAAAATTACCATCTGCCAGCTGCAGAAGGCCACCTTACTGGGATCTGTACGCATAATTCGCGGATACATCACACAGTCCAAGACACTTGGGAAGGGTCCAATGTGTGATCCAATACAACAGCCAGCCGAGTAATCTTGTCTGCTGTGGACTCATCTTGCTGTATTTCAAATAATAATAATAATAATAATAATAATAATAATAATAATAATAATACGAAATCCAGCATATAGATCTCATTTGCTGTGACATACTGTGCTTTTGTCTCATAATAATAATAATAATAATAATAATAATAATAATAATAATAATTTGTTATCAAAGGCTTTCATGCCTGGAATCACTGGGTTGCTGTGAGTTTTCTGGCCTATATGGCCATGTTTCAGAAGCATTCTCTCCTGATGTTTCACCCACACCTATGGCAGGCATCCTCTGAGGTTGTGAGGTTTGTCGAAGGCTTTCATGGCAGCAATCACTAGGTTGTTGTAGGTTTTTTCGGGCTATATGGCCATGTTCTAAAGGCATTCTCTCCTGACGTTTCACCTGCATCTATGGCAAGCATCCTCAGAGGTATCCTCAGCTCACTACCTGGAAAACTCACAGCAACCCAGTGATTCCGGCCATATAGCCCGAAAAAACCAACAACAACCCAGTTGTGAGGTTTGTTGGAAACTAGGCAAGTGAGGTTTATATATTTGTGGAATAATGTCTGGGGTGGGAGAAAGAATTCTTGTCTGTTGGAGGCAAGTGTGAATGTTGCAACTGGCCACCTTGATTAGCATTAAATAGTCTTGCAGCTTCAAGGCCTGGCTGATTCCTGCCTGGGGGAATCCTTTGTTGGGAGGTGTTATCTGGCCCTGATTGTTTCATGTCAGGAATTCCCATTTTCAGAGTGTTGTTCTTTATTTACTGTCCTGATTTTTGGGTGTTTTTAAAAATACTGGTAGCCAGTTTGTGTTCATTTTCATGGCTTCTTCTTTTCTGTCGAAATTGTCCACACTTGAGGATTTCAATGGCTTCTCTGTGTAGTCTGACATGGTGGTTGGTGCAAGGTGAAGGTGCAACTCTTGGGAGCAACACTAGGACTTTGCAGATATGATGTCCAGTTTGCAGAATGCCAAGCCTTCTATCTGCTGAGAGATAATCAACCAAGGATGCTTGAGGTTGTCATGGAAGAAATACTTCTGGCCACAAAGGTAGGTTTTAAAGCTTTATTTTGGATCACCCAAGTTTGGAGTTTATAATATCATGTGCACTAGAAATTGACCGGTCGCGTAAAGACAATTTAAAATAAAGTACATGATATATACTTGATAAGTCTTTGAAAACTATGGAATGTATTTACAGGACATACAAATACAGGAAAAGAACATCTTAAAAGTCCTTTACGCTACTAATTACAGGTTTTTCAGTCTGCAGAAACAACAAGAGCGAAGTCTCGATCCTCTGGACTAGGCATGGGCAAACTTTGGCCCTCCAAACTTTTGGACTTCGACTCCCACCATTCCTAACTGCCGGTAGGCTGTTAGGAATGGTGCGAGTCAAAGTCCAAAACACCTGGAGGGCCAAAGTTTGCCCGTGCCTGCTATGGACCGTCTCAAAAGGGCATGTGAACCGGAGTGCATTGAAATCTCTGCAAGATGCATGTAATCAAACACACAGATTCACCAAGAAAACCTTTAAACACAACCTTTTAATAATAGCACCAGTCACTACAGAACCGCTGCGGCAAGTCCACTGAAAGGAGAGGTCAGTTTTGTAAGAGCAGCATGTCTTCCGACACCTTTGTGCAGATGCTGTGCGCCAAGACGATGCTCACTGGATTAAGCAGCAAGAAAAAAGGGAGTCTGATGCTCTCCGTCCATTCGTTCAGAAGAGGGAGTGCAACAGACAAAGGCTCTCCAGAACAGACAGAAATTGCAACATCTGGCACTGGAAGAATGGCAATACTCCCAAAGCCTTTTAGGGAAGTGATGATGGGCCTCTGCTGCTTGATCTACCTTCCTTTTCATGTCTTCGAGTGGCCCAAAACGTTCTACATCAGCCCAGTTGAGTATCACATTCACCAAGACTCACTGGGGAGATGTAACTTGCTCAACTTTGTTGCAGAGCTAATTCCAAGATATTCTCGAAGGCGCTCACGGCTAGAATAACTGGGTTGTTGTGTGTTTTCTAGGCTGTCTGGCCATTTCTGTCAGGATTATTGAAAGTATGCATGTATGTTTTTTCAATGTGTAACAATATGATTAACAATGGTGTTCATATGTATTCAAGATGGATTCAGTTATGTTCAATTGTATGCTGGAATTGTTGTTGTGAGAGACAGAGAGGTAGAGAGAGAAGAGACCTTGGCAGAAGTAAGATAACAAGTTCTCTCTGTCTGGGAAGAATTAGGGAGTAGCCGGTTTACAGCCAAAGAGAAACCGATAAGTAAATGTTCTGTAACCGTACTATAGTTGTGCTTTGTAGTTCCTGTTTGTAGTTCCTGATTAAGCTCACTTGGAAGTAGACATGTATTAAGATGTGCTAAGTAAACTTTGTTATTTTCTGAAACTGGCAGACTGCAGTGTCCTGTTTTGTGTCTGTGTGATCTAGTAACCTCATCTCCGCTGCGCGTAGACCCCAAGGTCTCACTCTAATAATTTCCAGAAGCATTCTCTCCTGACATTTTGCCTGCATCTATGGCAGGCATCCTCAGAGGTTGTGAGGTCATACCTCACAACCTCTGAGGATGCCTGCCATAGATGTAGGCGAAACGTCAGGAGAGAAAGCTTCTGGAACGTGGCCAGACAGCCCAGAAAACACGCAACAACCCAATTCCAAGATAAAACAGTCCTGCATTGCTACAGAAGGGAGCAGGACACCTTTTCATTGGCTGGATTTAGGAATGAAAACTTAATTTTCTTGCCCCGATGGAAAAAAATGGGAACTCCGTTATTGATGGAGCTTTATGTGGATTGTATTTCTGCAAAATGGAGGAACATGTTTAAAGTTCTGGAATGAGAAGCTACCTGGTTGAATGGCATTGATTCACATCAAAGGAGCCATCCTGCTCCAACCGGATGTTCTTCATGTTGGGCATCACTCCCAAGCCAACTTGTGGAAGCCAGGAAGGCTGACACAAGCTTAAATCCAGAGCGGAGACCTATTCCTTTTGTATTGCCCAGAAGAAAAGGACAACCCTCTATTGTTGCTTCAAGACAGAAAATAGAATTATATAAATGTTTCTTTGAAAAACTTATTTTCACTGAGTACAAGCAAAACTGCACATAAATATAACAAAACACACACACACACAAATTCCCAAGCCATTTAAAACTTGCAGTGGAAAACTCAGGCGTGGGGTGGCGGCTGTTGTTTTTGCTTTTTTGGTATAATACACCTTTAAAAGGACCGAATTTCTTGCCTGCTTTTAACGTCCATCCGAGGTGGAACTTCCGCCAACTTGAAACCAGAAATCAACAAAGTCAAACCAACACAGTTAAGATGTAAGTAAGCTAGCATTTTAAGAAAGTAAAGAAGTAAAAGGGACATCAGGTGTGTTGCATAGGAGAGACATGAGTGGAGTAGTAGTTTGTGCTTTCTATTCCCGGGCAGCTAAACCTGGCCAAATGGCTGCGTTTCCAAGTGGGAAAACCCAGCCGGCAGCGCTGCATCCAGCGCTGCACATCTTTGGTAGGATATTGATTTCTGGTCCTGAGAACCAGGCACATTGGTAAGAAAGAGAGCAGGCCCTGGACAGACCAACCTCTTGCAGCACCAACATCACAGTCTTTTGGAGGGGATGCTTAGGCCCATCTGCACATCTAGTCTCCACGAAGGAGACCTTCCCAAGCGTAGACAGCATGTTGGACACACCATTTAGGACAAAGCGTTTTGCAGTATGACACATTTTCGGTGATCGGGTTGAACTGTTTCATGCAAAGACCAAAAAAAGTACAGGAGTGTGAAAGCAAAACGGGAAACCTTCCTGAAATGCCCATCATAGAGAAGCTTAATTGAAATGTGTGGCTTCTGGACATTTGTGCATGAAATGGGTGGCTGAGCATTGGAAAGAGGACAAAGGAAACACACCTGCAATGCAAATCAAGTTCTCCAAATATGGAAATAAATACACTACAGAATGAGGTCAGAGAAGGACTCCGTTACACTCCTTCAGCAACCTGTGGAGGGACTATATTTCACTGTCCTGGTGAAAGGTAACTAAGGTCCCTTCTACACTACCATAAAATCCAGTTCAAAGCAGATAATCTGGATTATATAGGGCTGTGTAGAAGGGATCATAGGCTACAAAACTCAAAGGGAGCAGGAGAAAGAAGAACTTTTGTGCTTCTACTGCACCCAATGCCATCCTTCAAGAGTCTGTGCTAAACTAGATCTACAGGATGCTTAGTATCATGTTTGGGACCAACAGCCCTATGGCTATTCAAACAGCCACAAAGCCTCAGGCAGCCCCATTCAAAGAAAATGGGTATTTCAACCGTATGCCATTGTTTTGCTTTTAATAAACTTAGTTCAACTATCCTCAACTTTGTCTATCTCATCACAAACCTTCAACATTTTTTATGGCTTGTTATTACATACTGAACGCCCCCCCCTTGCTCCTCTGGACTAAGCATGGGCAAACTTGGGGCCTTCCTCCAGGTGTTTTGGACTTCAACTCCCACAATTCCTAACAGCCTCGGGACCTTTCGCTTAAGCGGCTGAGGGGGAAAAGGAAGGGTCCTGAGGCTGTTAGGAATTGTGGGAGTTGAAGTCCAAAACACCTGGAGGAAGGCCCAAGTTTGCCCATGCCTGCAAACAATTATATGGGTTACCCATTCCTTCCTCTGTTCTTCCGACTGCCCAACGTGCCACGATCCTTCTTAGTGGTGGACTCAGCCCTGGCTGCTGTGGCTGGATTCAACATTTGCTTCCATTTCCAACTCATGCACATGCTTAGCAGCCAATCTCCGCTTCTGAAACGCCTTGACATTGTTTTCAACCTCATCTGCACACTTTGGAAAGTTTCACTTGTAAATCCATGCAGTTATTAGGAGCCCAAGTACTTGAGGTGGGAAGGGGCGAGCGCAGAAATGGCAAAAACTGCACCAAAAGGGCTGTGGAGGGGGAAAAATCCCCACTAAAAATCATAATTCAAACGCCATGCAGCCCTTGTCGTCATCAACAACCAGTGAGTGATTCCTTTTCAAATGTGAAGGTCAAGGGTTCTGTTTACCTCTATTGTAAAAGGAAATGTGGGGGTTGAGATTTGACAAATGCAAGCCAAATTCATACCAGGACTCTCTAGAAACCTGACATACATTTATTATACAGCCACATATCATGTTTCTTATTTAACCGGAGATAGAAAGAGATTGCTGTACACAATCTGACGGAACCTGAAAGGAAGCTCTCCACGAGAGACATGCTTTAGAAGGACTGACGAAGGAGTGCAGATGACTTTGTGCAGGTCCAAATCTGCCAGGTAACAGGTGGGTTAAAAGACAAATATGCCCTCCTTTTAGGGAAGCACTTTTGCCAGATTCCTGCTTCTCTCTGTTGGCTGTTCCAAGGCCTTTGTTAAAACAGGAAATCATCTCCGGTTTGCTTCCTGCTTTTGAAAAGGTTTTTCTCTCTCACTGCCCCAGCCAAAGGGTAAAATTACACCCTGAGGATGTGGGCTGTTTCCAAATAAAATGCTAGAAAAATAAAATGTGGTGGTTATGGGACGCAATAAGAGGCAGACGGACATCTTGGGTGAAGGCCACATTAGGCTACCGGAAAACACTAGAGAAGAAATGTGGTTGATGTTTCGAAGATAACGTTCTTCTATCCCACCTTGCTCCAATTTTACTTTTATGTACTTTTAAAGAAATGCTGTTCTGGTTCCCTTCCACCCAGTCGCACACCCTCGCTTTACAGAAATGTTGTTTTCCTTTTTTTTAAAAGTTCAACAAAAACTTTTGCGGCCTCCAAAAAAAGTGGAGAATCGAAGCACGATTATTCCCATTAGGAACCCCAGATGCAGGCTCGCTTCTTCCGGCGCAACGCTGACTGCGCCTGGAGGCACTTTGCTAGCGCCTTGCACCCGGGGCGTCTCCGGCTTGGCCAGGGGAACAACAACAACAACAACAACGAGAAAGACAGCAAGGTCTGGGGGCCCTTTTACACAGCAGCCAAGTGCTTCTGGGGTTGCTGCGGTTGCTGCTGGTGGTGATGGTGGTGCTGCTTGGGAGGGGCCCGCTCCAGAAGGGCCTGCACAGTCTCTGCCACCCGCGTCAACCCTCGCTCTTCTAAAATGTGCAGAGGCAAACATAATCGCTCCTAGATGGGAAAACAGAAATTGAAAAAAAAAAAGGAGACACAAAGAAAAAACAAAAACGGATGAAAACTAAAAAAAAAACAAGAAGTGGGAAAAATAAAAAGGAGAAACCCAAATTGAATGAACACTGTGCAAGGATGGACATGAATGGTGATGGATGTGGAGAGAGGGAGAGAGACCAAAGCAGGACGGAGCAAGGCAGAGCATGCAGGCAGGTTCAGGGCTCAAAGGGTCCGGCTGCAGAGAATCTATTCTAAGAAGGCTTGGGCTCAACCAACTAACGTTCCCTTAGCTCTGTAGGTTCACATCTCACAAAGTTGGAAGAGAGCTCGTGGGCCATCCAGTCCAACCTCATTCTGCCAAGAAGCAGGAAAATTGCATTCAAAGCACTTCCAAAAGATGGCCATCCCGCCTCTGCTTAAAAGCCTCCAAAAAAGGAGCCTCCACCACACTCCAGGGCAGAGAGAGAATTCCACTGCTGAACAGCTCTCACAGTCAGGAAGTTCTTCCTAATGTTCAGATGGAATCTCCTTTCTTGTAGTTTGAAGCCATTGTTCCATTGCATCCTAGTCTCCAGGGCAGCAGAAAACAAGCTTGCTCCCTCCTCCCTAGGACTCCCCCTCACATATTTATACATGGCCCTCATCATGTCTCCTCTCAGCCTTCTCTCTTGACTCTGAACTTTGGGGTGGGTTTTTTAGCCCAAAGGTCAGCCAGGAATATGGCCACCCACTGGACAAACAGATGGTAATCCTGAAGGTAATCAGCGTCAGAAGGATATTGTATTATTCATTGGAGAAACTCGATTCAACAATCATATCATAGGGTTGTGTGAGTGTTCCAGGCTTTATGGCCATGTTCCAGCAGTATTCTCTCCTGACATTTTGCGTGCATCTGTGGCTGGCATCTTCAGAGGTTTTGTTGGCAGTCAAGCAAGTGGAGTGTATATAGGTAAAAGTAAAGGTTTCCCCTGACATTATGTCTAGTTGAATCCAACTTTTTTTTGGGGGGGGGGGGGGCTCATTTTCATTTCTAAGCCGAAGAGCCAGTGTTGTCCGTAGATGCCTCCAAGATAATGTGGCCAGCATGACTGCATGGAGCACCGTTACCTTCCTGTTGATCTACTCACATTTGCATGTTTTCGAATTGTTAGGTTGGCAGAAGCTGGGGCTAACAGCGGGAGCTCACTCTGCTCCCCAGATTTGAACTGGTGACCTTTCGGTCAGCAAGTTCAGCAGCTCAGCAGTTTAGCCCACTGCATCATCCGGGGGGCGGAGTGTTTATATATCTGTGGAATGTCCAGGGAGGGAGAAACAAATAGACACACACACACTCCACTTGCTTCATTTCCAATAGAACCTCTGAAGATGCCAGCCACAGATGCAGGTGAAAGATCAGGAAGATGCAATAGTGAGAAAAAAAAAGTGTTCTGCTACCAAGAGGACTAACCTGAATGGGAAGACAAAATGCTAAGAAGAGGGAGCTCTGTCCTCAGCAAAAGAAAGGGACCGCCTCAAAAGGAAAAACTTCTCAGCAATCTTTTAAAGCAGTCATGGGCAAACTCTGGCTCCCCAGGTGTGTTGGATTTCAACTCCCATAATTCCTAACAGTCCAAAACACCTGGAGGGAGGACCAAAGTTGGCCCATGTCTGATCAAGACCCTCCTTTTCAGAATGCATTCCCCCAACATCCCCTTGTGGGCCAGCTCTGGATCCAGCAACAAGGATTGTGTGTGTTTGCAGACAAGTAGCGGACAATAACAAGCCAGGCAGACTCCATGACAGGAACTTTATTTAATCAACACATTAAAAAATGAACAAACCCCCAAGCAAAACCACACACGCGAGCACACACATACACACAGAAATAAAAGGATAATTCTTTAGAAAGAGTGTGCAGAAGAGAGTGGACTAGGGATGAAGGACTGCCTTCCTTGAGGTTTTAGCTAGACCAAATTTTAAAACTATATTTAATATATGAAAAAAGAACGTTACAGAGAATACAAGCATACAAAAGGCATTCCATCCACTGGGAGATATGGCTACGCTAATCGTAAATGCTTAATGGAAATAGGATCTGTTTTTTTTCTGAGGGGAAAACACAAGAGTCAAGTGCAGTTTGCTTTTCCTAATTTTCAACACGCACACCATCCTTTCCTCCCTTCAGTCGTTTACCCAGCTAAGAAATTCACATTTCAATTAAGCAGCATTCTCGGTGTTAATAAAATAGTCTTCAAAAGGTCTCCATGTAGAAAGAACTTTTCGAAAATATATAAAGTTAGCGCTTCCATACAGGTATATACACATAGATGAGATGCTTTGTTTCCGTAATCAAATCAATACCTGAACCCGAAAATGAGTAATTCCTCCAGTTTCACCTCCCACCCCTTGCCTGACCCTGGCCCACTTCTATTCCAGAGAAGCAAAGGGTGAAAAACCCTCGAAGGAGGGAAGGTTGAATGACTGGATGTCCCTGGTCTCACACACACAAACACAGATATAAATTCTAGAAGGACAGCGTGGTTAGTCTGAAGCAGCAAGAAGGTCAAGAGCCTACTGGAGAGGAACACTCCTGAAAACTCTCCGGTTGTAATACTTTGGAGTATTACAACCGGAGTATCCCTGGGTTTTGAGGTGCACGACTCATGCAAAAGTAAGAAAAGTAAGTGATCACCCTTTCAGGAATCTCTAGGTCCTTCAGTGAGGTTCTATGGTCCATCCTTCAGCTCAGTGGTTCTCAACCTGTGGGTCCCCAGATGTTTTTGGCCTACAACTCCCAGAAATCCCAGCTAGTTTACCAGCTGTTGGGATTTCTGGGAGTTGAAGGCCAAAAACATCTGGGGACCCCAGGTTGAGAACCATTGCTTCAGCTGAAAGATGACCATAGATCTGTGAAGAAGGACCTAGGGATTCCTACAGAGGCGTTCTAAGAATCTCTATGCTCTTCAGCACAACACTATGATCAACTTCCAGTAGGAGCTGACCATACAGTTGCACTGGAAGATCAAGAAATCCCTTCAAAAGACCATATTAATCAAGCCCATGAATAATAAAATCTACAAAAGCTAAACCTGCAAATGTGGAAGGCTGACTGATATCAAATTTGATTTATTGCACCAAGTCTGAAAGGTGAGATATTGTGAAAGATGTCTGGGGAAGATGTTTGTTTGGTTCCATTAAAAGGCGAATGGGTGCTTCAGTTTAACTTCTAAATTTTTTAGTTGGAACCCTACAAAGGTACCTGGCCTGTTCTCAGCTAGCTCAGCAATGGAAGGTAAGCTTTGATTTGGATCTCAGTCCTATCTCCAGCACTTTAGAAGATGCTGGGCACTCCACAGCACTGAGACTAATGCCAAGTTCCAGGGAAATCTCACTGCTGGGTCCCAGCTAAAGCTGATCCATGGAATGTTAAACTGATACATCATGGAATCAAACAGATCCCACAGTTCTACTGATTGGACTTATGGCTAAAAAAGGCAGTTTCAGCCAGAAGTCCAGTCAGTAGAACTGTGGGATCTGTTTGATTCCATGATGTATCCGTTTAACATTCCATGGATCAGCTTTAGCTGGGACCCAGCTAAAGCTGATCCATAAAATGTCCCACAATTTTGAGAATCCCACAGAGGAGGCCAGTTGAGACTCATGTGGAAGCACTAGGGTTAGTGTTGTTCTGGATGACAACATCCAGAATTCCATAGGATGGAGCCAAGGCAACTGAAGTAGGAACAAAATGTTACGACTGTGGGATGTGAAGGGTCTCTTGGAGTGTGGCCACAGTGAGGGTGTATCCGGTGACTCAACTAGCCATGAGCCCATCGCCAGTTTTATGGGTGGCTAAGGACAACGCTACTGTGAAAGACCTGCTTTCCAAGACTCCCAGTAGCATTCTCATCCATTAATCCTTGGGACTGGGAGTCTTTCTGGTTCCCTCTCCTTCTGTACATATAGCAAATAGCAGGAAATCCCTAAACTCACCATGCCAGTTATGATCTAGTCATCAATGGAAACTCTCAATCAATATTTGTAGAAGAAAAAAATCTAGGGGATTAGAGGCAAATCACGCCCAATGGTTCTCTCTACCACTTGTGCACCTGTTGGGCAGAGGGAGGCCCTTATCAACCTCTCCTCTACTAAATGCAGGCCCTTGCCTTAATGAGGTCAAGTGCTGTGAGATAAGGCAAAGTTGTGATGAGGGAGGAACTCACTAAGAGGTCCCGGGGTCCACAAATCAGCCACTGTGTGACAGTGAGGTAACACAACACAGTGGCAGAACACCATGCGCCTGGTAACGTATGTGAAGACTCTGAGAACTTACTAAACATGTGCTTGCAGTTATTCCCAGGCAGACGAATACCTGCTTGACTCTGTCATTTAAAGTAATTTATAGATGCAATTCTTGACTTGACAGTACAGGTGAAAAGCAACTCCTCTCCTGATGCACATGTATGTACATTTATTGTGAATCACCTTGACTCTCTATATCAGGAGAAAGTCTGGACAAAAATAAAGCTAAATATTTATTGGATTTATATCTTGCTTTTCTCCCAAACTGGGATCCAAGGTGACAACAATGTGTTAAGAGGCATCATGGGCAAAGGTTAAGTTGAGCCCATGTTTAAACAATGCAAAAAACAGCTGGCACTTTCCCTACCTGAACTAATACTACAGTATTGAGAAGAAAGCTGACATCTGCTTCTCTACTGACCACAAAGATGCAGCGGATGTTGTCCATCCAGTCCACTGAGGGACTGTGCCACCCGGACCACAACTGATCCGCTCTGTGTGAGAACAACAGGCTGCCCTTTAGAGAGTCCTTTTGTGCGCATAGCTCTAATAATCCTTGCCTTGTCCTATATGACGACGTTACAAAGTTCAACAAATACTAATTTCCCCTCTTGTTTTATCCAGAATCATTGTCTGGAAATGAACAGAAAGCGGAGGGGACAAAACATGTCACAAGCTGTTAGTGCTGCAGCGATAGCCTGGCCAAGACAGAAGTTAGCCATGTATTTCTGGATAGAAAGGAAATGAACAGTGTATCAATGTGTATCGAGAACAGAACACATTCTTTAGTATGTGCAAACCCCAAAATAAAGGCTTCACATATTGTTGGACTGCTGCTTTAGCGCATGAATAGGCAGATGTGGCACTTAGATGTTTCTGGACTATAATCCCCATAATTCCGCATCACTGGCAATGGCGCTGAGGGTTATTGGGAGGAGCTGTTGGCCATTCAGAGAGTTGTAGTTCCCTACCTCTGTTTTAGTGCTTGACTTATAAGTATAGGAAGCAGCACCGTTCTTAAATCAAACAGAACTTCTGTATTGAACAGAGTTTTGTGCAAAATTCATAAAGATCCTGCAATTCTCCTTGTTCTGCCATTTGGCCCAGAAGAGGCTGGCAAGGCTACATATATGCTGCATCTCTGTAGAAGCAAAGACAAGGCACAGAATGAGATATTGTGCGGATCATTCAGCTTCCTGAGAAATCTGATTTGCATGTTTTTATAAGGTAAGACACTGGCTCTCGAGGCTCTTGGATCTGTTAAAGTATTTTTAGAAGTATATTGAGAAAGACGGCTATAGTATCGTAAACAGCCATGTAAGATTCTCTGCAAGCAAGGCCAATTGGAACCTGTTGGGCCTTTCTCTAAGGGCAGCAAACCTAGAATAAATTAGAGAGAGCTGTTCCGGTCCCTGCCAGTCATTTAAGTTGGAAATATTTGGTTTTTCTTGGAAGAACATTATAATTTGTGGCAAAGAACATATAAAACTCCTGCTTGGAAGTATGCACTTTTTGTGGCCACTTTAAAGGCCTTGCCTGGCATGGATTAGTGGTATCCTCCACAAGCGGAAAGAGGTGGAAAGAGGTTGTGATGTTTGAACTGGTCTGTTTGGCCCAAACATTATATAAATCCAGGGAAGTATTGTCATAAGACTGTACTATATGGTACGTAGACTAGCCTACTCGGCCAACGAGGGATTGCCTAAGTAAGTAATGGCATGTGGTCTGAAACAAGACCTATCCCAGGGTAAGGCAAATGCTGGCTACAAGAATTAGGTTTGGCATTTGGAGGAAAGAGCCCCAACAGCAGCCCATTTTGAATGCAGCAAAGTCTGCTGCTTAACACTATAATGCACCCTATAAAATCCTCTTATTGCATGGGGAAAAGGCCAAAGCAACAACCTGGCTGATATACCTGAGCTAGATAAACTATACAGCATCAAGAGGGCAATTGGGATGGCAGGGCGAAGATGAGTTCATCATATCAGTGCTGATAAAAGCAGAATTTGTATTCTGCATAAGTAAATACACCTGCGTAAGCAAAGAACCTGCTATGAGAAGGGTTTCTACACTTGACGTTCTGAAAAAAAAATCAAGTTCCCAGTTCTCAAGGGAGTGAGAAGCATTTGGGATCTTTTCTGGTGATACCTGTTGTGTACTTCTCTTTTGAGGAGCAGGAGGTAGAATAGGAAGCGGAAGACGTAGGAGTTGGGGATTTGGGGCCAAGTGTTGAGGAGGAAAAAGAGGACAAGGAAAACATACTGCCAGTTCCTACGTTTCAGGAACACCGAAGGGTGAAAGAAAAATGGGGAAAGTCATCTAGAGTTGGGTTGTTGTAGGTTTTTTCGGGCTATATGGCCATAGTCTAGAGGTATTCTCTCCTGACGTTTCGCCTGCATCTCTGGCAAGCATCCTCAGAGGTAGTGAGGTTGCTGCAAGGACGCTGAGCAATCAGACCTCACCTTAGGAACACCTATGCTGGGAGCTGAGGGCTATAAAACAGGGGTAAGCTAGTGGTCAATGCTGGTACAGATACAGTTCTACTTAGTGCTTCTGTGCTCCGGTTTTCTTGATTGCCGCTCCAGCAAGTGCCTCACAAAGACTTTTTGCCAAAGACTCTGGTTTCATGTCTGATGTAAGAGTTTTGCTTTGCTTTTGGGATTTTCCTTCTGTTCCTTTGCTGTTGTTTGTTAGAGTATTATTATTTTGTTAAGATTTTTAGTTGCTTTGACCCTCGCTGTAAGGCTGTTTCTGGGACAAAACAGGGCAATACCTTAACGGCCAAAGAAGACGAACCTGGATTTCCAATAGTCAGAATCTCTGTGTGTTTACTTATTTTCCTCACTCATTTTATTCTCCTCCACTCTCTTTTAGGTTCAGCACTAAAAGATGGCTTTGGATCCCAGCTTGTGATGTAGTTAAAAAAAGTCCCACCCAATTTACTACCTATGTGGTATGTTGGGTCTAAGTATTTCATCAAAGTGCCTCATAGTTTGTAGATAAATAAATTACAGATACGGGAATAGCCGTTCTAGCTACAGTGCGGTTCCTAGAATATTACTGTCTATTAATTGGGAAACTAGAAGAAAGGTAAGGGTTTTATCAACTGCAGCTGTTTTTTTTAAAAAAAAGAATATAAATCTTTCAAGTCTAAAACACCCAAGAAGTGCATTGGCTCTAGAAAAGCTGCCTGAGGTTGTTCTTGGGTTGAGATCTACTAAGAAACCACAACATTGGGAAAATATCACCCATATTAAAGTGGCACTGCTGTATTTGTATGAAGATGGTGAGAGGCACAGTTTGAAGATATAGGAAAATATGAGGCCAAGGGATATTCTCTCCAATGTTTTATGTCAATAGTAGTTGAAGCCAATGATGAGAGCTTTTGTAGGCAATACCTGGGCTGGCCCAAGTATTTTCTCAAACCAGCCACCTATGAAAATGACTGAAGGGACTCATAAAGATCACTTCTCATGGTTACAAAACCCACCATGTGCTCTTTCTTACCCAGGAAGAGGAAAAGTAAACTTCCATGAGCCCTTCTCTTTTAATGAAGACCACTCAGAGGTGGGGAATTATTTGTGTGGTGAAGCCTATCAGAAGAACGTCTGTACTGACCCTGAAGGCATCTTCTTTTTCCCTACAGAACGCAGCCTGCTTTGCAGACATAGTGATGCTCTCGAAACTGGAAAGAATCTTGGGAAATTTGCATGGCGGTTTTTGAGGATGCCACAAAGTAAGATCACTGACATATAGGCTTGAGGCTTTTGAAAAATCCTGAGCAATCTCCACATTTTGGTGGAGAGATTCCAAACTTGAAAAAAAAACATTTTAAAAAATCTTAATTTTCAAGAAAATAAAGGAGGTTTGAATTGCAACATTTCAACATGAGGAAGATTTTCCTTCAAGGTAATATCCCACTTTTCTCAAGCGTGCTAAACATCACTTTTTCCATGACGGTCTATACTGCCCAAAACAACTAGCACTTGTTTTACAAAAATATCCAGAGCTTTGCAGTTAGAATAAATAAATGTGTACAGAGCCCTTTTCTTCCATTTTCAGCCAATATTCCAGTCATATAAGAGTGTGAAACTTTTAGATTTCTGGAATATTTAGCTAACAGCAAACTGGCTGGCTGACTATAGACCACGGGGTCCTTTTCATATCAAGCAGAGCAGGTTGCTGGTGGGTTAGAGGGAACAGACACAGACAGAATTCCCAACTGAAACACAGACTAGTTACCAACCGCTTGGAAGAGCTGGAACAAGTCCTTGAGCCTTAGTTAGAGGAAAAAGACCCAGCGATAGAACACACAGAGCGTTAGCATCAGAGCACAGTAAAACGCCGCAAAGCCACAAAGCTGGGTGGGAAGGGAGACAAGACGGGGCTCTTCTGAATCTGCCCCCAGAGAAAGAAGAGACTCTACTGTCCTTTTAATGCTGAGGTTTAGCTGGAGAATGTCAGAAGGGGAACAGAGACTGTCCTGTCCAGAGTGTGAGCAGGAAGGGAAAACAGACAGAAAAAAATATTAGCGTCAGTCTTAACAGCCATGCAAATACACCCCCCAAGCAGTCAAGAAAGCGAAATGCCATCCACACCTCCACACAGGGACTGCTATTTATGTAAAACTATTCAGTAATGTGCAAAGAAATACAAATTCAAAAAATTGTATGTTATCAAAAGGCCCTTATAGTTCAGGAAGACACTGTGATTTCAAATGGGAGCCTTTTTAAAGAATACTTCCAATGGCATGAATCAAATATGAATATAAACTTTTTTGGGGGTTGTTGTAGGTTTTTTCGGGCTATATGGCCATGGTCTAGAGGCATTCTCTCCTGACGTTATGCCTGCATCTATGGCAAGCATCCTCAAAGGTAGTGAGGTCTGTTGGAACTAGGAAAATAGGTTTATACCTCTGTGGAAAGACCAGGGTGGCCATATAACCCGAGAAAACCTACAACAACCCAGTTGAAACATTCACACCTAGCTCCAGGAGACAAGAGTCCTTTGTCCCACCCAGGTCTTTCCACAGATATATAAACCCATTTTCCTAGTTCCAACAGACCTCACTTCCTCTGAGGATGCTTGCCATAGATGCAGGCGAAACGTCAGGAGAGAATGACTCTAGACCATGGCCATATAGCCCGAAAGAACCTACAACAACCCAGTGAATCTGGCCATGAAAGCCTTCGACAATACATTAAACTTTTTTTCTTTTTCTTTTTTTGCTCACTAAGCAAGGCTGGTCTCTGAATGTAGTATCCTGCATAGATACCCAGTGTGGCTTCCACTGGCATCATTTAAAACAAGAAGTGTCAACATTTTGGAACTTTCCACTTTTCTGCCAGATGAGCTCAAGATTCTTCTGCCTGAAATTGTGCCCATCAAAGCATACAACCATCAAACATGGGAAGCAGAAGGGGAAGTGTGGCTCTATGCAAGATACTACCTTTAGAGAACATCAGCTTTTTGTAAAAAATAAAATAAAATCTAATCTGCCCTCTTCAAAGGTAAGTATTTCTACATAGGGCCATACTTAACAACATCTCTACATCACACACACATTCACAGAAAGAGGTACAAATCAATACTCCTGCTCTTCCTGGCATCGGAAGCAACTAGCCAGCTTGGGCCAGGCTGTAGCCATTCCATTGTCTTCAAACAAAGCCAACTGATCACTGCAGTGAATGGAACAAAATATGAAAGCTTTCTATGTTTCAGAGCTCCTGTGAGCACCAAACTACAGGAAGCACCAGATTTTAATTTTAGATCTAATTGATAAAGAATTCAGATTTTCCCATGGCATGGGATCTGAGTTTTGTTTCCTCTGCACTCATCATGTGGATTCCTAATGAGAAGTCAACTTCTAAAACCAAGCTTTCTCAAATGTTGCCAGGATCTCTGTCTCTGAAAAGAGCTGAACTACTGCTTGAACAACCTTCTCAAGCCCTGTTTGAAGTAAGTCCTGGACAGATCAATGCTTTCTATGACTTTCTACATCATGATCAGCACTTGCCTGGTATGGACTTCCTTGAAACCTTACTGTGTCCATCTCCTTTATGACCACTTTCCCAAATGTATGTATCTAAACTGTTTGCCCCATAATTTGGCCCTCACTTGAACTGAACTGGCCTAAGCTTATTGAGCACAGCTTTGATTTTCTCTACAAGTACACTAAAATAGCCTGTGTCTAATGTGCTGGCCCAGATTTTTGGCTGAAGCCTGTCTGGCAGAAGACAACTGATGTTCACTGTTCCTTCTATTCAGCAAAATTGGCGAGAAGTGGATTCTCCCAAGAAGGTCTTCAGGAAAACTTCAGATGATGGAATAAGTGTCAGATGCATGGGGGGGAAGGGGGAGGGGAGGCTATGTTGATGAATGGGAACCATGCTGGAGAATAATTAGTACTGGAACTAGTTTTTTTTCCGTCTCAGGAGCAACTTGAGAAACCGCAAGTCGCGTCTGGTGTGAGAAAATTGACCGTCTATAAGGACGTTGCCCAGGGGACGCCTGAATGTTGGATGTTTTACCATCCTTGTGGGAGGCTTCTCTCACGTCCCCGCATGGGGAGCTGGAGCTGATTGAGGGAGCTCAAACCGCTCTCCCCAGATTCAAACTGCTGACCCGTTAGTCAGCAGTACTGCCGGCACAAGGGTTGAACCCATTGTGCCACCAGGGGCTCAATGGAGCTAGTCATCTGCATCTATCTCTTTTTGGGGTCAGGTATGGAAATGTGAAGCGTCACCATAACGCACATGGAGGGTGGGTCTAAGATGAAGGTTTGAACAGAAAACCTGAAATGCAAGCTTTTTGTATACATCTTTTCCATACCGACAAGGTATGGAAATTGGAATTTAGACTATGAGACTGTGAAACGCTGACCAGCAATGAGGTTTGTATTGTTTTTATTGTTTTTACCTGTTTTTACTGGTTTTATGGTTGTTCTGCCGATAATAATTCTGTTCTGTTAATTGCTATTTATTGCTAAAATTGCTGTCGTTAACTGATGTTGTTGTTCCTTGCTGTATATAATGCGGGCATCGAATTGTGCCTTGCTTGTGTAAGCCGCCCTGAGTTCCCCCCGGGGTGAGAAGGGCGGGGTAGAAGCAACCGAAATAATAATAAATAAATCTTTTGCAGATAAGCCTATACCATCCAATTTAAGTGTGGAAGCCTGCTGTTATCCTGGTGCGATTTGACTGTATCTTCCAGCAGCACTACTGGGAAAGACCAATGGTTGCTGGATGTTGGGAGTTACAGTCAAATAGCATGTGGAGGGCCACACTATTCGTACACTGATGTCTAAAGAGCTTTCCATAATCTAGTAAATAAAAATTATTGTTGCTCGATGGTAAAGGTCCAGTGATTCCTTGCAAAGCAGTTACTTGAATCAAGATTTAGCAAATAATTTCACAATAAAAACAGCTTGACCACCAAAATTAAATCCGACAGAAAATGTCTTAACACTCTGTGTGGAGACATTTTCCAAATCACACTGCTGCAGGCATTCATGCTGAGAAGCTGCAGTGCAAACAGTTCAGACACATTTTTGCATTATCTGGGCTGCTGTGAAGGGAAGCAAGGAGAATTCAGAAGTGAAAAGGGCTGACAGCGAGCATTGGATGCGCGGAGCTGCCTTAATGGAAGAGCACCATGTGCAGCCATTTGGAAGACAAAGTGTCAAGTCCAGAAACTGTTAGCACAGCATTCAAGTGAGGATGTTAACAGCCAAAGTGAGAGCCCATGCTTGGATATCTACTCTCAGAGACCAGCTTCAACTATCACCGTTATCTCAGAAAAACTTTTAACATTTTCACAACAACCAGAGAGAAATTTTTGGAACTCGAGTAAGACGCATCTGAGATATAAACAGATGATCTTCCATTTGGTCTCAAATGGCCGAATACACAATTTGGGCCCCTCCTTTATATTTATTAGTGACCCTCAAAAAGCATCAACAGCCTAAATACAGTATTATGGAATCTCTGATATAGCTCGTTAGGATATGTTTATGCCTGATTAAGAGCATCATGACTGATGCAAAAAGAAACGAGATACTAAGCTTTCTTATGTTAGTTTTCCTTGACCTGTAAGGTGGAATGTACAAATATTAATCAGGCTAATTATGTTGCAAAGATACAATGAATTGTGACAAAATTTATACTGTATACTGTATAAAAGAGAAGTCTGAGCCTATCTGACAGTCCTGTATTTGGGGAGGAGGGGCATTCCCCGCAAAGATGCATAGGTGTGCTGCAATAGGGAGGGGAACATATTCTCTTCCCATTGTGTTCCCTTCTCTTTGACTCCTTTAGCTGTCTGTTTCCCAATGGAAACCTTCCTTCAGATAAGCACTCAGCATTCTTTGATACAACCCGGTCCAATACAGTGCTATGAAAGGTTGGGCTCTTGGGAGGTTAGCAAGCATCTCAATCATACAAGGTGGGTGCATGCAGTGGAAATTCATTGTAAAGCAAGTATTGGAAGGTTTTCTTTCTTACCTGAGGCACGCCAATCTTCCGGCATGCTTCCAGGAAATTTTCCACATTGCGTCTACACTTGGCCATTGTTAATTTAGGCTGGAAAAGACAGGAACGACGCATGAAACGTTTTCATCAGCTCTTTCAGAATTCCAGAACATTTATTAGGAGAAATTTTAGACAACTATGGTATTTATAACACTATATACATCAATTTAAACCAATTCCCTCCTCCTGACCCATTGGAAAACAATAAAAATGATAACAAAATGGACTTTTCACCTCAAAAACACAGTGAAACTATTGTTATAATGCTGCTAATCTATTACTTCAGACAGTTTCTTCATTCTACCCTACTATCTTCATTTTTTTACTCCGTCTTCAAAACCCATAAGCATTTTCGTAAATGATATAAACGGTTCCCATTCTTTCAAAAAGTAATCAGTTGTCTTCTCCTTTATCAAGCAAGGTAATTTGTCCATCTCTCGTGAAAGTACTTAATGTAGGGAAATTTGTAGAACTAATTTTGCACTCATCCTTATATTACACTATATTTTAAAATCTTTTTCTTCTTGTTTTATTTTCCAAAGCTCCTTATGAGATTTTTAATGTTGTTTCGTTTCATAAGCCACTTTGAAAGCCTTTTAAATGGAAGAACAAAACTCTGAAGGAGACAGAATGAGTTAACATTAAACCCTGGATACTTACGACAGCTGGGGAAGGGACATGAATGCTAGGGACGGAACGAGGCCGAACGTGATTCGCTAAATGGCAAAGCACCACGCCATCCGTCAGAGCGGCTCCAAGATCGCTGGGCAAGGACACTTTCAACCGTGACTCAATGTTCTGGAAAAGGAGGGACAGCAGGGACAGATAGGGTTAGGTTTGTCACCACCAAAAGTTATACTTGTATAATTGTGGCAAAGTACACTTGTCAAAAGTCCAATGAAGTACATCCTAGGGGTGTTATAAGAATGTAGAAAGAAGAGGACATGGCTGCCTTAAGACCACACCTTGCATGAGCATTTGCATTTTCCCCAAGTGCACCATAACATTTCCCTTGAGATTAAAATAGTTAGCTTGGAAAGGATTTAAGCATACATTAAGGTTCCATACATAAACTCTAGGTGTGTCCTGAAACTAGGAGCCAGTCAATAGGAGCATGTCTAGAAATACTTGCCATGTTACTTAATAGTCACAGAACCAATTTAGAAGAAAACTATTGTGCACAAAACTGTAACAAAGGACGCAGCTTCTGCATAAAACTGCAAGGCAATACAGTTATGAAAGTCCCGGTATTAAATCAATAACATATTTTGGAGTCAACACATGCAAAATAATTTAATTAGAACAGCATGAGCTTTAGAAAGCAAAAAGCTTAGCTAAGTGATATTTTATTTATTTATTTATTTATTTACTTACAGTATTTATATACCGCTTTTCTCACCCCCAGGGGGACTCAAAGTGCTTTACACATAGATAATGGCAAAAACTTAATGCCTTACAACTACAATAGTAAAACCACACTTTAAACATAAATTATATTAAAAACAGTACATCACCAAATATCAAAAGTTATTAAAACCATAAAATAATCTTATCAGTCGAGTCACCGTTCCAGTCCTTGTTCCACTAAAAGCTGCATACATCTATTGTCCGAAGGTCTGGTCCCGGAACCATGATTTTAATTTTTTTCTAAAGGTCAGGAACGAGGGAGCAGATCTTACCTCCTTTGGGAGTTTGTTCCATAGGCGGGGGGCCACAGCCAAGAAGGCCCTGCTCCTCGTCCCCGCCAGCCGCATTCACACTGTTGACGGGAGCGAGAGCAGGGCCTCCCTGGATGATCTTAAATTGCGAGGTGGGACGTAGGGGTAGATGTGTTCGGACAAGTAAGCTGGGCCTGAACCGTATAGAGCTTTATAGGTCAAAAGCAGCACTTTGAATTGGGCTCGGAGATGGACCAGCACCCATTGGAGCTGGCATAACAGGGGGACGGTATGCTCCCTGTTTGCCGCCCCAGTTAGTAATCTGGCTGCCACCCATTGAAGTAACTGAAGTTTCCGAACCGTCTTCAAAGGCAGTCCCATTCAAAGGCATTTTAGTCTATCCTTCCTTGGCTTGGGAAGTAGTATTATTATCTAGCCACTTTGCATTTCCTTTGTGGAGAGAATAAGTAGGGTATACAATAAAGATAAACATAATAATAAATCAAAATTGAAAATAAATATTTTATTATTATTTATTTATTATTATGCACTTTCTCAGCCAGAGGCGACTCAATAGGTGCAGGCCTATGCTTCAGGCATAAAAACAGAACTTAAATGACACAGATAATTATATGAGCAGAAACCACTGGCATTTGGGTGGCTCGAAACTGTAAAATCAGAGCTTTCGTCCCCAAATACGATTCTGTCTTTTTGTACCTAAGCCACTTGTATTTTTTTTACAGCATGTTAGCAATTTATGCCAATCTGCCCATTTGCATCTTCACCGAAAACAGATTTTTTGGGCTGTTCTGGGGGATCTGTGCAATTGCATCTGACAAGACACATGCAATTGCGAGAGCCTTCCATAAGTCCACAATTAATGGCTATCGACTTAACTGCTTTGAGGCCACAGAATCAGAGTGGAGGAAATCTGGCCTTATACAACCAGGCAATGATTACATTCTTCAACACAACATACTTTTCGCAGTTGTTCTATCAGCTCAGCTTCTTCTTCCCGCAATTTGGAACTATGGTTTTCACAAGGGTCTTCAGAGCTGTTTGCTGGTGCTGATGCAGCAGCCGGTGGCGAAGGTGAAATAGCTGGAGAGGGCCAAAAATAGAAAAGGCAATAAAATACCCACAAGGGAGTGAGGACCACTTCTTGAGGAGGCTGTTCCACCGCATGCAGCCCAAAGGAGTTTAGGAAGCCTCATTAATAATCTAGGCAAGGTACTTTTGCAACTGCTTTCACTTTTCTATTTTTAGTACTTGCACCTGATGAAATGGGCTATAGTCTGCAAAAGCTTGTGCTACAAATTTCTTTGAAGGTACTACTGGCATCCTTGTTTTTTTTATTATTATTACATGGCTATCAGCACATTAGCACATTGCTATCCAAGCGATCCAAATAACCAGTGTCCCTAGTTCTTGAATGAGGCTGCTGTGAGCTTTATTCAGAGTCATTCAGAATTACAGAGCTGAGAGAAAGCCTATTAAACCAGAATTTTCTTCTAAGGCCCTTCTCTGTTATGCCGTTTGAGGTCATGCATGCAACTACTAGAGAACCAGTCTTTCTTTAAATGGCAGCAACCAAAACTGTGGAACTTGGTATCACAGTCACCTTTGCTATCACTTTTGAAGCACACCTAATTTATTTAATCATTTCATTCAGTTTTTAATGGATATTTGGGGGGTTTTGTACTTCTGTTGTGCTGTCAACTACTTAACAGCTATTACGTGTGTCATGTAATATGTTCTGCAGTTGATGGTGATGGAAGGGTTAACGTAAGTATTAGTTCTAATGGGTTGAGTAATCTTAAATAAGAGTTCATGGGTGAAAGCAATTAAGGGTGGAGGTATGCAAGAGATAGGTTGCAGCTGGGTGTTTCTGGATATAAGGAGCGACCAGTGGAAATTATCTTGGGTGAAAAGTATTTGTCATATTTTGGTGGTGGATGCTGCTGGCTTTCCCCCAGGTCAATGGATTTTTGGTATCTTGACCTGTCTCCTGAACTCTTAGAATCCTGGAACCTTGAATCTTTGGACTGGCTGTTGACTACGGTAGACTCTTGATCCCTGGACTTTGTTTATTTTATTTTTTTTATAATATAATTTTTATTGCATTATAATGTGAATACATGGAAAGTGGGGGAATAATTGTGGAGGAGATAGGAAAGTAGGAAATAATAATAAGCAAGAGATGGTCAGTGAAGGGGAAAGGGAGAGAAAGAGAAAAAAGGAAAAATATCCAGAAAAAATCAGAGTCCAATCAAAAAGAAAAAAAAATCCAAAAAAATCAAAAATCAAAATAATAGTGAAAGTAGAAATGAAAATAAAAATAAAATTATGGGTGGACTTCCATCTGTTCTTTGAAGATCTTCTATATTTGTTTAAAAAACAAGGTGTAAAGTTAAAAAAGAGATAGTGAAAGCCGGGTAAAAGAAAACCGGCTTTCATTCTCAATATTTCAGACTGCATTCCTGTGACACAGTTATTTATCTTCTGACTTGTTACATATCAAGAAATGACCTCTTTTTTGTTGGACTTTGTTTATTGAGTTCTCGGCATTTGACCACTGGACTGGACCTTTGACTACGGCAGTGATTCTCAACCTGGGGTCCCCAGATGTTTTTGGCCTACAACTTCCAGAAATCCCAGTCAGTTTACCAGCTGTTAGGATTTCTGGGCGTTGAAGGCCAAAAACATCTGGGGACCCCAGGCTGAGAACCACTGGACTACGGAGTTATCTTGAACCTGCAACAGTGTTTGCTATTTTTGTTTATTCTGTGGCTGAGTGCTCTCTTTATGTTTGATATTTTGAACTATTAAAACAGCCACTGCTGTTTAAATTAAATTATTTTATACATAACTGGGTTTTTGTTTGGTTTATCTCTGCCTCTGAATAAGGCAGAGCCCTGGCATCATGTCAATGTGGGATTTTCTTTATTGTTCTATGTTGGAAAACTTTTATAGTGATTGGTGGATATAAAGGCTTTTAAATTAAAAAAGCAAGCTAGCATGGTACAACTTTAATCTAGGCATAGCATGTCAGCAATCTTTTTGTCACTTCCTGAAAGAGCATGAGCATGAAAGTTTGATGTTGGGCTGAATTTGGGTGGAGTTTTAACTTTGAAATTGTATTTTTTAAATTGATTTTAAACATTTTTAAAAAACGAATCAAGGAACGTGAAAGGCACTGAAGACTAACTCAACCAGAGAAGTCAGCTATAGCAACCAACCAGGACACAGCATATTATTTGAGAACACAGAAATGCTGGACCACTCTGACAACCATCATGTCAGACTACACAGAGAAGCTCCTGTAATCCAGAAGCATGTGGACAATTTGAACAGAAAGGAGGAAAATGAACAAAATCTGCCTACCAGTATTAAAAAACACTCTAAAATCAGGAGTGTAAATAAATAACAACACTCAGAAAACAAGTGGCCCAGCATTTCTGTGTTCTCAAACATTCAGGGGCAGCTAACACCTCCCAACAAAGGATTCCCTCAGGCAGGAATCAGCCAGGCCTTGAAGCTGCAAGGCTTTGCAATGCTAATCAAGGTGATTAATTGCAACATTCACACTTGCTTCCAACAAACAAGAGTTCTTTCTCCCACCCTGGACCTTCCACAGATATATAAACATCACTTGCCTAGTTTCCAACTAACTCACAACCTCTGAGGATGGCTGCCATAAATATGGGTGAAACGGCAGGAGAGAATGCTTCTGGAACATGGCCTTACAGCCCGGAAAACTAACAGCAACCCATTTTAAAAAGAGTATTTTAATGTATTTTTAAAATTGTATGTGTTTACTGTTTTAATTGATTTTATTTGTTTAGAGTCTCAGGAATCTTTGTGGGTTGGAAAGCGACATATAATAAATATCTTCATTAAGTAATACAATTAATACAAATGCTGCAACACATCAAGCTGTTCCATTTAGGCGATGCATTACATCATGACCCTTTCATCCACAAAACTGAGAATCAAGATTGGTCTTGGAAGGGGAAACGACCTAATGATACACAATCAAATGCAGAAATTGGGTTCTTTAACTCATATTGTTAATTTTCAAAATGGTAGCTGCAGACAGAGATCTGCCACTTTTATATTACAGGTGGGAGCTGGGGTCCATGTGACTGAATTGTTCCTTTATATGAAAAAAATCCCCAAGGACACAAGGGAAAATTATTATAGCCTTGTTTCCTTCACAAAAGTCCAAGTAGGATTAAAGCAGGCATGGGCAAACTTGGGCCCTCCAGGTGTTTTGGACTTCAACTCCCACAATTCCTAACAGCCTACCAGCTCTTAGGAATTGTGGGAGTTGAAGTCCAAAACACCTGGAGGGCCCAAGTTTGCCCAAGCCTAGGTTAAAGCAACCCCCTGGTGACCCCAATGCTCAGAGTAGCCAGCCATGCTCTTCTATGCTCAAGTGGTGCTGCCCACCTTTGGTTGCCTCATCTCTTGAAGCATTTCGAAAAAGGAAGCTTTCAGGACGCTGAGGAGGATTTCTGTAGGCAGGAGGAGTAGCGGCCGCAGCAGCCGGAGGGCCAGGATACGGAGCAGAAAGGTGGACTGGAGAGGTAGAAGGGGAAATAAGTTATTTATAAAGTGATGCAAGGACAGAATAATAAATTAGAGGGATAAAAATAGCCACATAATTCATAGCCAAGGATTTTAAAGATGAGAAGTAAGAACCAGCTCTTTCCAATATATTTGGAGCAACACACACTTATAGAATCATAGATTCCTAGAGTTTGAAGAGACCTGTTGGGCCATCCGGTCCAAACCCATTCTGTCAAGATGCAGGAAAATCACATTCAATCATAATAATAACTACTACTACTACTTTATTTTTATACCCTGCCAACCATCTCCCCAAGGAAACTCAGAACAGCTTACAAGGGACAAGCCCAACAATTACAGATAAAACACAATCAAATTAAAAACATCAGATAAAATATAAGAGCAATCACAATTGTACACAACAACAAAATAATATGGCTGAGAAAGAACATAGCTGTGGTTCAGGCTCCATGAATGGAGTAGAACCTGAAGGGAGCGCAAGGAAAGTGCAACAAACAAGTAGATAAAGCACCCCCAACAGATGACCATCCAGCCTCAGTTTAAAAGCCTCCAAAGAAGGAGCCTCTACCACACTCGGGGGCAGAGAGTTCCACTGCTAAACAGCTTTCACAGTGAGGAAGATCTTCCTAATGTTCAGGTGGAATCTCCTTTCCTGTACTTTGAAGCTATTGTTCCCCGTCCTAGTCTCCAGAGCAGCAGAATATATCTTTCCATTCTACCACAATCTGAATTAGCTTGCTCTATTCAAGTCTTATATTTTCAAATACAGCTCCTTGAAAGTACAAAAAGGGCTTGGTTCCCCTCCACCCCCAAAAAACGTGATGAAACTCACAGCCCAAAATAGCACTTCAGCCTGTAATTGTCCCATACCTTCCAAACCCACAGTTTTGACATAATAGTGTCATTATTTTACATTTTGGTTTTTATGCAGGATTGTCTTTGAAATAAACATCAAGGGGATTACAGGAGTTGCCTGGATCAATTTCTCTTGGAGAGAATTCTGCAATTTACCATGGATAGCGTCATAAGCAGTACTGCACGTTAATTAGAAGAGTTACCATTTAAAAGTGCTGTGTAAATGCTTAAGTATTGGCGTTATCTACAGTTCTATCTTTGTCAGAGGACCAGCAGCAATGCCTCCTCTTGATGGACAAATGTAGCATTTTAAGTGGTCCACAATGACACCTGTTGTGATGTTTACACAGGATCTGGCCTGCACAATAACATCCTTGTCCAAGTGTCAGTGGTTCATCTCATTGTGGAGCTTCCAGTGCCGCAATGGGTTAAACACTTGTGCTTGCAGAACTGCTGACTGAGAGGTCAGAAATTCGAATCTCTGTCAGCTTCAACTCCCCATATGGAGACATGAGAGAAGTCCCCACAAGGATGGTAAAATATCAAGCATTCAGGTGTTCCCTGGGCAACGCCCTTGCAGACAGCCAACACCAGAAGTGACTTGCGATTTCTTAAGTCACTCCTGACATGAAAAAATATCTCATTTATCCCATCTCCCTCCATTTTTCCCAATTACCTGTTTGAGAAGCAGGTGAATTTGGTGAGATGGTGGTTCTGTCATCACTCTGCGGATAAAAGAAGAGATGAAGCTAGTGAAGAATATGACTCAGATTATATATAACTGCACTGCAATCGCAGCACACACAGAATGCCATCTCAGGAGAAGAAAGACAGGGTAGAAAGTATATTGGGAGAGGGGAAGAGCTGATCGTCTATGAAAGCATAAGGGAATATGTGGTCTCCCTCCTATCACTGGATTGCAACTTCCACAATACTTCATCGTAGGCCAGGGAGGATGGGACTCTGTATCTAATCACATCTGGAGGGCCATATATTCCCAGCCTTCACAGTGAAAAGGAGGAAAAACCATACTAGAAATGTGTCCAAAAGATTGATCATAATTCTTCTGCCAATATACTGAGCTAATGGATGAGAGCATTCATTCTTTGCTCAAATGAATGCATTTCAGCCAACACTTGCAAAAGAAAAGTGGTCCCAATAAGCCAGCCATAAAAAGCAAGTAATTAAATGTTACAATGACATGAGGCAGCATTTTTGAATACAAGCAAGACCTCCACCAAAGCCAAGTAAGTACCAAGCCAAAAACCCAACTGCAGAGATATCTCCAGTCCCAAAACTAATTGCCATTTTAAAGAACTTATTATTATTGTTTAGAGGGGGATTTTTTTGCTTCTAAGAGAAAAAGAGAGGTATAAATAAATATAACAACAACAACAAGGTAGAAAGGCAGCAGCTGTTCATTTTGTAAAATAATATAACAGCAAGCATTTGGACCCAGTAATCCTCTATTTCCTAGTTGTTATGTGTATGTATATATTGTATGTATACATACACACACACATCTAATGGAAGAAGACATATCTGACTCCAAATCTAAGAAAAGGTTTTGAAAAATTACATGCAGACATATTAGTGAGCTATAGACACTTTGCAATGAGAAGTGCAACGCTGCCAAGGAAAACTGTAGCATCACTACCAGCTCATGAGGACTCTGATTCTAAGACCTGAAAAGTATTAGCCATGGGTTCATCTTGTCCTCCCTTGCCAAAACTCTCACCAAGAAGGCAACCTGCTAGAAGGATCTCCAAAAATCTAGATTTGCAATGGCAAATCTAGAAATAAACCTGGCCAAGAAAGTCCAATGATAAGACCCCCATACATTCGAGTTGGCTTGAAGACACACTACAACAACAACAACAACTTGCAGAACTTTGTTTCTGAAGGTATTATTCCGCAGAGATATTAAAAACCACTGAAAAGGATGCAAACTATTGACTCATTTCCATTTTGAAAAATGAAAATGGTGTTTACGAAAGAAGTCTGCAAAGCTTGGGTTTAGGAGGGCGTGGAAAAGTCTCCATGTGGAAGCAGGCCAGGCCAAGGACAGGGACCAACACCGCGCTCAGCATCAGATAAAGCGGGAAAAATATATAAAAGGGAAATCCAGCCAAGACAGCCACACACATTACATGCTTGTCACCTGGTTGAGCGTCCCCGGCCTCCTTTTAATGGTGTTGGTGTTACTGTCAATCTCAAACACTAAGACAGGCTCAAAGCCGTTCTGTCAGGGACGGCAGGGAAGAGAGAAGGGGAAAGAGAAGGAAGGAGTGAGGCAGAGAGTCCTGTGAAGAAGGCAGAAGAAGGCGCAAAAGACAAGAAACAAGGAGAAAACTCCTGGCTATAGGCGTGGGACTCCACATAAAATACAAAGCTACCCTATGCTGAGTCAACCCATATTTACTCGAGTCCAATGCACCATCGAATCTAATGCGCACAATTTTCACAACTGTAAAACCCTAATTTTTTTTGCTGCCAAATATAATGCACAAAAAACAGCAAAAGGTGCACTCTTTGTAATATGCCCATCACAGTTGCTGCCTGCTTAGCATTCCTTCTTTAAAAACAATTATGTTGGAACACCAAAGATTTCAGGGATGGAAAACAAATATTGGTGTGCATCTATGATGTAGAATGAATCCACTTTAACTACTTTGATTCAATGCTATGGAATCATGAGGGCTGTAATTTTACAAGGCCTTGCACCTTCTCTTCCAAAGAATGGGATTGCCTCACCAAATGACAAATCCCAGGATTACATAGCATTGGGCTATGACAATTAAATTACAGATGACATCCTTCAAATAGAAGCTCCCGGTGCAGCTCCTGAAGCAGCTTCAGCTACTGCTTTGGCTCAGCACGAAGATGACTGTATTATGCAAATCTAATGCACACACTAATTTTGGCAAGGTGATTTAGTCAAAAAGGGTGGGCGTTAGATTTGTGTAAATACAGTAGCCTGCTTAAATCCAGCAATATCCATCCTGGCATCGACTCGCAAAGGTCTCTGATTCAGTCCTTTTCAAGGCCTTCCAGTACACCATTTTACTGGAGATACCAAGGATACCATGGAGTCTTTTGCACAAAAAAAGATGCGTTATAGTGGCATGGGCAAACTTCAGCCCTCCAGGTGTTTTGGACTTCAACTCTCACAATTCCTAACAGCCTGGAGGGCCAGAGTTTGCCCATGTCTGTGTTACCACAATAGAAGTTGCAACGTGTATTCAAACAAACATTGCTTGTGAATCACAAAACAAAATAGAGATAGAAAGTTCCTAGTTTGTATATTAGTCCTTGAGACAGTTAGTGAACTTACTAATATCATCATTTGGAGTATATTCTGCATTGGAGACCATATGGACAAGATTTTAGTTCACTGACTGTCTCAAGGACTATACATAATTTGTTTACGTTCTCATGGACTACAAGTATTTTCAGTTTATTTACGGTCTCAAGGACTACTAATATCAGCATTCGGAATATATTTTGTATCAGAGACTGTTGGGATTATATTTGAAGTTCACTAACTGTCTCAAGCACTAATATACAAGCTAGGAACTTTCTATCTCTATTTTGTTTTGTGATTCACAAGCAAGGTTTGTTTGAATACACGTTGCAACTTCTATTGTGGTATTGTATATAGATATCTGTGTTTCTTTGATATGTCTGTATTACACCAATAACTTATGGCCCCTTTTCAGAAATTTCAAGAAGTACTGAATGATATGGTCTTTCTTTAAGCAATCCTTGAGATGACATTGACCTAAGGCTACTCTTATGACAATGTAGGGTGGTCTTATGATGCCAGGAACCTGATTCACTTCCTCACTTTGGCCATGAAGCCATGGAAGTGATTTTAGGCCAGCCATCAATTAGTAGCTTAGCCTATAATCACAGTGTTACTGTACAGATAAAAAAGTGGGAAAGAAATGACCATCTTGAGCTCTTTAAAGAATAGTATGGTTACAAATAGATTAAATAAACCACGAGCAAACCATACATAATCCCATCCATACCAGGTCCAGAGAGCAACAGACATTTCTTTGGACTCCTCAGGGGCTTGGCCCTTGGACTGCTTTGGACGACAATTTTAATTCTGGTGATTTTAATCTGGCGAGAGGGTTCTTAATGCATGTTTAGCATTATTTTAATTTTGTGGATGTATTTATTATGTGCTTTATATTATGTTTGGCATCGAATTGTTGCCTGTTTGGAAGACGCTCTGAGTCTCTCCGTGGAAGTTGAGAAGTATGGGGTATAAATGTTCAAAATAAATAAATAAATGCCAATTTATTAAACTTCCAGAATGCAATGCATCTGAATAACTGCGGTCTGTTAAATGTGCAGTAAGCTAATATATATACTAAAACATCTCTTCATTGGCATCAAGTGCTATATTTTTAAAGGGTCAAGAATGACACACGTTATCATACAATTAAAACATTCTTGGTTGATGTCCAGAATTGCCCAGGGGCTGCATTCTGATGCAAAATGCCTCATGAATCATGTCTAGAGAAATGAAGGCCAAAGCAGCAAAAAAGAGGGGCAGGGGAATTATTTCCTCCTTTTTTCATCAGCATTCTTTTTGTCAGAAAAACAAAGAAAACTGGCTCATGGAATATTATTTTAGAATAATATATATATATATTTAAGACAACGTTTTCATGTATTTCATGCCCCACTTCCCACTAGTTCTAAAGGATATGTGCCAGGTAAACATTTATTTATTTATTTACTTTATTTATATACTGCTTTTCTCAGCCCTCAGGCAACTCAAAGCGGTGTCACTGTTTTGCAAGACTTTGTACGGAGTCTCACATCACTGCAATTCCTAGACCTGGGTTTCCTTTTTTCTATTCTTTTTATGGAAACAGAATCTTTATGCCTATTTCACATTATGGAGGACTATAAGAAACAATTTTATGTTCTTTCTTTTACTATTTACAGTATATACTGCTTTTCTCACCATTGGGGGGACTCAAAGCGGTTTACACAGAAATAGTGGCAAAATTCAGTGCCTTACGTATGTACACCAAATCACAACCAACACCATATAACTACAAATAAAACCAATAGGACAATTCATCATAAGGTAAGATAAAAGGACATTCAAAACATAAAATATAAGAATTAAAGCACCCAATAAAACATTAAAATCACATGATCCAAGCATGTAGACCGGGCCATTCCAATGTCAATTGCACATATTCCATATTTGCTTATTGTACTGTGTTACTTTACTAATCAAAAGTTTGGTTCCATAACCATGTCTTTGTTCTCTTTCTAAAGGCCAGGAGGGAGGGCACAGAGCTAATCTCATTGGTGAGAAAGTTCCAGAGCTGAGGAGCCGCCACTGAGAAGGTCCTGTCTCTCGTCCCCACCAACCGCACTTGTGAAGCAGGTGGGACCGAGAGTAGGGCCTCCCCGGAAGATCTTAACCTCCTTGATGGTTCATAGAGGGAAATATGTTTGGATAGGTAAGCTGGGCTGGAACCGTTTAGGGTTTTATACTAACTAATGTTGTTTCAATGTATTGTCGAAGATTTTCATGGCCAGAATCACTGAGTTGTTTTCTGGGCTATATGGGAATGTTCCTGAAGTACTGTATTCTCTCTTGACGTTTCGCCTGCATCTATGGCAGGCATCCTCAGGGGTAGTGAGGTCTGTTGGAAACTAGGAAAATGGGGTTTAAATGTTGTTTCCCCTCCTCCCCTATTTTCATTGTTTTCATCCTGTCCAATTCATACATTGGCAAAAGCAGAGGTTCCTTAAAAGTTCCCCACAGTTCAGGACTTTATAGTTCCACTTGTAATAAAGGGTAACATTTTAAACTGTAAATCCAAATTCAATATATTTTCTGAAAAATCTGTATTTCAGATTTAACAAATATGATACCATTATGCCAAGCAAAGTTAAATATGCAAAATTTAATGTACCCAAAATAACAAAGTGATTTCAAATCCGTAAAGGATGCTAGTATTTCATTTTTTAATTTTCTCCCAAAAATCTCAATCTTTTGGCCAAGGCATCAGCAACTGCATGTCTATTAGAACCAAAGGTTATAAAATTCATTGACATGACTTTTAACATTTTACTGCTTATTTACTTTATTAGTGTTGCGTTTTTAAATTATTATAATTGGTGCTTAACTATATAAGTTAATTTGTATTTTAACAGCTCTGATTACAGCCTGTTTTAATTACAGTATGCTGCAAACTGCCTCGCTTTCCAGCTGTGTGAGAAAAGCAGGATGGAAACCAAAAGGGAGACAAAAGAGCCAAGAGCAGTCGAGTCACAAGAAAAGTAGCTGCAAACCAGGCAGCCAAGTCAGAGGAACTGTATGGCTAGTTACCAGGGAGGCTTCAAAGGGAGTGAGGATACGCTAGTCCAAAACAAGTGTCGCTGAATAGATTGCTTTTATCCCTAATTAAATTTTTGAAACATCTCAGCTACAAATTATGTAAGAAAGACATCTTAAAATCCTTCCAGAAGGATTTAGTTTGTGAGAAACTTCTGACCTGACATTGTCCTCACCTACAGCTCCAATAAAACCAAAATATATGTCACCCCGCTTCTTATATTCCTCTCCTGCAATTGGCAAGGGATCCTTTTCTGGCTGCCCCTTTTCCTTTTCCTTTCCTTACTGGTCTGAACATGCTGAACATGAGGAAGAACTTCCTGGCTATGAGAGCCATTCAGCAGTGGAACTCTCTGCCCTGGAGTGTGGTGGAGGCTCCTTCTTTGGAAGCTTTTAAACAGAGGCTGGATGGCCATCTGTCAGGGGTGCTTTGAATGCAATATTCCTGCTTCTTGGCAGGGGGTTGGACTGGATGGCCCATGAGGTCTCTTCCAACTCTAGGATTCTCTGATTCTATGGTCAGTTTAGAGTACAGCATGACCTCCTGGACTTCAAGAGGAATTGCAAAGCCACTGGTAATAGTGGAATCCAGGACTTCCATCCCAATAACACCATAGAGTGCTCCAAAAATGCTTAGAGAAGATATGTGTGTCAGTCAGGGATAAATTTTAGCATGGGTACCCGTTCCAAGGGAACAGGGGCCATACTGTGTAAGATCCTTCAATCCTGCTTCAGTGAAGTACTAGATACGGATACAAAACCAAGTCAGTTTTAGTTCTGATGATTAAAATGCTGAACTGAGATGAAAGAAATGTGGCATATGTGCTTTCAAGTGTTCCTAACTATTAAGCTTATTTCCATGGTCCTCTGGTAATGATGAGAAGGGGAATCATTAATATGGGTCACTGGTGGCGCAGTGGGTTAAAGCGCTGAGCTGCTGAGCTTGTTCATTGAAAGGTTGCAGATTCGAATCTGGGGAGCAGCGTGAGCTTCTGCTGTCAGCCCCAACTTCTGCCAACCTAGCAGTTCAAAAACATGCAAATGTGAGTAGATCAATAGGTACCACTCCGGTGGGAAGGTAATGGCGCTCCATGCAGTCATGCCAGCCACATGACCTTGGAGGTGTCTACGGACAACACTGGCTCTTCAGCTTAGAAATGGAGATGAACATCACATCCCAGTCGGACACGACTCGACTTAATATCAGGGGAAAACCTTTACCTTTACCTATGATGCATAGGTTTTTTTTTAAAAAAAGCAAGTATTCTCCTTCCTTTCTTGTTCTCTGTCAATGAACGATCTATTCCTAGTCCCTGCACTGTTTTTTTTAATTAGAGTGAAGGATGCTCTTGATCTCTGCTAGTCTCTGTGGAGGCGGCAGTGTCTTGACCAGGCATGGGCCAACTTTGGCCCTCTCTTCAGGTGTTTTGGACTTCAACTCCAAAACACCTAGAGGGAAGGCCAAAGTTTGCCCATGCCTGGTATAGATAGAATTATATGCTAGGAAGTAGAAATTCTCAGCAAACAATTAGTACTAATGGAATTGAGGATAATAATAAACTGAAAATCCTCCAGAATTTGGGAACAGTCAGAATTTTACAGTGGCTGAAAGCCTAAAATACTTCAGTAACAACAACAAAAATGCAGGCAAAAAAGCAAACAGAATAAGCATACAACTGAAAAGTGTACTACAATACTCAGATCCAGGAGGAGAAAAGGCTGCAATTTCTTTTCTGCAAGCCAGTTGCATACAATAGGAAAAGAGGTTGTTTTATACAATACTAAACAACAAGGAGCCAAAGACCAACAAGTCACCAAATTTAGATATGGAAGGCTCTTTGCAACAAACTGCACACATAGTATTTCAAACATGGTCTAAATAGCCTGTTTGTGAAATCTACTTTTGTGCTGTTTCCTAGCACAGAATTTAAGACGAATACTTGGAGTAAGAGAAAAGTTGCCTTGGCTGACTGGCAAGTCTGATGTAATAAGGAAAATGCCAAACAAAAGATCGTGATTAGAGTTCTACAATACTCTTATTTAGTAAAACCTTCACCCCATATTTATTTATTTACGACATTTATATGCAGCCCTTCTCACCATGAAAGGGACTCAAAGAGTGGGTTACAAGTTATATGTAAATACAATATATTTACAATATATATTATTAGCATAGCACAATATTACTACCATACATTCCCATATCGTACTATACTGCTATACTGTAATATTATATGTAATATTATATGTAATATAAAATATAATATTATATTGTATTATTATTAGTATTATATTTTATTGCATGTATATACAATAAATTATATTATTAGCACAGCACAATATTAGTATTATGCATTACTATATTGTACTATACCACTATACTGTAATATTATTAGTAACTAGCTATCCCCTGCCACGCGTTGCTGTGGCCCAGTCTGGTGATCTGGGAAATAAAGTAATGAGAAAATGTTGATTTCTAATATATGTAATTTCTTTCTGCTTGTGGGTAAACAGTATTTCTTGCTGTTTCTTTGTCAGTGTTGATGAGGGGATTGTCTGGTTTGCCTACTCTGGAACATGCAACATATTATTGTCCTTCTTTAGGGGTCCCTTTCAAATCTATACTATATCTCTGTGTGTGTGGATCATATATATCTATGGCTGGATGTCTCTTTGTCAGGAGAGCTTTGATTACGTTTTCTTGCCCTGGTAAAAGGAGTTGGACTGGGTGTATTTTCTGTTGGTCATGGGGGTTCTGTGTGGGAAGTTTGCCCCAATTCTCTAGTTGGTGAGGTTCAGAATGCTCTTTGATTGTAGGTGAACTATAAATCCTAGCAACTACAACTCCTAAATGTCAAAGTCTATTTCCCCCCAAACTCCATCTGTGTTCATATTTGGGCATATTGAGTGCTTGTGTCAAGTTTGGTCCAGATCCATCATTGTTTGAGTCTACAGTGCTCTCTGGATGTAGGTGAACTACAACTCCCAAACTCAAGGTCAGTGCCCACCAAACCCTTCCAGTATTTTCTGTTGGTCATGGGAGTCCTGTGTGCCAAGTTTGGTTCAATTCCATCGTTGGTAGAGTTCAGAATGTTCTTTGATTGTAGATGAACTATAAATCCCAACAACTACAACTCCCAAATGACAGAATCAATATTTTTGAGTGATGGTCACTTGTTGGCCTGATAGGTGTATTGTGTCCAAATTTGGTGTCAATTCCCCCAGTGGTTTTTGAGTTCTGCTAATCCCACAAACGAACATTACATTTTTATTTTTATAGATATTACATGTAATATAAAATATATAATTTATATGAAATCAAGAATAATTGAAAGGAATCTGAAATAGATGTGTGGATCATACGGTGAGGGCCATCCATCTCAGTGATGTTTGTAACTGCTGGATTCTTCCCTCAATAGACAAATAGGGAAGTATTTCAGATAGCAATCAATTACAGCTAAACACAACACTTACAAGAGGACAAAGAAGAGAATAAATATTATAAACCAACCAAGTAAGTCAAATATAGTATGGTCCATTCCACATAAATCCCACTTTCACAGGGCTTATAAAAGTAAGATAGCTAGACAAAGTGAAAAGAAGCATCTTACATTGATGTTTACAAGAATGCTAGAAAAAAGGCACACAAAAAAGCAACTCAAGATGACACACTTGTGCACTACACTTTTGTTCCTAACTGGCTTGCTTATATATTAATGAAGAACAATTACTTTGAACTGATTGAACATTCTCTAGTTAGAAAAGGCAAAATGCTCATTTTTCCGTTTTCTAATGTTATCCTTGGGAATGTTACTTGCACAGAGAAAAATCTCAACCAAGGGCCAGTGGAGATATAACATGGCCCGTTCCAGAGTGTATAAGCTCATGAGACTGGTTGCGCTGCTGTCATCCTGCCATAAATTGTCCCAGTCCTCTTTAAGGTTTGGATGGTCACCAACTTTAACCAGAGTCAAAACAAAATAGGATTCTCAGCCACCCAAATGTAGGAACCCTTTTTCTGTTTCCTTCCATCTGTTCTTTAAAACATGAACAAGAAAATGTGTACTCTGAACATAATAGCTAAGACAAAAGAGCGAGCGATTCTGTTGATTTCACTTCTAGATTACGTTCCACTTTGACAAATTAGGAATGCACATGAAACCATCAGTGTGTGGTCAAAAAAAGTATAAATGGACAAATACACTGGGAGCATGCAACTCATGCATGTGAAAAAAGACAGAGCAGAAAAGTTTTCTATAGACAAAGGAAAGCAGGAAAGTAGAGTTCGATAACTGTTTTTAGGATACCAACAGTGGAAGGAAATAGCATAAAACATGGAGTGATGTTAAGTGAAATGTTGATGGACCTTTAAAAAGTGGGAATCATACTGCTGAAGAGGACAGGGACCTTCACTGACTTAATTCACTATTTTGTTCAGTTTATTGGATTTATTTCCCATTTTTCTCCCAGGTTGGGATTCACATTGTGGAATGGATCACATTGGGGAATTCAGATGATGACTTTCCAAATTACAGAATGACAGGAAGCCCTCTCAACAACTCAGTGAATGTTTGTCATGCATGGAAGATATGAGCAATTACAGATCTTCCAAATTGATATCATATTCTCGTCCTGGATATGCAATGCTCAACCGGCGACTAGAAGGTCACATTTAGGGCATTACAAGATTATCCATATCTAAGAACAGGGCAGAGAAAATCCGAGCGTCGTGCTTCAAGGGTTAGCTCTTCTAAAGCTTATTTGCAACCATATTTTTATGAATATGCAGATATGTTTCTATAGATCAGGCATGGGCAAACTTCAGCCCTCCAGGTATTTTGGACTTCCACAATTCCTAACAGCTGGAGTTGAAGTCCAAAACACCTGGAAGGCCAAAGTTTGCTCGTACCTGGCTTAAACCAACTGCAAGGAGGAACAGGAGCAAGAGAGTGCCAAAGGGTGCTGGTACTTCACCAAACTATAACTCCCAGGATTCCATAGCACTTAGCTAGGTCAGTAGTGTCAAACTGCATTAATTCTACAGTGCAGAGGCACCCCAAGACAACAAGTTTCAGCACAACTATTATTGCTCAGACAGGGATTGGGAGACAGCCATGTTTTATGCTATTTAGAGCAGAGAAGAGCTACCCAACCTGATCAAACTGTAAAGGACATGCTAACTACGATCTAGGAGAAGGACACATTGCGTGCAGAGTTCTTACCACCAGCAAGGCACTGTCATCAGTGTGCTGAGACCTTCTGGATGGAAAGGGACACTGGGGATGTGGGAAACAGGGCAACGTCAGAAGCAGAAAACACCACAACACAATATGAAGACAGACAGAGACATCTGGAATGTGTACATTTCTCTCTTGAGACGGCACATGGCAGCCATCAGTATATTCTAGCTTGGGGGGGGGGAGGGAAAACATCCCATTAGTCTTTTAACATCCCATTAGTCTCTGCATCCAACACATCTGCAACCGATTCAGGAGCTAGTTTGCTTTCGGCTATTGTCTCCAAAATGAAGCACAATTCAGCATTCAAAGCTGCTCAGTGGAGAACAAGGCAGTCCTTAGGAAAGAACACACACAGACACAGCTTGGGAGGGACCGAAACAAAGATAAAATGAAAAAGAACAGTACTATTTGGAAACAGTCCAGAGTCAGGAAGCAACGAATACTGGAAAGCATTTTCTATGTTATTTCTGGCATATTAAATTACATTTGTGATTTAGCATATCGCAAAGTAAAAAAAAATCCATTAATAAAACAAGGAAATCTAGCCTTTTGCTGTCCTAAAATGTCTTATGGGGAAATCCAAATGCCAAAGGGAAGGAGAGGGGGAGGCTGAGAATCAACCCAAACTGTGCTTTCACGCATTGATATGAGGGTTGGCAGTGTGACAAGCCTAAGATGGTTGCAAGAACTGCATGAAAAAAGCATTCTGGAAAGCACATTCAGCTGTGATGCCATGAAGTTGCAACTACACAAAAGCAGAGACCGTCTGCTCAATGGAGTTAAGCAGTGCAAATGTAAACAGCCTTGTGGTTCACTTCCAAAGGTTTTAGTAGTAACTTTAAAAGTTCGGAATTAACTACTTATTAATCATGAAATGGGTGAACAGCAAGGAAAATCACAAGTACATTTTAGGATGTTATCAGCACTAACCTCAGTATTACTATGTTAAAATAATGTTTTAAAATATCCAAATTGATTTATATACATATATTTATTACTTGGAAAAGTCAGACTACAGAGGAAAATGTACAGTCCAAAGTGAAAACGGTAAGTTGAAAAAAAGAGAAATTACATTGCAAAAACAAAAGAAAGACAACTCTGTTACAGCACAGTAGTCAGTATTGTTATTTTTAGGCAAATTCCACACACTCCAAGTTGAGTTCGCTTTCCAGTAAGAACACTACTAGCAAACACAGGCATAAATCGTAAGTATTTCCCATAAAGATCATTAAAGAATGACAAAAGGCAGCTTACTGCTTTCCATTCTTACCTCACTATCCAGAGTGCTTTGCTTCTGAGAAGTCTGGGCTGCCTTTTGCTTTGGAAGAAAGAAAAGAAAAATATGGTAAGAGGAGGGAAAAAGTACAGGTTTGAGTCGTAATAGAAATGTGTGGTGGTACAACAAGGATGGCAGGGAATATTTTGGAGACATTAGAGTACTTGCTACAAGCAGGAGATGCATAACAAAAGTGAGAAGTTTTTGTTCTCATAGTCAAAAGGAGAGGCTTATTTCTCAGAATGAAAAGCATTGCCAGGAATAACATTTTCTTCACTAACACATGCAATTTCTAGACTATGTTTAGTGACCTGTGAACATGATCTATCTGCCCAGGAGAACAAAGTCTAAGTTGGCATTAAAAAGCTTGCTTTATGTAAAAATGAGAAGCATCAAGGCACAGAGCACAGTAAGAATCTTTGTTTTAAAATACAAGCGTATGAAAATACGCTTTCATTCTGAGCAACTGAGGAAGGCACAGCCTGATATATGAATGTCTTTCTCTTTTTTTGCATGTAAAACACCATGTACGCCAGTGGTTCTCAACCTGGGGTCCCCAAATGTTTTTGGCCTACAACTCCCAGAAATCCCAGCCAGTTTACCAGCTGTTAGGATTTCTGGGAGTTGAAGGCCAAAAACATCTGGGTACCCCAGGTTGAGAACCACTGATGTACGCTGATGGCATTCTATAAATAAATAGTAATAAGCTTCTTTCTGTAGGTCTTGACAAGTATTTGTCAAAATCAGGATTAGTTTTGCCCCGATGAGCTGGTAAGAAAAGGAATTGTGATCAAAACTGTGAAATAAGACAAAAGGGATCCTCTCACCTCTGCAGGAACCTACCATATACCATGCAGCTGTGGACAAGTCTACATTGGAACCACCAAACACACCAGCATTGCCCAGACACGAATCAAGGAACATGAAAGGCACTGAAGATTAATTCAACCAGATAAGCCAGCCATAGTAGCACCTGATGAACCAACCTGGACACATACTATTAACTGGAAACACAGAAATGCTGGACCACTCTAACATCCACCAGACTACACAGAGAAGCCATTAATTTCAACAGAAGAAAGGAGCCATGAAAATGAACAAAATCTGGCTACCAGTATTTAAAAAACCTCTAAAATCAGGTCAGTAAATAAAGAGCAACACTAAAAAAACAAGGGAGTTTCAGATGAGAATTAATCAGGGACAGTTAATGCCTCCCAACAAAGGATCCTCCCAGGCAACAACCAGTCAGGAAAAGTGTTTTCTAATACTTATAGCCAGTACAAAATCTGGCTGTCAGTGTTAAAACTCTAAAAGCAGGACAGAAAATAAAGAACAACACTCGGAAAACAGGGAAATTACTGACAGGAAACAATCAGGGCCAGCTAACACCTCCCAACAAAGGATCCCCCAGGCAGTAAGAAGCCAAACTTTAAAACTGGACGGCCATTCAATGCTAATCAAGCTGGCCAATCGCAACATTCACACTTGGCTCAAACAGACAAGAGTTCTTTCTTCCACCCTGGACATTCCACAGATATAAACCTCACTTGCCTTGTTTCCAACAGACGTCTCAACCTCTGAGGATCCCTGCAATAGATGTGGGTGAAACATCAGAAAAGAATGCTTCTAGAACATGGCCTGGGTTGCCCGGAAATCTCACAGCAACCCAGTGATTCCAGGCATGAAAGCCTTTGACAACACGCTGAAGTACGAGTTCATCAATTCTGGAATCAAGCACACCCGTGATCTTTCACAGCTACTGCTCTGTGATATTTTAACCTCATGAGTGTATCACTACACAACTGCCCCGTGTATGAAGCTGGCAGAATCCTTGACATATCGTATTGTCTGTTTTTCAAAATGATTACTGATTTCCACCACCTTCTGTGATATCTTTCCTTCTGCATATAGCTAGCCAACAGCAAAAGGCGGCTGTTATAGCCCCATCCAAAGACACAACTGGAAGAGCACACCATATGCAAGCCAAATGCAAGATACTCCACTTTGGCAGGAAAAATGAAATGCAAAGATACAAAATGGGGGACACCTGGCTTGGGAGCAGTACGTGTGAAAAAGATCTTGGAGTCCTCGCGGACAACAAGTTAAACATGAGCCAACAATGTGATGTGGCGGCAAAAAAAGCCAATGGGATTTTGGCCTGCATCAAGAGGAGCATAGTGTCTAGATCTAGGGAAGTCATGCTCCCCATGCTCTATTCCGCTTTGGTTAGACCACACCTGGAATATTGTGTCCAATTCTGGGCACCACAATTCAAGAGAGATATTGACAAGCTGGAATGTGTCCAGAGGAGGGTGACTAAAATGATCAAGGGTCTGGAGAACAAGCCCTATGAGGAGCGGCTTAAGGAGCTGGGCATGTTTGGCCTGAAGAAGAGAAGGCTGAGAGGACATATGATAGCCATGTATAAATATGTGAGAGGAAGCCACAGGGAGGAGGGAGCAAGCTTGTTTTCTGCTTCCCTGGAGACTAGGACGCGGAACAATGGCTTCAAACTACAAGAGAGGAGATTCCATCTGAACACGAGGAAGAACTTCCTGACTGTGAGAGCCGTTCAGCAGTGGAACTCTCTGCCCCGGAGTGTGTGAAGCTTTGAAACAGAGGCTGGATGGCCATCTGTCAGGGGTGATTTGAATGCAATATTCCTGCTTCTTGGCAGGGGGTTGGACTGGATGGCCCATGAGGTCTCTTCCAACTCTTTGATTCTATGATTCTATGATCTCAAAGAACAAAATGCCAAGCACAGAACAAGTAGAAAAATCTATAAAATGTGAAACTTTGTTCTTTATTACTACTTCTTCATCAGGTTTCAGAAGCAAGAAAAAGCAGCTTGTATCTTAGTGTTTCCTGGCATATGAAGTAGCCAGTCATAAGCTTTATCAGGGTTAATACTAAAGTTAATGGTGGTTTATGTGTGTGTAAATGGATTCGAGATGTGGCAGGTCACCATGCCAAGCATAAGCCCTACAGAGACATATGGAGCACATCTGTAACTCCAGCCTCTACAAACTGCTCAGAAAAGCAAAAAGCTCCTCTGAGAAGATTTTTCTCAGAAGCTGCTTCTATTCCGAGGAGCTGTGGTCACAAAGCGGGCCAAACCTCTCCCTGTATGTACATAGTCACATGGCTAGTATACTATGGTTGGAGCAATGATGCCCTGAAGCTTTCTTCTGGGATTGAGCTTTGGGTGGGGTGGACTGAGAGATCTTGTGCTCTACTTCTGTAATGATATTTGCATAGCTTTACTGGCCTTGCTTTGTTTTTTAAAATTATGTTTGAGCTGTTTTATCTGCAAGGCTATATGCTCCTATGGCAGCGTTTCTCAACCTGGGGGTCGGGACTCCTGGGAAGGGGCCAAACCCTCAAGGTCAAAGCTGACTATAGGGCCACACAGGGGGGCTTGGAGGCTCTCAAGCTGCATCTACACTGTCGAATTTAAAGCAGTTTGACAACACTTTGTCATGGCTTCATGGAATGCTGACAGTTGTAGCTTTAGAAGCTAATGCTAAAGAATGCTGGTGTCTCACCAAGCTACAAATCCCAGTATCCCATTGCAGTGAGCCTTCACAGCCAAAGTGGTATCAAACTGCGTTAATTCGACAGTCTAGATGAGAGTTTCTCAACCTGGGGGTCGGGACCCCTGGGAGAGTTGCGAGGGGGTGTCAGAGGGGTTGCCAAAGGCCATCAGAAAACACAGTATTTTCTGTAGGTTATGGGTGTTCTGTGTGGGAAGTTTTGCCCAATTCTATTACTGGTGGAGTTCAGAATGCTCTTTAATTGTAGGTGAACTATAAATCCCAGCAACGACAACTCCTAAATGTCAAGGTTTATTTTTACCCAAACTCCTCCAGTGTTCACATTTGGGCATATTGAGAATTCATGCCAAGTTTGGCCCAGATCCATCATTGTTTTGAGGCCACAGTGCTCTCTGGATGTAGGTGAACTACAAATCTAAAATTCAAGGTCAATGCCCACCAAATCCTTCCAGTATTTTCTGTTGGTCATGGGAGTTCTGTGTGCCAAGTTTGGTTCAATTTCATAGTTGGTGGAGTTCAGAATGCTCTTTGATTGTAGGTGAACTATAAATCCCAGCAACTACAACTCCCAAATGACAAAATCAACCCCCCAACCCCATCAGTATTCAAATTTGGGCATATTGCGTATTTGTGCCAAATTTGGCCCAGTGAATGAAAATGCATCCTGCATATCAGATATTTGCATTACGATGTATAGGAGTGGCAAAATTACAGTTATGAAGTAGCAATGAAAATAATTTTATGGTTGGGGGTCACCATAACATGAGGAACTGTATTAAGGGATTGTGACATTAGGAAGGTTGAGAAACACTGCCCGATGGCCTTTCTCAAGAAAAAGTATACTCTTTACATATGTAGCCCTAAGAGATGGAATACACCAAGGGACCTGTATACAGCAAACACAGAGCTAATATTACTGCCTCTCTCTTCAGAAGGTCCTTACTTTGACAAAGTCAAGCACAGCTTCCCGCTGGATTTGTTTTGTCCGCATCTTCTCCTCCTCATACTGCAGTGCAGCAAGCTGGGCCTCCCTCCGGGTCCGCTCCACTAAATGCTCACGCTTTTTGTGTAGATCGGCATCTGAGTGAGAGACCTGGAACATGGTTTTGGAGAATGCATTTTTTTAAAGTAATCAGCCACATGTGAAACAGAAAGCAGAAAGTTTCTGAAATGCCGGGTGTCTGTTTACCTGATTGTGACTGTTGGACAGCAACGGGGTGGAAGAGGAATCATTGGAGCCTCTGAAAATAAAAAGAAACTTTATAGGAGATTAAACATCGCATTCTCTTTCACTTCACAATGAATACAATACATTTAATACAGACTAGAGAATAAATATTTTCTTCTAGTACCTACAGATATGCAGAAGAACAGTTATTAAATCAAGTAAGTAGATCTAAGAACGAATGTTTCCAGAGGAAAATCTGTAGCATTGGATAAAGGATGTCAGATCAGGGGTAGCAATTTATTACTCATCTCACCACACTAAAACAGTGGATGTGGCTCTTAATGAGACATGCCGCATTATCACGGGGTGTCTGCTCCCTACACCACTGGAAAAACTACACTGCTTAGCTGGTATTGCACCACCTGACATCCTCTGGGGAGTAGCAACCGGGGAGTAGCAAGTGAAAGGACCAAGACAGTGACATCTCCAGCTCATCCCGTGTTTGGGTATCAGCCAGCATGCCAACGACTTAAATCAAGAAATAGTTTTCTAAGATCTACAGAGACACTTTCTGAAACACCTCAGCAAGCGAGAGTCCAAAAGTGGCAGGCTCAATGGCTGATACCAAATGAGAGACTCCCCCCTGGGCACACAAAAAACTGGGCGACTTGGAAGGTGCTGAACAGACTGTGCTCTGGCAACACGAGATGCAGAGCCAACCTCAAGAAATGGGGCCACAAAGTGGAATCCTCTACATGCGAGTGTGGAGAAGAGCAAACCACTGACCACCTGCTGCAATGCAACCCGAGCCCTGCCACATGCACAATGGAGGACCTTTTTGTGGCAACACCAGAGGCGCTCCAAGTGGCCAGATACTGGTCAAAGGACATTTAATCAGCTACCAAGTTTGCTAAATTTGTGGGTTTTTTTATCTGTTTGTTTTGTTCTGTTAGAAATGTAATACAATGTTGTGGTTGCGGATGACACGATAAATAAATAAATAAATAAATAACTCTTCATTGTCCCAAGACCTACTCTCCTTTCCCTCGGCCCTTGGGCTGGCATTCCACAATTTCCTAACAAGGACAAGTTATGCTACACTTGATTTATGCCAGTATCACCAGACCTCCATTACACAACTAGAATGAAGGCTGGGAACTTAACACAACATGTTCAAGTAGTGAGGGATGAGATTTGGGTGGCATCGTATCTAAGTAAAGAATTCACTAAAGTTCTTGGCCAAGCACACCTAATATGTCCAGATGAAGTCCTTGACACATAGAATCGTAGAGTTGGAAGAGACCTCATGGGCCATCCAGTCCAACCCCCTGCCAAGAAATAGGAATATTGCATTCAAAGCACCCCTGACAGATGGCCATCCAGCCTCTGTTTCAAAGCTTCCAAAGAAGGAGCCCCCACCACACTCCGGGGCAGAGAGTTCCACTGCTCAACGGCTCTCACAGTCAGGAAGTTCTTCCTCATGTTCAGATGGAATCTCCTTTCTTGTAGTTTGAAGCCATTGATCCATGTCCTAGTCTCTAGGGAAGTAGAAAACAAGCTTGCTCCCTCCTCCCTGTGGCTTCCTCTCACATATTTATACATGGCTATCATGTCTCCTCTCAGCCTTCTCTTCTTCAGGCTAAACATGCCCAGCTCTTTAAGCCGCTCCTCATAGGGCTTGTTCTCCAGACCCTTGATCATTTTAGTCGCCCTCCTCTGGACACATTCCAGCTTGTCAATATCTCCCTTCAACTGTGGTGCCCAGAACTGGACACAATATTCCAGATGTGGTCTAACCAAGGCAGAATAGAGGATGGGTAGCATCACTCCCCTGGATCTAGACACTATGCTCCTAGTGATGCAGGCCAAAATCCCATTGGCTTTTTTTTGCTGTCGCATCACATTGTTGGCTCATGTTTAACTTGTCCACAAGGACTCCAATATCTTTTTCACACGTACTGCTCTCGAGCCAGGCGTCCCCCATTCTGTATCTTTGCAGTCAAGTTAATTAAGATGGTTGTTGTTGTTGTTGTTGTGTGCCTTCAAGTCATTTCATACTTAGAGCGACCCTAAGTCTAGAATATAGGGTAAGTGCTGTGTGAATGACCTCAGAGGGTCACATCCGGCCCACAGGCCTTAGTTGGATAAACCTGCTTTTTAGTAAGACTACCTTCCTGCAACCATACCTTTCAGTTCAACACAACACACGGTGCAGAGAAGTGGCTGTTCATGTAATAAAAGGCTCAAGAGGTTGCAGAACTAGTCCGCCCACAAACAGTTCTTTTGGAGCCTAGCTCTTCTCCCTCCAAACCGTATGATTTAAAGAAGTCTGAATTCCTTTCCTTTCCCCAGCTACCACTATGAACTACAGAGTTCAACTGCAACAATAAAGCCTTCAAGACAGACTCCACTGGAAACTTCTCCAAAACATACTGCTATGGCAACCCAGGAACAACGTGAAAAAATATGTTGCATTTATTGCCTTGGGATTTCCATGTCTTTTGCTTAGCCCACTACAGCAATTAACAAGCACAGCCTCACTGCTCTTTAAGTATAATGCTAACAATTTAACTTCATCAGTTTTACAAGGAATAAATGGATTTGGATATATGTAAATGCCTCATGCTGTGCCCAGTTCCTTTGCATACAAAATCCACAAAGGCACTCTTTGGAACTTTGCAATGAGAGCTCTCCCGAGGGCCACCATATTTCAAACATGTTTCCTTGTGGTCATTAACAGCCACTGAGGCCTTCAGAAGCTTCCATCTAGTGTTTACATTGATAACTTGGGGTGCTTCAAAAAGAAATATCTCAGCCTAGAACCCCAGTTCAAATTTGTACAAAGTAACCATGGCACAATGAGTTCAATTACTCCTTTTATGCTAGACAGTAATGTTTCTCTCCCACAACATAAGGTTATCTATTTGGGAGTAGCTGGGTTTCAACATTAATTGACTAGGGAAGTTCAAGTTATTTTACTGACCGGGAAGGCTAAGGTATAACTCATTAGTGCTCTTTGAAGTGCCACACAGTGCATGGCTCAAGCAATCCTAAAAATGCTTATCTACTCTCCTTTTCCCATAATTGCCTATGGATGGTATGAAAACTATCTCACAAAGGCAGGATGGGGCAGCCTTCCGTCATTCATGAAACAATATCCGAATGGCCCTGCATGCAATTTGCTCAAACTTAATCAAGAAACTCATTTGGAACAGCAAAGGATCTGCAATTTAATCCCATTCCAGTTTTCCTGTTCTCATTGTAATGACTGTTATAAGTCATGAACACCAAACCTCGTATCATTTACATCTCAAGTCTGGGTCTTCTCATTTCCTTATTTGGCATCAGCAACACCCTCGACAGCCCTCTGTGCCGTCACTAGGGAATGCCATGCTCCACACAACATGAAAGCAATGATATTGACAAGAGTCAGATTTAAAAGGATTTCTTTTTCTACAACAAAACTATCAATAGACAAAACCAGGCTCTATTTTAAAAGGGGAGGACTGCTTCCGTCACTTCCTTACCTTTCCGCCCGATCTAGGTAGTTCCTTAACAGCCGCTCTCTGTCATGCGTCAAGCTCAGACTTTCGGGCCGCTTTAACTCATCTGCATCCCTTCAAGTAGACATATTAAGTTGGAGATGTTAATGATACAAAGAAAAAGGAATGAGAGAAAACTAAAAACAAATTATAGCTTCTTCCTCTACCAAACAAAACCCACCTGGATTTATTTATTTCAGGCCACACCTTAGAATCACAGAGTTGGAAGAGACCTCATGGGCCATCCAGTCCAACCCCATTCTGCCAAGAAGCAGAAAAATCACATTCAAAGCACCCCTGACTAATGGCCATCTAGCCTGTTTAAAAGCCTCCAAAGGAGACTCCATCACACTCCGGGGCAGAGAGTTCCACTGCTGAATAGCTCTCTCTCACAGTTAGGAAACTCTTCCTAAAGTTCAGGTGGAATCTCCTTTCCTGTAGTTTGAAGCCATTGTTCTACATCCTAGTCTTCAGGGAAGTGGAAAACAACAACAACAACAACAACCTTTATTTATACCCCGCCACCATCTCCCCACAGGGGACTCGGGGTGGTTAACATGAAGCCAAGTTCAAAGATACAATACAACTGAGTAAAATACAAAATACAGACAACAAAATTACATCAGAATAAAATACACACAATAACAATAAGATAAATAAAGCAAATAAAAATATTATAAAATCGAACAAAATGGGCAGGCCGAATGGGCGAGGTAACATGATAAAACCCTGGATGAGGCAGGAGTAGAAAAAAAAAGATGTAATTGAGAGGAGCTCAAAAAGGATGAACAGTGGGATTAGTCTTTCAGTTTAGGAAGGGGGAACACTGTGGATGGAACAAACAGAAATGGGATAGGTGTTCCCACAAGTCTTGCCTGTGATAAAGGAAGTGGCAAAAGGAGGGCCTTCCCAGAGGATCAGAGGGATCGTGCAGGTTGGTGGTAGGACAAGCCCCCTATGACTTCTCCTTACATATTTATATATGGCTATTAGATCTCCCCTCAGCCTTCTCTTCTGCAGGCTAAACATGCCCAGCTCTTTAAGCCACTCCTCATAGGGCTTGTTCTCTAGACCCTTGATCATTTTAGTCATCCTCCTCTGGACATATTCCAAATTAGAGTCAACATCTCCCTTAAATTGGGGTGCCCAGAATTGGACACAGTGTGATTCCAGGCATGGTCTGACCAAGGCAGAATAAAGGGGTAGCATGATTCCCTAGATCTAGACACTATACTCCTATTGATACAGCCCAAAATCCAATTGGTTTTTTTTACTTGCCGCATGACATTGTTGGCTCATGTTTAACTTGTTGTCTTTTTCACATGTATGTTGTCAAGCCAGGCATCACCCCCCATTCTGTATCTTTGCATTTCATTTTTTTCTGCCTAAGTGGAGTATCTTGCATGTGTCCCTGTTGAACTTCATTTTCTTTGTTTTGGCCAATATTCTCTCTAATCTGTTAAGATTGTTTTGAATTCTGCTCCTGTCTTCTGGAGTATTGGTTATCCCTCCAAATTTGGTGTAATCTGCAAACTCTGATGATCCTGCCTTCTAACCCTTCATCTAAGTCATTTATAAAGATCCTGAACAGGACCGGGCCCAGGAGGGAACCCTGCTTGTGGCACTCCACTCGTCACTTCTTTCCAGAATGAAGAGGAAGCATTGGTGAGCACCCTCTGGGTTCGTCCGCTTAAACAATTATAGATCCACCTCACCGTAGTTTTGCCTAGCTCACATTTGACTAGATGTGGGCAAAACATCAGGAGAGAATGCTTTGAACATTGCCATGCAGCCTGGAAAACTCACAGCAAACCAGTGATTCCCGCCATGAAAGCGGTCAACAATACATTTGACTAGTGTATTTGTCAGAAGGTCATGGGGGACCTTTTCGAAGACCTTCTCCCAACATGGAACCCAAGTATGTTTATAACAAGGTTGAATTAAAAAAAAAACTAAAAATCTGAGGATAAATATAATGAAATAAGCTATGATTTTGTAAACAACACCAAATTAAACAATACAAAATAATTTTAAAACATTACAATACGAACAACCACGAATGTGAAATGATACAAAAATATTTCAATCCACAACAAAGACAAATAACCCTAAGGCAATGAACTTTTTCCAAAGTTCATGTTTGGGGGCTCGCCCAGCATTCAAATTCAAAATGCAACATCAGCAGTTATGGTTAATGGCATTTTAAAAGGTTCTTCCCCAAACATTGGAAATTCACAATGAGCAAATAATAGCTAATGATCCTTAACAACAATCACTTGGCTGGGAAGAGGGCATGGAATGAAGAAAACAAGTGGCAGGATCACGTTTTGTTTTAAGGACACGGGAGAGCAAGTTCCAAAGCACTGAAAAGCATCTTGGATGTAAAATTCGAAATTGGGCTTTTTATAAAACTGTGGCTCTAAAGAAAATTGACTCCTCTGCTAAATCTGCACGGAAGAGCTTCAGACATAGTAAAGAAGCTCATGCACCAAAGCTTCTATCAGATCATTAACTTTCCCACTAAACAAGGAGTGCGTACTCCTCCACTTCACTGATCACTAGGAAGCTTTAGAGCCAGGCTTTTACAAGTTTACATCTCTCACGAGAAGCCGGTAACTGGATGGACTGCATCTTGGAAATGTATTTATGAGCAAACAAACTGAACACAGGGCAGGCAAGCCTTCACACAGGCCATGGCAACCTGCAAAACAGCACCAGGTTGCCACTTGCCACTGGACCTGAAATGCTCCCCTCATTGCCTCCCATCCACTGTATCCATATTTAAGTCCTAGGGAGGCTTAAACCTGGTTTGAATTAGGCTGTGCATTGGGCTGATTAAGAAAAACCTTCTTAAATTAGCATGAGTTTCTCCAGATCTATATTTGCACTGATTGCCGCCACCACAGATTTTGTAAGCATAAGCCAATTCTAGATGGTGTCTCCTTCTTACGCCTTTTTCTAATTTAAGCTTCTCAAGTCCTGGGGTGAGGATCATCAGCATTATGCCCATTTTTGGTTAGGTAATTAAAATTCTACAGGCAGCACCCAAACGCTTTAGAAGTGCATTTACTCTATTTTAATGGGTCCTGCTCTATACAGATCAGGCATTCAACTGGGGGGTGGGGGGTGTAGAGTGTGATGGACAAACAAACCCCTGCTTCAAAGGCTTGAAAATCTCTTTATCTGTTCTAGCAAAACCGTTTGGTTATCAGTTCTAAAGACCTATATACAAGGCAATGCTTAGAAAACCTGGGAATAATACTGCTACGTATGATGAACTTGCTACAGGCATAGACCAAATTCTAAGGCACTGAAGTATGAAGATATTATATTTAAAACGGTGTTGTAACGATAGACATAACTCTATCTCCTAGCTATGATCAGAGGATCAAGGTTGCCCTGCTATTGTGTATGTTCCTTCTCTCTTCCACTGCAAACTGCATTCCTCTACATACACCCACACTAGCTGGAACTCCCCAGCAAGCAAGAGTCCAAAAGTGGCAGGCTCAAAAAAACCCAGAACCTCAATCAATGGCTGATACCAAATGAGAGACTCCACCCTGGGCACACAGAAAACTGGGTGACTTGGAAGGTGTTGAACAGACTGCGAGATGAAGAGCCAATCTTAAGAAATGGGGCTACAAAGTGGAATCCACGACATGTGAGTGTGGAGAAGAGCAAACCACTGACCACCTGCTGCAATGCAACCTGAGCCCTGCTACATGCACAATGGAGGACCTCCTTGCGGCAAGACCAGAGGCATTCCAAGTGGCCAGATACTGGTCAAAGGACATTTAATCAACTACCAAGCTTGCAAACTTTGTGTTTTGTCTGTCTGTTTGTTTGTTTGTTTTATTAAAAATGTAATACAACTGTCTGGTTGCTCCTGACACGATAAAGAAATAAAATAAAATAAACAAACCCACATCCCACAGGCAACAAACACCAGGTATGTACTGAGTCTAAACATGAGAGTAATTAATACTAATTAATATTAATAACTGACATTTCTTACCCACCTCTCTTCAAAAAGGGTTACAGAATAATTAGCATTACACAAGATATTTTGCTTAAAATGTAATGTGACCCCTTATCCACAGATTCAATATCCTTGGTTTCACTTACCCAAGTTCCCAAAAGTATATCAGAAGTGTTTGTGCGCCTCTCTCTAGGTCCCCTTGTGCAATTCTAGGATATACCTTGGAACCAAGTATATTCAATATATAGCATCCATTGTATCAGGTATCCATCCCCTTTGGGTATGGAGGCTGTACTGTACTGTAAGGCCACAAACCCAAAATAATGCAATCTGTCCTATAATATATTCCAGGCCCTGCAGCATGATATTTCCTGGGGATTCTCAGAACTCTGGACAAATGAAACAAAACTTACCTGTTATGGTGCAAGTATCTTCTTGAATCTTCTGATCTATGGCATTCTCGGATTGGTACTAGTTTTACTGGTGAGCCCTTAGCAAAAGAGAAAAAAAAGGATTGCAAATATAACCAACATTTTCATTACTCTGAATAGTCCAACACTCATTGCTGCGTGCCTTCAAGTTATTTATGCCACTTTAAGGTTTCTTGGCAGAATTTCTTCAGAGAGGGGTTGCCCTTGCTTTCCTTTGAGCCTGCATACCAGTTAAGGGTTAGTCAAAAACAAGGATACATCCAAATTAAGTCTGCAGCAATGCATGGCTTCAATCTGTGCATATTACTCATGCAAAGATTGAACCATGATCAGGGCATGTTATCTGATCCTTGGCTGGTAGAATTAATCTTTCCATGCACAGAACTCAGGTTAGCAATGTAAACTATGGTTTTACACTCTGTCAAAGCTTTTAACCAGAGTTAAAAGAACATATCACAGTAATCCCTAACTACAAGTGGATGTTAGCTTCTACTGAATCTTAAGGGCAGAGGATTTCATGATCATGCAGATAAACTATTGGTTAACTGTGTTTTCTTGTGATTCTCTGAGTAGATGATTTCCCAAAGCTTATTTAGTTGCTCTTAGTATATTTATTTATAACCCCAAATACCTGGGAGTGACTCTGGACCGTGCTCTTACCTACAAGAAACACTGCCTGAACATCAAGCAAAAAGTGGGTGCTAGAAACAATATCATACGAAAGCTGACTGGCACACCCTGGGGATCACAACCAGACACAGTGAAGACATCTGCCCTTGCGCTATGCTACTCTGCTGCTGAGTACGCATGCCCAGTGTGGAACACATCTCACCACACTAAAACAGTGGATGTGGCTCTTAATAAGACATGCCGCATTATCACGGGGTGTCTGCGCCCTACACCACTGGAGAAAGTACACTGCTTAGCCGTTATTGCACCACCTGACATCCGCCGGGAAGGAGCAGCCAATAGTGAAAGGACCAAGGCAGAGATATCTCCAGCTCATCCCGTTTGGGTATCAGCCAGCACGTCAATGACTTAAATCTAGAAATAGTTTTCTAAGATCTACAGAGATACTCGCTGGAACACCTCAGCAAGCGAGAGTCCAAAAGTGGCAGACTCAAACCCAGAACCTCAACCAATGGCTGATACCCAATGAGGGACTCCCCCCGGGCACACAGAAGACTGGGTGACTTGGAAGGCGCTGAACAGAGTGCGCTCTGGCACCACGAGATGCAGAGCCAACCTTCAGAAATAGGGCTACAAAGTGGAATCCACGACATGCGAGAGTGGAGAAGAGCAAACCACTGACCACCTGCTGCAATGCACCCTGAGCCCTGCCACATGCACAATGGAGGACCTTCTTGCAGCAACACCAGAGGCACTCCAAGTGACCAGCTACTGGTCAAAGGACATTTAATCAACTACCAATCTTGCAAATTTTGTATTTTTTCTGTTTGTTTGTTTGTTTTGTTCTGTTAGAATTGTAATACAATTGACTGGTTGCCCTGACACGACAAATAAGTACATTTATTGTAACAGGAAACGGTTTACTTTCAGCTGTACTTGATTTGATTATGGTGCCATCTTGAGAAGCAAACCTGATTGTTGTTTTTAAAACAGTACCTTCCTAAACAGCCTGTGGGTCTCCCCTTGAAGCATGTCCTGAGCAGCAAGGCCACTCTCTCAATTCATTACTGGGCTTGCAGAACTAATATACGGCCAGAGGAAATCTGAGCCATTGCAATTTGAAGAATAGAAATTGGGGGAAATATAAAGGGGCTTTTTTATCCAGCCACTGAGCAAGCGGTAATTAAGTTGGCCCACAGAGACGGTGATATTATCCCACAGTGCACAAAAGCCCAGTCAGCCCCTGGGGGAGCCCTCATGCACTCAACCGGAAGATCATCCGGGTAATTAGGGAGCCAGTCTCGCTGCGGCTTAGCCCAGGGAGAAGAATGGGGGCTATGTTGGGGCCTGAGCGCATACGTGGGATCCAAAGTGGACGGGAATGTTGGGACCCTGAAAGGCCCCCCAGAAGAGAACAATAAGCCAACGTCAATGAGCCTTTGCACAGCTCTGCATGTTGAGTCCTGGATGAAGGCACATAGTGGAACTCAAGCACGGGACACGCCACTTGTTCAGAAAAGCAGAAGATTATCCCATGCAGGGTGCCGGGGCCACATGGGGAGCAACCTGCTGTTAAAAGCCTCCTGTTCCACTTATGCAGAAGAGCTGAGGCTGGAGGCCACAGAGGTGCAAACGCATTATTTGAACGTTTCCTGAATTTGATTATAGGCTTATTAAGAGCTCTTCCATTTCCTACGGCACAGACGGGCTCTGCAGGGGGTGGTTTTCCCCTCAATGTGCTCCCAACAGTTACAAGGCCAAATTCTGGGTGACATTTTCTTTAGTCCATCTCACCATCACATCAATGAGTTTGATGTACAGATTTCACAAAAGAACCAGATGAATAGGACTGTTGCATGATCAAATAATAAAATAAGAACATGAGAGAATACACGTTAATACCAGCAGGAGTATTATTTGCGCAACAAAGGAATAGGATGGAAATACCAACTATAAAAAATGGGCAATGAAGATGTGGGAAATGGGCAAAGAAATGGAAAAGTTAACAACTTTGTTAAAATATAAATCTTTGGACACATTCTTAGAAGAATAAAACCTTTCTATCAATATATATATATACACACACACACACACACACACACACTGTATATACTCGAGTATAAGCCTAGTTGTTCAGCCCTTTTTTAAGGCTGAAAAAGTCCCCCTCGGCTTATATTCGAGTCAAGGTTATTTATTATTTTACTCTGTTATTATTATTTTTATTACATTTATTATTTTACTCAATTATTATTATTAATATTAATATTATTACATTTATTATTTTACTCGATTATTATTAGTATTATTACATTTATTATTCAATTATTACTGTTATTACATTTCCATTATGTTACTCTATTTATTATTGTTATTGTTACATTTATTATTCGATTATTGCTATTATTACATTTCCATTATTTTACTCTAATATTATTATTGTTGTTGTTATTATTACATTTATTATCTTACTCTATTATTATTGGAAGAATGTAAGCACATTTACACTGAAGAATTTTAGAATAATGGTTTGATCAGAGTTGGGCAGTCTTATCTTAATAATAGTTTTATGTAAATATTTAAAAACATTTAACCCACTGATGCCTCGATAAATGTAATTGTACTGATATCTATTTTTATTTGAATTTTACCAGTAGTTGCTGCATTTCCCACCCCCGGCTTATACTCGAGTCAATATGTTTTCCCAGTTATTTGTGGTAAAATTAGGTGCCTCGGCTTATATTTGGGTCGGCTTATACTCGGGTATATACGGTATATAGATATAGATCTAGGAGAGGGAAATACTCTATGTACAGGTCTAAAGATATAGAACTATTGGGGTATTGATTTGTTAAAGTAAAAACAAGCAGACATAAAGAACTTGATGGATATATGGTGAAAGAAAAATGTTTAAAGTATAAATGGGATGCATAAAGGGATGCAGGAAAAGGTCTTATGTATGTATCTACAGGCAGTCCATGAGTTACAAACATCTGACTTACAAATGGGGGTGAGACAACAGAGAAAGCAATCTACTCATCGAAAGGGAAATCCACTCCTGAAACAGTTATTACAATGGGGAAAAGGTGTCCCACTGAAGCTGCATCTCCAAATCTCTGGGAGATCAGGGACCCATAGAAACTCAACACATGACAGTAAGCAAGTCCTACTTTCTCAGCCTAGGAGGCAAACCTCCTTTGTCTAGAGCAGGGGTCCTCAAACTTTTTAAACAGAGGGCCAGGTCACAGTCCGCCAAACTGTTGGAGGGCCGAATTATAATTTGAAAAAAACACGAATGAAGTCCCATGCACACAGCACATATCTCATTTTTCGTGCAAAAAAACACTTAAAAACAATACAATAATTAAAATGAAGAACAATTTTAACAATTGTTGATGAGATAGGATTGTTGTTGTTGGTGTTGTTGTGTGCTTTCAAGTCGTTTCAGACTTAGGTTGACCCTGAGTGAGGGCCGGGTAAATGACCTTGGAGGGCCGTATCCGGCTCCCGGGACTTAGTTCGAGGACCCCTGGTCTAGAGCTGAAGACAGAGTTACTGCAAGTCGTAGCTGCCTTGGGAGCACATAACAACATTTTTTTTGTCGTTTCAGGAGTGACTCCTGGTGTGAGAGAATTGGCCGTCTGCAAGGACGTTGCCCAGGGGACGCCTGGATGATTTGATGTTTTTATCATCCTTGTGGGAGGCTTCTCCCATGTCCCCGCATGAGGAGCTGGAGCGTATAGAGGGAGCTCATCCGCCTCTCCCTGGATTCGAACCTGCGACCTATCGGTCTTCAGTCCTGCCGGCACAGGGGTTTAACCCACTGCGCCACCGGGGGCTCCTTATAAGAACAATATAAGCATTTCTCTCCTATCACATGCTATTCCTAGATTTTAGCACAAAATTAAAAATAAACAACAAGGAACATGTTGGCATGACCTTTCACACTCACAAAACCCATCAAATCCTCAACTGCCTCTGTATCCGCTCAGCTGCATCCAGTAATAACCAAATCCAGATGTAAGTTCTTATAAGCACGTCGGATTCGGTGAATTTATGCAACTAAGAAATACTCGCTGAAGATGTTTTTTTAATGAATCTCTGCTACTCAGAGAGCGAACATACAAAATTAAAAATAAACAACAAGGAACATGTTGGCATACAAGACACAGAGAAAAGGGCAGTCCTGCTGAGTCTTCAACACTACATTGAAGAATGAAATTCACATCAAGCTTACAACACAACTGCTCTATTTAGATGCCTTTCAATAGTTTCTACTTGCCTAGTTCAAAGTAGTAGCTCTGGAAATGGGGAAAAAATGAAGCAGGCATTCTATAGTTATTTGAGAAACGTGTGGGAGGTAGTTGCATAAATACACTCCAGACCTTCTGGTATCAATTCAGGATTATAAAAGACTGCCTCAAAATGAATCATGGGGCCTTACAACTGTTTCCTGACAGCCAACTTTTTTCCAAGGAGACTCCAACAACAATACATAGCGAAAAATAAACTTCATTCACTCAATATTGTGTCATAAAACAGATCTGCCCTACTGTATGTGTCATCGAAGGCTTTCATGGTTGAAATCACTAGGTTTCTGTCAGTTTTCTGGTTGTATGGCCATGTTCCAGAAGCATTCTCTCCTGAGGTTTCACTCACATCTATGGCAGCAATCCTCAGAGGTTGAGGGGTCTGTTGGAAACTAGGCAAGTGAGGTTTATATATCTGTGGAATGTCCAGGGTGGGAGAAAGAACTTTTGTCTGCTTGAAGCAAGTGTGAATATTGCAATTGGCCACCTTAATTAGCATTGAAAGGCCTTGCAGCTTCAAAGCCTAGCTGCCTACTGTCTGAGGGAATAATTGTTTGGCCCTGATTGATGCTTGTCCATAATTCCCGTTTTCTGAGTGTTGCTCTTCATTTACTGTCCTGAATTTAGAGCAGTGGTTCTCAACCTGGGATCTCCAAATGTTTTTGATCTTTGTGAACTCCCAGAAATCCTAACAGCTGGTAAACTGGCTGGGATTTCTGGGAGTTGTAGGCCAAAAACATCTGGATACCCCTGGTTGAGAGCCAGTTTTAGAGGGTTTTTTTTAACTGGACGCCAGATTTTGTTCATTTTCATGGTTTCCTCCTTTCTGTTGACATTGTGCACATGACTGTGGATTTCAATGGCTTCTCTACCTCAAGCAGATAAGAGTTCTTTCTCTCACCCTGGATATTCCACAGATCAATAAACCAGACTTGCCTAGTTTCCAACAGACTCCTCAACTTCTGGGGATGCCGGCCATAGATGTGGGTGAAATATCAGGAGAGAATGCTTACTGAATATGGCCATACAACCCCGAAAACTCACAGCAACCCAGTGATCTGACCTACCCGCGACACTACATCCGCCCAACGTGATCTGCACAATTTTCATAGTGGCATCTCACCACCAAATTCGAGGGATTCGTCGTTCCCATCCTAGTCTAGCCCACCAGCCGTGACAGACTTTAGGCCGTGACAGACTTTGTATTTCTAGGTGCAAAGATTACTGCAGATGCAGACTGTGGCCAGGAAATCAGAAGACGCTTACTTCTTGGGAGGAGAGCAATGTCCAATCTCGATAAAGTAGTAAAGAGTAGAGACATCACACTGGCAACAAAGATCCGCCTAGTCAAAGCCATGGTATTCCCTGTAGTAACCTACGGATGTGAGAGCTGGACCTTAGGGAAGGCTGAGCAAAGGAAGATAGATGCTTTTGAGCTGTGCTGGAGGAAAGTTCTGAGAGTGCCTTGGACCGCGAGAAGATCCAACCAGTCCATCCTCCAGGAAATAAAGCCCGACTGCTCATTGGAGGGAAGGATAGTAGAATCATAGAATCAAAGAGTTGGAAGAGACCTCATGGGCCATCCAGTCCAACGCCTTTCTGCCAAGAAGCAGGAATGTTGCATTCAAATCACCCCTGACAGATGGCTATCCAGCCTCTGCTTAAAAGCTTCCAAAGAAGGAGCCTCCACCACACTCCGGGGCGGAGAGTTCCACTGCTGAACGGCTCTCACAGTCAGGAAGTTCTTCCTAATGTTCAGATGGAATCTCCTCTCTTGTAGTTTGAAGCCATTGTTCCGCGTCCTAGTCTCCAAGGAAGCAGAAAACAAGCTTGCTCCCTCCTCCCTGTGGCTTCCTCTCACATATTTATACATAGAGCCAAAGATGACGTACTTTGGCCACATGATGAGAAGAAAGGAAAGCTTAGAGAAGACAATGATGCTGGGGAAAATGGAAGGAAAAAGGAAGAGGGGCCGACCAAGGGCAAGATGGATGGGATCCTTGAAGTGACTAGATTGACCTTGAAGGAGCTGGGGGAGGTGATGGCCGACAGGGAGCTCTGGCCTGGACTGGTCCATGAGGCCACAAAGAGTCGGAAATGACTGAACGAATGAACAACTAATTTATTGTTATGCTGTTATTCTAGAAGCCTTATGGTTATAAAGCCAAGCTGAACAGCTTCTATCCAGCAAATAATTTGAAAACGTTCAACTTGAGTAATTTTCCTTCTCTTCTCCCTCACCATCCCTTATTTGTTGGGTATCTTGTTTTAAATTCTGATTATAAGCTTGAAATCAAGAATTATTGCACTACTTATTTTTGTAAGATCCTCTGGAAGCCTTTTTGGTTAAAGGATTGGACATAGATGACGTGAAAAGCAGTGTGGTGCTGCTAGTTTGAAATAGGCTAGTAGAAACTGTTTGCAGATGTCGGTGCAAATACGCTCTCAGAGTCAGAGGAATTAAAGGAAAGGCCCCTCTGAACAAATCCTGCCAAGATAACCCCTTGGCAATTTCAATTTAAGGTCACCACAAGTCGGAGATGACTTGAAGGCACACAACAGCAACAGATGACTTAAATCAATGGTAGGGAATATTTAGGCCACAGGTCTCCAATTTCTTATTTATTTATTTGGTGGGGGAAAAGGACTTTTTGTCTCCAAACTGGCTTGTCCAAAAGGAAGAGACCCATGCTTTCCTGGCCCCTTAAAACCTTAAGTCCAACAACATCTGGAACAACACAGGCCTGTCTTCCATCCTTGGATCTCACGTTCAAATGCCAGGAAGTTCTTCAGCACCATAGAAGACGAAGCAATTGTGGTCCTGTTAGCTGGACCCAATTTGTCACTGTGAAGTTATGCATGTAATTATGTGAAATCAAGAAATAGACTCCCCTCTCTTCTCTTTCTTGGGAAGGAACACTTTATTCAGTCTGAGCCACAAAGTAAGGGGGAAATCTGAAGTGAAAACACTGCTGCAACGCAATGAGCGTGGACATCTAAATTGTAACCTTTCAGTTCAAATACCACAGGGCAGATTTAAATGAGTAGTCCTTAAAGATACAAGCACTACATTGTTCAAGCTCGTGTTCTCTTTAGAAAGCCCAAAATGGGCTGAATGTCTTTATTTTTTAAAAGGCAAAAAGGGACATACTTTAGGGATGCTTGACCTTTATTTTTGCCTTCCCTGGGGCATCTGAACTGTCATGACAGTATGCTGGGTGGGGCGGACAAGTTTGAGCAAAAGGCCAAGAAACTTCTCCCTCTATAAGGCTTAATGGGTGGGTTTGGCTTCAAGCGGAGCATCCAGTTGCTAATGACAGAATTTTTAAAAGAGGCACACATGCTCAAAGAGGGAATGCAAAAAGAGAATGGCTAAAAGACAACCATTAAAAACAGATCAGAGAGGCACAGAATTATGAATGATGAAATGACAACAGCATATAATAACACGCTAAGTTGTCATCATAATAGATGATTTTAGAATATCAGAAAAAGGCTCACTTTTTAGTACTTCAGGAAAAAAATGCTTCTGATACATGGCCATATAGCCCAGAAAACTCACAGCAACCCAGTGATTCTGGTCAAGAAAGCCTTTGATAATACGCTAGGAAAAAATGCTTCTGATGCATGGCCATACAGCCCAGAAAACTCACTGCAACCCAGTGATTCTGGTCAAGAAAGCCTTTGATAATACGCCAGGAAAAAATGCTTCTGATGCATGGCCATACAGCCCAGAAAACTCACAGCAACCCAGTGATTCTGGTCAAGAAAGCCTTTGATAATACGCCAGGAAAAAAAATGCTTCTGATACATGGCCATACAGCCCCGAAAACTCACAGCAACCCAGTGATTTTGGCCATGAAAGCCTTTGACAACACATGGCAAAAACTTGTTACAAAAGGGGAAAAGGAGCATCATGTACAAGGCCAGTAGGCACACAATCCCTTCACCGCTGTTTTAAGGATTAAAGAAATCCTAGACAGCACTAGGATTAAGAGTACTGGGAGATCCAAGCCACACTGTGCTGCACTGAAGGCCAACTAAGAAACAACAACAACACTGAACCACAGAGAGAAACAGATGTTAGGTATTTATGGAACTATGATAGAAATATGGGAAGTAGGATAGGACTGAGATTTTCCAAGGAAAAACATTATCATAAACTCACCAAAAGTGTTCCTATCGGCCAGGCATGAGCAAACTTTGGTCCTCCAGGTGTTCTGGACATTTCCTAACAGCCTACTTGATCTGCCAGTTAGGAATTGTAGGAGTTGAAATCTAAAACACCTGTAGGGTCAAAGGTTGCCCATGCCTGTGAGAAAGAAGGTTCACCCCATGCAAGCATGCAGTTGACTGAAAAGGAAGAACTACCTCATGAGAAATCCTCCGTTGTTCAATGTAAGCCATGAACTGTGAGCTAAGGCTGTCTGATTCCGTGCACTTGGGTTGCCGCACCTCTTCCTCCTCCTCTTCGGCGGCACAGCTGTCAATAAAGTCGATCTGATCCAGATCATGTTCCACTTGACAAACACAAAGAGAAAGGCCATAATTAGATAAGCAGTAGGGGAGAGAATGACAGAAGTCTCATTGCGGTTGCAGCCTCAACAACTCTAGCTTTGCTTGTAGGTGCTCCAAACAGGTTTCATGGCACCTATTTCAAGAAGTGCTTATGAAATCAAAATGCAGATGTGGGTCTTCATAGAAAGGTCTGACTAGAATAAAATTCCAAATACCACATCTCAAACCACTTCAAACTTCTGAATAAATTATAAACAAAGACAAATCTGATCACATTGAATTTTTCTTATCCATTAATGTATGTTGTCTTATTGATAATGTTATATGTTTATTGTCTATATTCTTATTTTAATTTGCTTGTATTGTTGTGATAATTGCTTGTATTGTTGTGTTTGGGCTCAGCCTCATGTAAGCCGCACCGAGTCCCTTGGGGAGATGGTAGCGGGGTACAAATAAAGTGTTGTTGTTATTATTATTATTATTATTACTATTAGTGTTGTTACCAGAAATGACTAGTGTATGATAGATCACTTCCAAAGGAGTACATCTAGTAACTTAACTCTGGCTCATCCATCATCTTTAAATTGCACTGTGTAACAAAATTTGGGGGAAAAAAGCTCTGTTCCTAATTTGAAAGTATTATTTCCTGTTTAATTGTGCAGTATTTACTTTAAAAGTAGTTATTATACTCCAGAAACTTTGTTTTTGAGGCTGCCACAAACTAGATTGAATTGGCTGATGCTCTATTCACTGAAAAACCATAACAAAATATGCTGCAGGATGTCCTGCAAAACCAAAGATTTTGCAGTTTAATAAACTTTTTCCATGTTTTTATGATAGAACCAATTAGGAAATGACATTTATAACCCAGGGAAAAATGTGTTACATAATGTTATCAAGGAATTATAAGTACTGTAACAATATAAAGCTGTGAGAACCACTTCTGTTGGCATACTTTGCAGTGTTAGTTTAAAAAAACTCTTTCTGTATGTGTGTGTATGTGTGTGTGTGTGTGTGTGTGTGTATATATATATATATATATATATATATATATATATATATATATATATAAAGGGCTTACTGTATTTACTTTTTAATTCTGTTTCAAATGTGGTTTTAAGTATATATTGATAAGGCATCAAAGGATGGGGCGGGGAGGGGGGAGGAGGGGAGGCAAGGGAGATGGCAAAGGCCAACAAACAACTACTAACGAAACAGAAATTAAGACCTTGGATCTGGACTGCGGCATGGAGGAGGGGAGGTGTTCCACTAGCCAAGGGGCCCCCATAGAGGTCGTGGTGGGGAGGAGGAGATGCGGTAAAAGGAGACCTCAAATTCGGCTTAATTCGGACCGCTTACCAACATTAACAACCCTAAACCGGTCTCCTAAGGTATATTGGTGTAACCAGGTGAGCGGGCCCTCCGGATTGAAGGTGGTGCTGCTGAACGCCAGGTCTGTCAACGGAAAAACGACCTGGATCCAGGACTTAATCCTGGATGAGCGGGCAGATCTGGCGTGCATTACGGAGACCTGGCTGGATGAAGCTGGGGGCGTAAATCTTACCCAGCTTTGTCCTCCAGGCTTCTCCGTACAGCACCAACCGAGATCCGGAGGACGGGGAGGCGGGGTCGCAGTGGTCTATAGAGATTCCATCCATCTGACCAGGAGTCCCATCCCGCAGACCACAAATTTTGAATGCGGCCACCTGAGGGTGGGTGACCGGGACAGAATAGGGATTCTGTTAGTGTACCGTCCACCTCGCTGCACTACAGTCTCCCTACCTGAGCTAGCGGGGTGGTCTCGAGCCTGGCGTTGGAGTCTCAACGGCTTCTCGTGCTGGGAGACTTCAATATCCATGCCGAGGCGACCCTCACAGGAGCGGCTCAGGACTTCATGTCTGCCATGGCAACCATGGGGCTGTCCCAACAAATATCTGGCCCCACCCACTGTGCTGGACATACATTGGACTTGGTTTTCTGCCAGGGATGGGAGCAGGGTGGCGGTGTGGAGGAGTTGTCCATCTCTCCATTGCCATGGACTGACCACTTCCTGTCAGATTTAGGCTCACTGCACCCCCTAACCTCTGCAAGGGTGGAGGACCCACTAAGATGGTCCGCCCCAGGAGACTGATGGATCCGAATGGATTCCTGACGGCTCTTGGGGATTTTCCTGCCACCTCGGTAGGTGACCATGTCGAGGCCTTGGTCGCTCTCTGGAATGGGGAGATGACCAGGGCAATTGACATGATCGCTCCGGAGCGTCCCCTCTCAAGTAGCCGAGCTAAACCAGCTCCTTGGTTTACTGAGGAGCTGGCAGTGATGAAGCGAAGGAAGAGGGAACTAGAGAGCGTGTGGCGTTCGGATCCAAGCGAGTCAAACCGAGCACGGTTTGTGTCCTTTCTTAGGGCATATGCCGCGGCAATAAAGGCCGCAAAGAAAGTTTTCTTTGCGGCCACTATTGCGTCTGCAAAGAACCGTCCGGCGGAGTTGTTTCGGATTGTTAGAGGTCTTTTAACTCCCGCCACCTCTGGCGGGAGCCCTGACAATTCGGTCACGCGCTGTGAAGCATTTGCTCGGTTCTTTGCAGACAAAGTCGCCTTGATCCGTTCTGGGCTGGACGCCGCGTTAAATGCAGTCTCCGAGGATGTAACAAGAGCACCTGCTTGTCCTATTTTGATGGATTCTTTTCAGTTTGTGAAACCCGAGGATGTGGACAAGATACTTGGAGGAATGAGGCCCACCACGTCCATCCTAGACCCCTGCCCATCCTGGCTTCTGAAGGAGGCCAGAGGGGGATTGGCTGAGTGGGTAACGGTGGTGGTTAATGCCTCCCTTAGGGAAGGCAAGATTCCAGCGTGCTTAAAACAAGCAGTTATAAAACCGCTGTTGAAGAAACCATCACTGGACCCCACTAAATTCGACAACTTTCGGCCTGTTTCCAATCTTCCCTTTTTGGGCAAAGTCATGGAAAGCGTGGTGGCCTCACAACTCCAGGTATTCTTGAGAGACACGGATATTCTGGATCCGGCACAGTCTGGTTTCAGACCGGGACATGGTACCGAGACGGTCTTGGTCGCCTTAGTGGATGATCTGCGCCGGGAGCTAGACAGGGGGAGTGTGTCCCTGTTGGTGCTCCTGGACCTCTCAGCGGCCTTCGATACTGTCGACCACAGTATCCTTCTGGGGCGCCTTGCGGAAATGGGCCTTGGGGGCACTGCTCTGCAGTGGCTCCACTCATTCCTGGAGGGACGCACCCAGAAGGTGTTATTGGGGGACTCCTGTTCTGCCCCACAACCTTTGACTTGTGGGGTTCCACAGGGTTCCATACTGTCCCCCATGCTGTTTAATATCTACATGAAGCCGCTGGGTAAGATCATCCGGAGTTTCGGGGTGCGGTGTCATCTGTACGCAGATGATGTCCAACTCTGTCACTCCTTTTCCCACCTGCTACTAAGGAGGCTGTCGAGGTCCTGAACCGGTGCCTGGCCGCTGTAACGGTCTGGATGAGGCCGAACAAATTGAAATTGAATCCAGACAAGACAGAGGTACTCCTGGTCAGTCGCAAGGCCGAACAGGGTATAGGGTTACAGCCTGTGCTGGATGGGGTCGCACTCCCCTTGAAGGCGCAGGTTCGCAGCTTGGGTGTGGCCCTGGATTCATCGTTGAGCCTGGATCCCCAGGTTTCAGCGGTGACCAGGGGAGCATTTGCACAGCTTCGGCTCGTGCGCCAGCTGCGCCCGTATCTCGGGAAGTCTGACTTGGCCACGGTGGTACACGCTCTGGTCACATCCCGGCTTGACTACTGCAACGCTCTCTACGTGGGGCTGCCCTTGAAAACGGCCCGGAAGCTTCAGCTGGTTCAGCGTGCGGCAGCCATGTTACTAACTGGAGCGGGATACAGGGAGCACACAACACCCTTGTTGTCCCAGCTCCACTGGCTGCCGATTTGCTACCGGGCCCAATTTAAGGTGCTGGTGTTGGCCTACAAAGCCCTGAACGGCTCCGGCCCAAAATACCTTTCAGACCGCATCTTGGCCTATGAGCCCACGAGGACCTTGAGATCGTCTGGGGAGGCCCTTCTCTCGATCCCGCCTGCCTCACAGGCACGCCTGGCGGGGACGAGAGAGAGGCCTTCTCAGTGGTGGCCCCCCGGTTGTGGAACACTCTCCCTACAGACATCAGGCAGGCGCCCTCTCTTTTGTCCTTCCGAAAAAGCCTCAAGACGTGGCTGTTCGAGAGGGCATTTAATTAAGTGCTATAGTAATGTGGTAAAGACGACTGGAATGGTACAAGGAATACGAGATTGGTCACGATTCTATTACGAGACGAAGCGGATTAGTTAGTGTAATTTTAACTGTTGTATTGTTGTATGGTTAATATGCTGTTGTACTTGTCTTTGTGTGAATTGCCTTTTGTACTGTACACCGCCGTGAGTCGCCCGAGTGGGCTGAGAATGGCGGTTAATAAATGCTCCAAATAAATAAATAAATAAATAAATAAATAAATAAATGGCTGCCTGGTTGTAAGCCGCCTTGAGTTATCTTCGGGTTTGAGAAAGGCAGGATAGAAATATTGCAAATAAATAATAAATAATAATAAACCACCAAAGGCTGTCCAGAATACCTGTGAATTCATAAACCTCTGTATCAAATTCATGAATTAATGAATAAGTTGTACACATGGACACAAACAGAGATGCTAGACTAAACAGGATGGATCTGCAAAAATGATTATTTATTTATTTATTTTATTATTATTATTATTATTATTATTATTATTATTATTATTATTATTATCAACTATATTTATACCCTGTTCTTCTCACCCCGAAGGGGACTCAGAGAGCGGGGTATAAATATATAAATATGATTTCAGGGTATGGATTTTAGTTAGTAAATTTAGCAAAGACCGAACAAGATGATTCTTGCAGCTGGTTTCTGTATAATATTACTGCTTGTTTTCTACTTGCAAATAAGTAATATGAAATGGAGAAAGAAAAAGGCCTAGGGATATAATTATAAAAAGAATGAGGGCAGATACACGTGTTCAAAAGCATATTAAAACTATAAGAGAATTCGGCGGGAAGTTAACGGTGCTCCATGCAGACATGCTGGCCACATGACTTTAGAGACGTTTATGGACAACACCGGCTCTTCGGCTGAGAAATGGAGATTGGCACCAACCCCCAGAGTTGGACACGATTAGACTTAATATCAGGGAAAACCTTTACCTTTACTTAAGAGAATAACCTGTAGAAGGGTCCACTCCCATTGATCTTGCCATCCATTACATTATTTAGGACATTTAAAATGCATTACTTCACTCATAAATGCTTTACTATTTTTTGGGTCACAATAAACCCGGTGAAAATACTGCATTTGACGCAGCATCCAGAATGCCTTAGTTTGCACATAAGAACTAGGTCGAGCACTAACAAATTCCCTTAAAATAGTCATCTAATGTTTACACATGTTGTTTAATGTTATTTTAAATTGTTGTTTAATTGCTTTTAATTGTTGTTCTTTGGTCATGGAATAATGCCAATTATGAAGGCCACCTTGAGTCCCCTTCGGGGTGAATAGGGTGGGATATAAATACCGTAAACAAACAAACAAACAAACAAACAAACAAATATTTTACAGAAATCATGTCTGAAGAATGTATTTTAAAGTACTTTAATATATTTTACCATTTTAATTTGGCATATCACCTCAGGGAAAATAAAGTCCTGAAAAAACAGCTGTGAAACTGACTAAAAATAAATGCACTATTACGCAGAGTGAAGGAAAGGAGGGAGGTTTAAAATAGGATTGTACTACACATAAGTCAAATAGATTCAGTTCCCTTTAGTTTCCTGTTGCCTTGTTTCTGGGAGAAAGGCAAGCCACAAATCCAACAAATTGACACTATACCATCATGTTCTGAGGGAAGAGAACATCAAGTCCTACCACAACAGACTAGATAGGACCAGTAGGTACTTGCCCTCTCTCCCTGAAGGAGAAGATGGGTGTTTCTATTACTAGATTGTTTCTAGATAGCTGCTTCTGATGGATAGGAAACAGAAAAGTCATGCAAAATATTATCTGACTCTTCTCCCTTCTAGAACTTTCTCCACATATTTGCAATTATAGTGAAATGGAAAAGGACACAGAAACTCCTCAAAGACACCTGTTGAAATGTTCTAACTCAGCGTTTCTCAACCTTCCTAATGCCGCGACCCCTTAATACAGTCCCTTTTGTTGTGGTGATCCCCAACCATAAAATTATTTCTGTAGCTACTTCGTAACTGTAATGTTGCTACTGTTATGAATCTTAATGTAAATATCTGATATGCAGGATGTATTTTCATTCACTGGACTAAATTTGGCACAAATACCTTATACGCCCACATTTGAATACTGGTGGGTTTAGGGGGGGATTGATTGCTTTTGTCATTTGGGAGTTGTAGTTGCTGGGATTTATAGTTCACCTACAATCAAAGAGCATTCTGAACTCCACCAACGAGGGAATTAAACTTGGCACACAGAACTCCCATGACCAACAGCAAATACTGGAAAGGTTTGGTGGATATAGACCTTGAGTTTGGGAGTTGCAGTTCACCTACGCCCAGAGAGCACAGTGGACTCAAACAATGATGGATCTGGACCAAACTTGGCACAGATACTCTATATGCCCAAATGTGAACACTGGTGGAGTTTGGGAAAAATAGACCTTGACATTTGGGGGTTTTAGTTGCAGGGATTTATAATTCATTTAAATCAAAGAGCATTCTGAACATCACCAACGATAGAATTGGGACAAACTTCCCACACAGAACCCCCATGACTAACAGAAAATACTATGTTTTCTGAAGGTCTTTGGTGACCCCTGTGACACCCCCTCACGACCCCTCTGGGGGTCCCGACCCCCAGGTTGAGAAACATTGTTCTAACTGCTCTGTTCTGATTTACAAAGGGACCTAAATGAGACATTGTGCTTTTCTTGTATGGCAAGGGGTTGGACTAAATGGCCCATGCAGTCTAATCCATGATTCTATGGTCCTATCTATGAAAGGAATGGGAAGCATAACTTTTCATAGACACGAGTCTATTTCTCAGTTGCATCTCTTTGCAAAATCCACAGCTATGACTTTGAGTCCTACCACATTTTACACAGTCAAAGTGAAAAGGTGAGTTTAGAAAATAAAATGACAAAAAGATGGTTGGTTTCCTTTCTATTGATTTAATACAGAAATCTAGATGTTTGCCTCTAATATACAGTTCTGATCTTACATAAATATAATTTCTTTACAAAGAGATTAACCTTCTGAGTCCACTGCTCTTTCAACAATCGTGCACCAAATACATGTGTAAAAAGGGGGGGGGGCTATTAAAGTGAATGCCATTTACCTCCACCATTGGTTACAACCGTGTTCCCTCTGTGTTCCTGGTATTGACTTTCTCTTCTCAGTCTCTGCTCTTTTGTGATCTCTGCCACCCGTAAAGGAAGGTCTGAAAATTCATCTGTTGGCTTAATTCAAAGTAAAACACATGATCAAGAAACAGGCTCTGACCCACAGAGTCTTTTGTCAAGCTTGGGATCTTCAAGAGCTTATTCACATCCCAGAAAGAGCTCTTCTCTCACTGCAGAGGGTTAACGTGTATGGAGCCAAAACCAACATTCAAGCAATATTTATTTTGATTTGAGTTTTTATATTTGCGTTTCCCCATTTCTAGATAAGTGAAGGTTTATGAAACCTTATAGAATGAAGACCATTTTTGTGTATATTACAGAATCTCAAGGACACAAAGTATGTTTGAAATCGGTGGTAACTAAAATTTCACAAATCAGGGACATGAATGCCAGGCGTGAAGCAGGCTGAAGGCATCTGAATGAAAACTTCTGCTGTAAATAAATTCCGCTCTGTGTGTTTGTATAATCAGGGAGCTCAGGACTCTCATCCAGCATTACAAAGTTGGCACAAGTGAATGACAACGTAATGACGCACTGCTAACTGAACTGATCATTTTCAGGCCCCTGTAATTACAGCAGCAGACACTGCTGCTAGCTCTGGAATACGGAATAAAATCCTAAAATATAATCTCAGACACAAATGGGTAGTGAGCAAAGAAGATGTTGTAATCCAGAATTTAAATCAGTTTGATTTCTGCTATATCTTTAAAGCCCAAGATTGGGACTTGAGGTGAGTAAATGTGTGGCTGATCAATATATACAGCTATAAGCACAACAGGTTTAAAATATGCAAAATACAAGCAAATCAATAATCTTTTAAAATCAGAAACTGGATTAAAAACAAATTATAGAGGGCAGAGGGAGGGCTTTTAAAACTTCTTAAGAAACCCTGCCAAAAGCCGCTCACTTGAATCTTTTCCCCACAAAAAAAAAAAAAACACATCAGGATAATTTAAGAGGGTAAAATGGGTTGCTGAGTTTCTACTGCAAGGAAATTAACATTGATATACACATATGCTTATTTTTGCACACACATCAACCAAATGTTTCATGTTTTGAGAAATGTTTAAAAGAATCCTTCCAGTTTGTAGCTTTAAAATACCTTACAAGCACAACTTTAGTGTACTCAACATTATGTACTATGTACGTTATGTACATATAATCTACGGCACTTGTACTGGTAAGGCAGGGCCTATATAGATTACTCTTGACTGATTGTGCCAGGCACTCTATCTTAAAACAAGCCAGGATCTCTCTGTTGCAGAAGAACAAGAATGTAGCCACAGTTTTGTGATTTATTGGGTTGCTGTGAGTTTTTCAGGCTGTATGGCCATGTTCCAGCAGCATTCTCTCCTAACGTTTTGCCTGTATCTTCAGGTTCTGTTGGCAGTGAGGCAAGAAAGTCAATAACGGAACACCACTCAGAAACAGCAGAACTCCAGACAACAAACAATCAAGGGCCAGTTAACACCTCTCAAACAGATGTTGTCTCTAGGCAACAAAGGCCAGGCTACCTCTATGCCAGTGTTTCTCAAACTGTGCTCCTCCAGGTGTTTTGGACTTCAGCTCCCAGAAATCCCAGATAGCTTACCACTTGTTAGGAATTGTGGGAGTCGAAGTCCAAAACATTTGGAGGAGCACAGTTTGAGAAACTCTGCTCTATGTTGATACCCTCACTAATTGACTTTGCAAACTTCATGGCTACTCAAATGCTACTTCATGCTGACAAATTGCAGCATTCACATTTCCTTAAACAGACATGGCTTTTTCCTCCCACCCTGTACATCCCACAAATATATATACACTCCACTTGCCTCGCTGCCAACAGAACCTCTAAAGATGCCAGCCACAGATGCAGGCGAAACATCAGGAGAGAATGCTTCTGGTACATAGCCATACAGCCCGAAAAACTCACAGCAGCCTAGTGATTCCACCCATTAAAGCCTTTGACAATATATTTGTGATTTATTGTTTATTTTGCTGAAAGAACATAGGCTGTGATCTTAAGACTACTAGCCAAGTCATTTAAAAAACCCTCATATGCAAGATATTTAACTCATGACAGTTCTGTGAAGCACAGGAACCGAACAAATTACAACTAATGAAAGGAAATCAACACAATAATCTTCAAAAACACTATTATGGCTACTTCTTGTCTGAAACTCTTTTAATGCTTAATACAGTACAGTAACATTTCGAATAAAGCTTTGGGGGGGGTCTTTCCCCCCTTTATAAATTTAGTGGTGTGAAATAAGGAGCAGCACAAACAAGGCTGCTTAAAAGTCTTCCCCTTGCCATGTTTGATCCGTTTATTTTCAAACCAAGATGTGGAAAGGGCAGCCTGGCCGCAGTCCTTAGGCCGCTGCAAAATACGTGTTTCCAAATTACATGTCTCTGAGTTTGAGCAACTCAGCTTTCTACTGCTGCTGTGACCAGTTTTCTTTCCCTTTCATATAATTATCCTCTAAACAAAAGCAAACCAAGTGCACTTACTTCATTTCCTGACCACCTTTTGTCTCCGCTGTCCACACTATTGAAGCCAGAATCCAGAGCTCCATATGGCCGGCTGGAGTATAACTCCTCATGGCTGTCAGGCAAATAAAGCTCAAGTTATTCCACTGAGATATAGCAGAGAGCACCAGTGGGCATATCCAACCTGTTAGTCATAGAACGCTTCCATACATAATGGGCTCTTCCAGTCTAAGAAATATTTATTTCTGCTAGCCAGCTATTTGCACCTCCAAGTAGACACCTTGCTCTCCAAAGGATTCACTTATACCAAAGTGTTCAAATGTTGCCAAACAGTACAGCCAGCCACCAGAACAAACATACAGGTGGAGGATCCCTCATCTGGAAATCCAAAATCCAAAATGCTCCAAAATGGTCCCTATGTGTGGTTGAAATTAAAACCTTTGCTTTTTAATAGTTCAACATAAATCAGGTTTGTTCCATGCACAAAACTATCACAAATGTTGCATATAAAATTACCTTTAGAGTATGTCTATAAGGTGCATATGAAACATACATGGATTTCATGTTTACACTTGAGTTTAATCTCTAGATATATCATTTTGCAATTACTGGGCCTAGCCTCATGTACACTGCCCCAAGTCCCCTTGGGGAGATGGTGGCGGGGTATAAATAAAGTGTTGTTGTTGTTGTTGTTATTATTATTATTATTATTATTATTATTATTATTATTATGTATATAAATGTATCTCAAATCTGGAAAAAATCAAAATCCAAAATATTTCTGGTCCCAAACATTTCAGAAAAAGGGATACTCAACCTGTACCTCTTTTGAGAAAACAAAGATCTTGATCTTTCCTACATTCCTTCTATTATATTTTTTAAAACCCCTCCCCAGTTTAAAATGGACCCACACTGTGCCCATAATCTGCACAGATCTGGGACTAAAGCATTACAACAGGAATTTTTAAATGCCATTTTGGACTTCCGGGGAGAGAATTAACATTGGGATACAAGCGTATTAAAATACATTCCAAAGGAAGAATACTTTCTGTATTTCCTCCAGAAGCACCTAAATATATATTGTTTGTATTGGTAAAATATTCTTTTATCTAGAGGTAACTAACTCCCACACTGAAAATTTTATTCACATTTGTATTCAATTATATTAGAGATACCATGAAATTAATTTTACCTGAAATAAAACAATGTCTAAATTTGGGCTAGGGAAAGATGGTGTTTTGGAAAAGTCACAAAGTTCTCTAAAATTGGTGTTGGTTGGATTTTAAAACCTTCGAACTAGAAGTTTGCTTTACTCTCAAATAGTCTCAAATGCCTGTGCTGCATTTTTAGTTCAACATGTCTTCAGTAAACTGCATTCTATACTTTCTCCCCTCAGCTCTGAAGGCTACTTTAATCCTTGGAATATTTTTGACAGATCCTTGCTCTAGCAAAGATTCTGTATTTCAGATTCTTTATCTTTTTGGCCTACAAACAAATTAAAATAACACCCAGTTTGGAAATAGTCAAAGCAATGGGCTTCCATTAGTTCTATCAATGTAACAACGAAACATCAGTTGCTTTGTTTAGGCTATTTATTTAACTAAATTCCTGCAGACCCCTTTCACCTCAAATGCTCGATCAAGGTGGCAAGTGTATGCAAAAATATTTTTAATTAAATTTTGTTTTGAAACACCTTAAGAATAACAGAGACTGAAAAAAAGGGGGGGGGGAGCTACAATAAAATTAAAATAAATGTGATTTATATATTAAAAAATCCAAACTGGAATAGGCTCACTGCACTCAATACAGAAAACAAACCTCTTAAGTGTCCTGCATTAATATTCTACAAAATTATTCAAGTGTATTTCATCCCAGACTCCATGGAGGCTGCGTACAGGTTTTAGCCATTAAAAATGACTATTTTACTGCCATCATAAGATGCAGACGTTGCATGTGTTTTATCAAGAAGCAAATGGGAGGACATAGAGCAGAGTGTATGGATCCAACAGACTCTCTACATATAAATGACAAAACAGTTCAATACCAGGAGCAACCCAGACACTGTGTTTGGAACTGCCACAGACAGTAACCACATAGAAAGAGACTCATCTGACCCGCTGCAAATGAGCATTTAACAAAGGGTTGACTGTCTAACGGGCCCTTGGTGCCCCAGGGAAAACGGCATCAAGACGGCCACAATGGGCAAGTGGGCAATGCAGAAAGCAGATGGCTCCGGCCAGGCATGGCTAATAAATAGCAGGTCACACCATGGCAAGTTGTCACTTGCTTTACAAATCAGAAAGACCCTTCTTCCCCCTTGGGAAAGGGCTCCTAAGTTGGCAATTAATACTGTTACTTATAGGGCACCATGTTTACACACAACATAAGGCTCTACTGCTGGCTAAGCAGGGCAGCTTTCCACAAAAGACTATTGACAAAAAAGTGAGTTGCAAACATCACTGCTGCTAGACTGTTATTTTGTGCCTTCGAGTTGTTTCCGACTTCCAGAGATTGCTATGGCATCGTATATTTAAGTCATACAAAATCAAACCTGAACAAGGCTTCATTAAGTTGTTCCTTCTACAGAATTCATGACCTTTTCCTAGTACTACTAAAAAGGATGAATTATACAAATGTAAGCATACAGACTGATGTATTTGATCTACACTTTTTATTACAGGGCGGACATAGCTGGTGTTTTAATATTTTGAAATGCTCATCTGCTTAAATCTACTCTGTTTTATTTAATGACTGCTAGATATTGCATATATCTATTTTCTTACTATAAATCACCTGGTGAGATTACTATAAAGACAAAATATAAATATGATTAAAGAAAAGTGGAAATGGCATGAGATTAAATGAGGATGCCTTTTCATCTGTTATTTGGGCTTTAAGCTGATGATGGCGATGATGTTGATTTATATCCCACTTTTTCTCTCCATACAGAGACTCATAAAAAGATTTACTTTTATGTTGAATTTCCTGGTTGAATTTCAATGTCACAACAGAAAATAGAATTCTAAAGAATTATGGCTTGCTATGAACATGTTGGTTAAGAACTACTGCTGCAGACTAGGGCAGCTAAACAAATCATGGTCCTTTCATGAAAGGCTTGTTCAGGGGGATATCTAAACCCAACTATCCTTTTGCTAGGTTTGGATATAATGCTAATCCAGCCATGGGCATACTTGAGGGCCACATGCTAGCACTGCCTGCTATATGAGGATTTGCTGCTCGGTGATGGAAGGAAGCAAGGGAAGGAGGAAGGAAAGAGAGAAGGAAGGAAAGACTAAAGGGAGGAAGGAAAGGATGGAAGAAAGAGGGAGGTAAGGGAGGGAGGGAGGGAGGTAAGGGAGGGAGGGAGGGAGGTAAGGGGGAAGGAAAGAATAATAGAATCATAGAATCCTGGGTTGGAAGGAAGGAAAGACAAAAGGAAAGGGAAGGGAGGGAGGGAGGGAGGGAGGGAGGGAGGGAGCGAAGAAGAGAAAGATGGAAAACAGGAAGTGAAAGAGGAAGGAAAGAGAGAAGGAAGGAAGGACAAAAGGGTGGAAGGGATTGGAGGGAGGGAAGAAAGAGAGAAGGGAGGAAAGACAAAAGGAAAGGATGGATGGATGGATAGATGGATGGAAGGAGGGAGGGAGGGAGGGAGGGAGGGAAGGAAGGAAGGAAGGAAGGAAGGAGAGAAGGAAGGCAGTAAGGAGAAAGAGAGAGGGGGAAGAAGGGAGGAAAGAAGGAAGGAAGGACGAAAGGGTGGAAGGGAAGGAAGGAGGGAGGGAGAAAGATGGAGGGGAGGGAAGAAGGAAAGAAAGAGAGAAAGAAGGAAGGCTAGGATGGTGAGTGAGAGGAGGGCCTGAGAAAAGAGCCCAATGGGCCGCATCTGATCCCAGGGCCTGGGTTTGCCCATACCTGTGCTAAACCAAGGATTGAAAACAGCTGAGAGTTAGGAGGTGGCTGCACCTGAGAAGGAGATCTATATATTAAACACTGAGAGAATGCCAATGTGTGTCTGTATCATGAGAGAGATTAAAAATGCTGTGGGCCATGTTGTTTTCTTCTCTGTCTGGCATTGCAATCAGATATTTACAAAAATGTAACAGATGGGAAAAGAGAAAGCAAGGAATCGTCATACATTCCATTAACAACCAGGGAATACAGGCTCTCTTCCCCAAAATCTATAACAGATTTTTTTCAAGAGTCCAACTCAGCGGCTACAATGAAGACAGCCCCTCTTAACATTTTGTGTGCCTCTGAAAAAGTGAATTTGTTGAAGCTGCACCATGCCTTGACTTGGGGAAAGAGGAAGAGAAGAGAAGCCAGCAGAAGACGAGAGTGGGTGGTGAATTAAGCATACATAGAGGAAATATATTGGGCAAAATTGATAGACTAGAAAATATTTTCCCCAACGCGACTTCTATTCTCTCTCTCTCTCTCTCTCTCTCTCTCACACACACACACACACACACACACACACACACACCCTACTGTCCACACAGGAAAAACAAGAGAAAAACCAAAGAATGCCCCAAAAATGCCTATCATGACCTCAAAGTGAAACATGTTCTCAGATGTGGGGCCCAGACCAGACAAGGACCTCTTTGGCTGATTGGGTAAGTTCCCCTTTTTATCCAGACCTTGCATCACTCAGCTCTACATAACAGAAACACAAACTGCGCTCTTAGCACCCATCGCCTTAATTTAGCAACTTGTAATGTGGCTGACTGTGTCGGGATGTATGTTACTAGGCTAAGCCAACAGGAGAGCACGCCAAGAACAACACAGTCCAATGATAGGAAATGAGGCATTTACACCTGTGGTCTGACCACAGGCATTATATAACCCTGTACAAAAGATTAAAGACACAGAGCCACCTTACCTAGACATGTCCTCATGCTATAACAAAGAACTTACTAATACCTTATAATACATAAAAGAAAGATTTAAACATTCTCCAAGGGGTCCTTAAAATCAACAGATATCACATCTATGCATACTTACCAGGAGCCAAAGCCTATTGGCCGTCTGTCGTAATCTGGAAGATCTGGTGCCACCTTGCATGCTTCCATATTCAAATACTTAAATATGTGGACTTTTCCTTTTATGCATATCTAGAAGGAAAATGGGAAGGTTATGAAGGATGTCTGAAAAATACAAAGGTTAACATAAAGCTGCACCTCCAATCATTATTATGCAATTAGTAGTAATAACTGTATAATTATATTTTAATAGTAAGAGCCAATACTTAAAGTACACACTTGTGAGAAAAAGCCCACAAAGAGCAGCACTAAAGTGCTATTTCTCTCATCTTTGGCCTATTGCCCAGAGCCCCTGTTGCCCAACCCACTACTCATGGGTTATAAGATTTTACTAGAGGTTTCAGCTATGTTTGCCTGATTTTACCTTTCCTTTCTCTCTTATTTTAAAATAAAGTCAACACTTTCCACTATGCTAATTCCTGTACCATAAAGCAGTTCACACTCAACTAATATGTCACTGTCAGTAGTGCAGAGTAGGGTTCACACAAAAGTTTCTACCACTTGTATATGAAAGGTGGTTGCCTGTGTTCTCTGAGGGGAAGGCCTGTCTAATGCTAGATAGAATTCCAACATACCAGCATCATTGTCTTTTATTAACACATAAACTTGTCAAAGACTTCCCAGCTTGTCCCATTTATGGATCTAATTCTTATACATACATAGCTTCTTCAAACTCCATACTATGCTATCTCCCATTGTATTTCCAGCTTCTAAATTGCGCCACTCATTCTCTGCTACTATTTTCTCTTACCTTCTTTTGACTAACTGCAGAAATTCAAACACTGGCACATGCAAAGTAGATGCATACATGAATAGTTTCATCCATATGGAATTAACAGCAGTGGATTGCATTTATTTCACTGAATACTAACTGGGGCAGCATACAAGGAGCACACAACTCCCATGTTACGTCAGATCCACCGGCTGCCTGTTTGCTACTGGGCACAATTCAAAGTGCTGGCTTTGCTTATAAAGTCTTAAACGGCCCTGGCCCAGTTTACCTGTCCAAACACATCTCCCTTTATGAACTACTGCAGAAACTAAGATCTTCTGAGAAGGCCCTGCTCTTGGTCCTGCCACCATCACAGGCGCGTTTGGCGGGGATGAGAGACAGGGTCTTCTCAGTGATTGCCCCCCCGGTTATGGAACTTCCTTCCTGGCAATATTAGATCAGCTCCCTCCCTCCTATCCTTCAGAAGGATGGTGAAGACCTGGCTGTGGGACCAAGCCTTTGGGGCAGTGCAATGAGGCAAAAGGGGGGCCTGAGATGGTTTTTAAGCAACTTTTAATGTGGAAGTAAGTTATTTTAATGTTTGTCTATATTTATGGTTTGCCGTATATATGTTCTGCTCCGCCCTGACTCTCCGAGTCGGGGTGAGAAGGACGGAACATAAAGTTTCTAAATAAATAAATAAATAAATTTATCCATGTGCAGTCAGAACCATTAAGAATCAGTCACAATAAAACCAAAAGCACATTACAATTTTTAAATTTCACCATTCCAAGACTTAAACACTGTAATCATGGCCAAGTTCTATAGATCCTCAATTTGTCAGACTGAAAGTTTCCATTAAGCAAGATTTATTTATTTATAACATTTATATGCCGCTCTTCTCACCCCGAAGGGGACTCAGAGCGGCTTACAAGTAATATACAATACAATAACCAACCAACCAACTGCTGCTGAAGAGAGGGGCCATGAAGGTTTTGACCTACAAAACCCTATACGATTCCGGCCCAGTGTATTTGTCCGAACGCATCTCCCTTTATGTTCCATCTCGGAGTCTGAGATCCTCTGGGGAGGCCCTGCTCTCGACCCCGCCTCTGTCAAAAGTGAGATTGGCAGGGACGAGGAGCAGGGCCTTCTCAGTGGTGGCCCCTCACCTATGGAATTCACTCCCCGGGGATATCAGATCAGCAACATCCCTCCTTTCATTCAGAAAGAGATTGAAGACGTGGATGTGGGACCAGGCGTTTGGGCACTCTGGCAGTTGAATAAGGGACTGATGATGGATAGGAGTTGGACAAGGTGGAACGAAATATGAACTCTGAGTTGGTGAACGCTGTGTCTGAGATTGGCTATTGATTGTGTGATATACTGTTGTTTTTAAGTGTTTTAATTGTTGACTATTTAATTACTCGTTTTATATGTTATTGTATTTGTGTAGGCACCAAGATGTGCCTTTTGTAAGCCGCCCTGAGTCCCCCCTCGGGGGTTGAGAAGGGCGGGGTATAAGCACACGAAATAATAATAATAATAATAATAATAATAATAATAATAATAAGGCAGTTCCATCTTGCCCCCAGTGTCATCACTTGGGACCCCCCACCCATCCAACACCAACTGCTGTTCTGAGAACAGAGTGAAGAGAGGGGCCATGAAAGCAGTTCCATCTTGTCTCCAGTGTCATCAGTTGGAAGCCCCCTCCCTCCAGCACCAACCGCTGCTCTGAGAACAGAGTTAAGAGAGGGGCCAGGAAGGCAGTTCCATCTTGTCTCCTGCACTGTGCTTATAATATAATGTCTACAAAGAGCACATCTATGCATTTTTGTAATAATAGTTATGAAAGCATTAGTAAATTATTCTATAAAAGGAAAATGTGTCTGACTTCTTCCATATTTTAAGAGAAAAATGTCTTCAGGTTGCACTTAATGTTATATTCATTGAATGATGCAATACCTGTGCAGGGGGTGACTGGAGCGGGTTATTATCTAGGGCGATTGTCTGTAAGTGCCTGAGGTTCCTGTAGCAAACTGGGATCGTTGTGATTTTATTGCAGGAGAAATCTAAGCGGATCAAAGGCAGCTCGGCAAGCTCTGCAGTACATATATGGAAAGAAAAAAATGCTGGAGTCAGTCAACTGGTGGGAAAAGAAACAAAGCATTCCTCTGTAATGACGAGTGCTTGAAAATAAATACAGTCCACCTTTCTCCCTTACATTTCTTACCTTCAGGTAAATGTACCAAGTGATTTCTTCTGAGGTTCAAGTCCCGCAGAGAATCCAGGCTACCGATCTGTGACGGAACTGTCTGTATTTCATTACAGCTCACATCCTGGGAAAGAGAGAAGAGGAGGGATCTGTTGCTTTAATACATTTTGCTTTGTTTTCTGTAGTATAGCTTTGTATGAAAACAGCATTTTGGCAACTCAGTATCTTGGCCTGTGAAGTAATGAGACAGGAAACAGAGCTGGGAAAGGCCTCATTCTGAGATGCTGCTGCCACAAGTCAAAATAGAAGGAATTGTTCTTTGAGTCAGCCCAAACTGTTTATAAGTTCCATTTATTTAGACTGGCAAAGCATTGGCTAAGTTATCTAGTATTTGCTTAGTTCACTTCAAAAATATCTTTGTATAGAGGTAAGTAACAAGGTGCAAGTGGCATGGTTTTCAGATGCGTTCCCCCAAATTACTAAAAACTCTTGCAGTTCTACTGAATTACACTAATCTACAAGCAGTGTTTCTAGGAAAATTCAGAGTCTGATAATTTTGTTTCTATACATATTCAAAACAAGAAGAAAACAGTTACCAAAATGCTAACAACCTACTGGTGATAAAAATTTGGAAAGAAGACCACACAGAGAAAAAACACACATTAAGATTATATATGTACATCTGGCAATATAGAATCATAGAGTTGGAAGAGACCTGGTGAACCATCCAGTCCAACCCCCTGTCAAGATGCAGGAAAATCGCATTCAAAACACCCCCGAGAGATGGTCATCCAGCCTCTGCTTAAAAGCCTCCAAAGAAGGAGCCTCCACCACACCCTGGAGCAGAGAGTTCCACTGCTGAACAGCTCTCCCAGTCAGGAAGTTCTTCCTAATGTTCAGGTGGAATTTCCTTTCCTGTCGTTTGAAGTCATTGTTCTATTGTGTCCAAGTCTCCAGGGCAGCAGAAAACAAGCCTCCTCCCTCCTCCCTATGACTTCCCCTCACATATTGATCCATAGCCCTCATCGTGTCTCCTCTCAGACTTCTCTTCTGCAAACTAAACATTGTTGTATATTTCTGTAATATTAAACTTCAACGTACTGTTGAAGGAATCACTGGGTTGTTGTATGTTTTTTCGGGCTATATGGCCATGTTCTAGAGGGATTTTCTCCTGCATCTACCTCTGAGGATGCTTGCCATAGATGCAGGCGAAACGTCAGGAGAAAATGCCTCTTAAACTTCAATGTTCATCTGACACAAACTTTAAAATGAACCTAAAAACAAAGCATCAGAGAAGAATTCCTGAAAGTTTCAATGATAAATCTGCAGTTGTTTAGCTACTTCTCTTCCAGACGATGTACAGGGTGAGGCAGCATAACTTCCTTTTTTAAAATGCGCGCCATTCAGTCGGTTGAAGATGTAGCGGAGCACTCGTGGTCTTGTTCGAGAGGCGGGAGTATAAAGTTTTGTCCTGACACAGTTCAGTCGCCATCATGTGTTGGAACAGTGAGGAGCGTGCTTTTGCTGTTGAGGCCTACTTTTCAAACTGATTTGGAGTGGCCGAGCCCGCTCTCCAGATTTGGCCCCTTGTGATTTTTTTCTATGGGGTTTTTTGAAATCCCGTGTTTATGTGAACCGTCCAAGGACCCTACAAGATTTGAAGACCAACATCCAGGAAGCAATTGCCAACATAACACCATGCTGGCAAGAGTAATGAATGACAAATGCCAGAAATCGGTTTACTCAATGTATGGAGAATGGGGGACGTCACCTACCTAATTTGATCTTCAAAACTTTGTAAAACAATACTTTAGATATGCGCCTACATTATAAAAAAAATTTCTGATGCATACAATGGGTTTTATTAAGTTTGGAAAAAATGAAGTTATGCCGCCTCACCCTGTATGAACAAGCCATAAAATACTGTTATGATTCTGATCTATTTTCTGAAACAACAGAAGAGGTGCAGAGTCATCATTTCAACTAAGTCTACCATTGTGTTAGTCCAGTGGTTTATAACCCAACAGATGTAATTCTCCACATCTCTTCAATAAATCCATGGGATTTCATCTCTTAAGTTTCTATATGATAGTGGTCAAATAAAATCAAATATCCTCTAAAAAGTAATCTGGGGTAATCTACAGATGTTACTAAGGCAACTTTCACATCGGGGGAGTTCCCTTTAGCATTCAACTTTAAAACACACTGCAAATTTATCCAGTAGCTTCACATACTGAAGAATGACATCCATAAACTTCCACTCAAAAAACTACTGATTCTGTCAAGAGGGTGAAGTGGACTCAACCAAAACTGTGTTCTGGCTCTCCTCAATAAGTCAACATCTTGCTTTTTAAACAAATTCATCACTTAATTGAGCAACTGACCATAACACCAAGTTAAGTCAACAAAAATCTGGCACCTCTCCCAACTAATTTAAGGAGGACTGAGGAAAGCATTATACCAGCCTCTGAAAGCAGTGCACATCAATATTTGGCTACTGTATTTGAATCAGTATTTCATAGAATCATGGAGTTGGAAGAGACCTCATGGGCCATCCAGTCCAACTCTCTGCCAAGAAGTAGGAATACTGCATTCAAAGCACCCCTCACAGATGGCCATCCAGCCTCTGTTCAAAAGCTTCCAAAGAAGGCGCCTCCACCACACTCCGGGGCAGAGAGTTCCACTGCTGAACGGCTCTCAGTCAGGAAGTTTTTTCTAATGTTCAAATGGAATCTCCTTTCTTGTAGTTTGAAGCCATTGTTCCATGTCCTAGTCTCCAGGGAAGCAGAAAACAAGCTTGCTCCCTCCCTGTGACTTCCTCTCACATATTTATACATGGCTATCATATCTCCTCTCAGCCTTCTCTTCTTCAGGCTTTTTTTTTTTTTTTTGTCGTGTCAGGAGCGACTTCTTCAGGCTAAACAGTTCATTAAGCTGCTCCTCATAGGGCTTGTTCTCCAGACCCTTGATCATTTTAGTCGCCCTCCTCTGGACACATTCCAGCTTGTCAATATCTCTCTTCAATTGTGGTGCCCAAAATTGGACACAATATTCCAGGTGTGGTCTAACCAAAGGGAATAGAGGGGTAGCATTACTTCCCTAGATCTAGACACTATGCTCCTATTGATACAGGCCAAATCCCATTGGCTTTTTTTGCCACCACATCACATTGTTGGCTCATGTTTGTGGTACAAAGGCACCGATAACCTTCAACTGTATCAAAATATTTGGAGTGAACTTTTATCCTGATTACTGAACATATGGACAACAGTATTTTGTACCCCTCCCCAGCTAGGTGGCATCGACGATAAAGGACATCTGTCTAGCATTAATCAGACTGGGCAGAAAGCTGATGCTTCATCTATAAAGGCTGAAAGAATTAAGGAATTACACGCTGGACTAGTAATACACTTACCAGCTCCATCAGGTGTCTAAGCTGTCCGATTTCTTCAGGTAAGGAGACCAGTTTATTATTGCTTGCTATCAAAACTTTCAAGGGCAGGCTGCACAAGTGAACCGGAAGAGTCGAGAGCTGGTTCCGGCTGTTTGGGGAAAAAGGGAAAAACAAAAACAACAACACTCAGAACGGGAAAGGAAACATGATCAGTTCAAGTGGCTGGATGAGAACATCAAACCATAATCATAGCAAAGCACAGGAACACCACATAAGCTCAACAACAGTGGCCCACAATTCCTAGGTGCCCAGTCTTTTACCTTAGGAAATGGAGCCATGGGGATTTGCTACTCTACCCATCTTCACTAGATTCAATTAAACCCCCAAATGCTGAAGAACAGAGCAATATATTTATTTGCTCATATTTCAGATCTGTTTATACCAGTAGTTCTCAACCTTCCTAATGCTGCGACCCCTTAATACACTTCCTCCTCATGTTGTGGTGACCCCAACCACAACATTATTTTCGTTGCTACTTCATCATTGTAATTTTGCTACTGCTATGAATCGTAATGTAAATATCCAATATGCAGGATGTATTTTCATTCATTGGACCAAATTTGGTACAAATACCTGATAGACCCAAATTTGAATAGTGGTAGGGTTTTTGTCATTTGGGAGTTGTAGTTGCTGGGATTTATAGTTCACCTAGAAACAAAGAGCATTGTGAACTCCACCAATGATGGAATTGAACCAAACTTGGCACATGGAACTCCCATGACCAACAGAAAATACTGGAAGGTTTGGTGGGCATTGATCTTGAGTTTGGGAGTTGTAGTTCACCTACATCCAGAGAGCACTGTGGACTCAAACAATGATGGATCTGGACCAAACTTGACATGAATATTCAATATGCCCAAATGTGAACACTGGTGGAGTTTTGGGGAAAATAGACCTTGACATTTGGGAGTTGTAGTTGCTGGGATTTATAGTTCACCTACAATCAAAGAGCATTCTGAACCCCACCCAGATAGAATTGGGCCAAACTTCCCACACAGAACCCATATGACCAACAGAAAATATTGTGTTTTCTGATCCTCTTTGGTGACCCCTCTGACACCCCAAATGCCCCCCCCCCCCGAGAGGTCCAGACTCCCAGGTTGAGAAACAGCGGTTTATACCATAACAAAGAACAAATGCAATACTTTAAGAACATTTAATCTCTACACCAGGCCACACAAAAGCTTCACCAATGCATTTGCCAGTGCTGGTTGTTTTAATAGAGGAAAGATGAATTGCTCCTTCCATTCCCCTTTCCAATCTTAGAGGTAAAATTGGCCCATACCAGCATTTTAAATTTCTGAAAGGAAAAACAGGTTGCTCTATCTACACTCTCACCTCTGTTTATGGACCTAAGAGCAGGCAATGTTATTTTCTTATCGAGTTGCTTAACAAATGAGATAAATTCAGAGAGCAGTCGCTACTACTGAAGAGTGACCTAAGCACATTAGCAGATTACGAAATGGCCAAAAACATGTCAATAAAACATGGCAAGCACATTCCCACCCATACAATGAAGAATCCCGTACTGAAATAAAATATAGTGGACTCATGATGATTCATCAGCTCAAGTGAAAAAGATTATACTTACTAGTCTCCAAGACATCACAGATATGCAAGACTGATTTATGTCCTTAGATCAGCATCCCTTGCTTTGGACATAATGGGAATTGAAACTATTTCAGCTCATTCAACAATATTTTTAGTACTCAAGGAACCAACAAAGAGACCATATACTCCAGTATGGAGAATGCCACCTCATTTATACACACCTCCAATGTCAATAAAATAAATGAAATTACTCAGTATTTTAACCTCAATTTGTCCAAAGCAAATATTTGGGATGCTGTCGAAGTGATGATCAGAGGTATATGCATTAGCGAGTCCTCAACTATAAAAAAAAAATCACTAAGAAGGAAAAAATAAACTGTGGAAATTGTGAACTCAGAAAAGCGCCACAAAAGACAAGGAGAAACCAAAATTTACAAGCAACTTGAATGCAAAAAGAACATAACTGAAATGCTTAGAAATTAATAAAATATCAACCTTATTTGCTGTACTTAAAACAAAAGCACGATGAATAAAAAGTATAAATTGTTAGCACATGCTTTAACAGAGAAAAAAACTACAGTCAGCAATACCTCTGATGAAAACCGAAGAGGGAGATCAAATCTGGGGCACAAAAGAGATAGGAGCACATTTTAGGAAATACTTTGAAAAATGAGATTCAAGAGACTTTCTCCTCGTCTAAAAGGTTAGTCAGTATCTCAGAGTGCATCTACACTGCGGAATTAATGCAGTTTGTCACCATGACTTGGTGCTATGGAATTATTGTAGTTTTATAAGGTCTTTAGTTTTCTCTCTCAAAAAGCGATGGTGCCTCACCAAAGTAGGATTCCACAGCATTAAGCTATGGCAGTTAGAATGCTGTCAAATTGCATTAATTCCGCAGAGTAGATACACCCTCTGTAACTTGCAAATTCCTAAAATCAATGAAAATTGTCAAAACATGTACATTCCCGTCTAAATAGAAGAAATAAATTATGCAACTGGTAGAATGAAATAAGCAGGTACTCGTGGTTTTATTGATGATTTTGATAAGAAATAGTGATACTAAAGCAGTGGTTCTCAACCTGTGGGTCCCCAGGTGTTTTGGCCTACAACTCCCAGAAATCCCAGCCAGTTTACCAGCTGTTAGGATTTCTGGGAGTTGAAGGACAAAACATCTGGGAACCCACCGGTTGAGAACGACTATAGCAACCCTCATAAATCTGAATTTTAGAGACCAATATAATTGACACATTAAATGGTCAAAAGATTCATTTAAATCAAGAATGGGAAACTTTGGCCCTCCAGGTGTTTTGGACTTTGACTCCTGCAATTCCCAACAGCCAGCAGTCATAGTCCAAAACACCTGGAGGGCCGAAGTTTGCCCATGCCTGATCTAAATCATGGCATCATGACTTAATAAATTCATAGTAAGCTGCATTAAAGCTGATCTAACAGGTTTCATGCCCAGAAGACAGATTTCAGACTGCATCAGACGCATGCAATAAACATCTGAAAACAATCTAACTTTTAAAACAAATGCAAAAGAGATGTTACTTGAAACAGCCATATTCCCGTATGTGGTGGAATTGCTCAGTACTTTCAGCATTTTAAAGAAAAGTGTTTCAAGAAATGTGTGAGATAGCAAACCAAAATATGCAACACTTCCTAAAACCTTGCATGACCAAACATTTTCTCAGGCCTGGACTTCCACAGACAACATAAATGCCTCATTTCTTGATTGCTGTTAACAGTCAGACAAGTTGCAGCATGCCAGAGAAAACTCACAGGACATGTCTACATAGTACACAAAGATACTGGGCATTGCCTTATTGGAGAAATTAAAACCAAGAGTTCAGAAGTGAAGAAATGTACCAGACATGGACAATTTTATTGATGCTTGGTTTCATTTTGTCATATCAATATAAAGAAGTATCCTAGAAAATAAGCTCCAGTTTCTCATGGATAAAATTAGGACAATACCCTTGACTAGCATAAATGTGATCACAGAATAATGTCATTGTGAAGGGAGCCTTTACAAAGGCACCCAGGAAGCAATGGTTGAGCTCTAACTCTTAAAACATCTAGAGTCTTTTGCAAGATGTTGAAAAGATGCTGCTGACAGAGATCAAAGAATCCAGAATTTAGGGTTTTGATGCCAAGAATCATAGGGCCTTAACCAACAGGTTTTAGGATGCATCAAATGATCATCTGGTCACTTGTGAATCAAAAGACAGGTTGCAAAACATTTTGTTTCTGATTTGCATGATGCCCAGGTTTCAAAATGCATTTGGCCTTTCACACCTCTGTGCTAAAATTTTGCAAGATTCACGCAATTGATTGATATAGTCTCTCTCAGACTTTCAGTGAGACTCTAAGGCCAGATTTTTCCAGTCAACTTCCAGGACAACTCCATGGTCAACTTCCTGTGGATCATACTAGAAGCTACAGAGATCCCTAGAGGGATGTTCTTACAAGTTTAAAAAAAGTGGATTTTCATTTGTAGTTTTTAAAATTTCATGGGAATCCTGTGGTCCAACTCCAGTTAATGTGGAGAGCCTACTGTACTCTTAAAATCAATTTGCTAGCACTATGTCATTAAATGCACGAGTTAACAATGTCATTTCACGTAATAGTTGAATACTACATAATCTTCATGCAAGAAAAAAAAATTAATGTTTAATTGATAGCTACTCATTTCAGTAATTTTAAATGTTTCCTTAATTTAATAACTTAATTTATGAATTGCTCCCCACAGTTTGCATGAGCAAATTTAGGATTTTTGTTTTCTCCAACATTTTACAGGGGCATTAGTGTTGCAAGATCTTGCTCATGCTTTGAGAAAGAATTCTTTTGATAAGATAACCAAGCTTATCTGTACCATTTAAAGCAGTTGTGGGCCAGGGGCCAAGTGTCAATCTAAGACAACCTCTCCAGCCAATGCTGATCAAAGAATAGCATTGGAGCACCTAGAGATTCCTAGAGAGGTGATCTCTCAAATTAAAATGATGTATTTTTAAAAATTCTCTTTTTTCCCTACTGTCATGGCCATATTGCAAAACTGCAGGGCCTACTGTTTAACTGATTGAAAACTTTCTTTATAAATCCTTGGAAGAACAGAAATTGAGTCTGAGGTCAGGACAGAAGGAGAGCAAAATCAACTCCAGAGCACTGTGGGAGCTTGCGGAAAAGCAAATTAGTTTTTGAAAATGAGCCCTTAGCATCATGCGAACATTATAGAAGACGCAGAATATTTTCTTATTGGAAAAAGATCAAAGTTCAGAAGTGTTATTTGTGTGTGTGTGCAGTCAACATGAATGCCACTAAAAAAGCAAACTTCTGAGAAAAAGATACGTCAGGCTCCTTTGCTATCAGATTCCACTGATCTGACCCTATCAAACAAACCAAGGCGAGGGGGGGGAGTGTCACTGAAAGGCTAAGAAAATATGTCTCCTCCGGGAGCCACTTCAGAGAAAAATATTTCAGCAGCCAAAGAAATCTGTAATGTCAAAGAATCATTCCAACAACAGTGAAGCCAAGGATGGATTATGTATAACAGGATCAAAAGCAGTGGAAAGAACTACAGGAGTTTTCCAGTGCAGACATGGTCCAAGAGCCATCAAGTCACTTAAGATTTGTTCTCTTCCCCCAACCTGACCTTCTGGATTCCTTTGCAAACACAGGATGCATCTACACTGTAGTTTGATACCACCTTGGCTCAATGCATTGCTATGGAATCATGGGATTTCTAGCTTGGTGAGGCGCTACACACTTTGACAGAGGAGACTAAAGATCTTGTAAAACTACAAAACCCTATGATTCCATAGCACTGAACCATGAAAATTAAAGCTGTATCAAAGTACATTAATCCTACAGAGTAGATGCACCCATAGGACTACAAAGTTGGAAGAGACCACAAGGACCATCCAGTCCATGCAGAAAGACAAAATCAAAGTCCTCCCGATAGATGCCCATCCAGCCTATGCTTGAAATGGCATAAGTAGAGAAGTTAGATCTTGCTTTTTCTGATGCTGAGCTCTGTTCTGTTTGGTATTTGTTCTATCTTCTGGCCCCTTTCCATGTTGTGCAGCATGTTACACAATGAGGCCAAAGTTACAATGGCTGCCCTATTGCCTCTGTGCTTTAGCACCAGGGGGCATCTGGGTGCGGTTCTCTAATTGAGATGTACAAGTTTTAATAGCCATGGCTTTGGGATTAAGAGAAAAGAATAGCCCACCCCCAAGATATAATCTTCCACTGAAGGAGAATGGATAAATCTGTAATGCTGCCAAAAGAAAAACTGCTACTCCTTTTGAGGAAAGTGATTGGAACGTTCCTGCTAAAAACCCTCTCTTCAAGCAGTAAGTTGCCTGGTGTCAATGGCAGCATGCAATACATATTTTGAAATGCACAAAAAGAGGAAGTTGTCCTCTGACTCATTGTGAAAAAAACAAACAAACCCAAAGGAAGCCAGGCACAACTGAATTGGCCCAACTACAGTGCCAAAGCAAACTCTATTACTTATTTCACTAACTTGGCTACACAAACATCATACAACGTTTCTTGAAATAATACGCAGCACTACAGAGTTCGCATGTAACAAGACAGGGCACACTACTATGAAATCAGCAGAAATTCACGTTTCTACCAGACCACATGCTGACAATTCCTTAAACGAATATGAAAAGGAACTCTAAATGCTAAATCTCTGGCTTTACCGAGCATATCCACCCAGCTGTAGTCCATGATACATTACACTCCAACGACGACAACAAAAACAATGACAACAACAATGGCCTGAAAAGGAGATGGTGTCAGAACAGGAAACCTGAAGTGTCAGGCCTTACTGAAACAACTACTTGAATCACAGCCAATGCTTTTATTTAAATGTAGCCCCTGAAAATGAGCCCCAAATGCTCAAAATAGAGGTATGGCTTGTCTTTCCCACATCTATTTTCCTTGCAACAGTGCAACATTTTTGTGGGACAGCTTTTTCCAGTCTGATGAGCAAAGAACAACATAATGTAGGATGAAACAAGTATCATGTATGGTTACCTGATATTCAGAAATGTTAATGACTGCAGGTTGAGAATGGCTTCTGGAATATAGCGAATGCAATTCTGGTACAGATTAAGGCTCTCGAGGGAAACAAAGAGGCAAGCTTCTGCAGGCAGCTCCGTGAGTCTGTTCCGTGACAAATCTGAAAGAGAGGCAACGTACAGAGTGAGGCAGAATGCAGTGAGATGAACGGAGTACACTCCACCGCAGAATGGAAGGCAAACAGGATGTATGTGGCTAAGAAATCTGTACTTTGCAAATGGCAGCCAAGAAGGATAATAAGAGTGACTCAATATTGTAGACTGTCTAAGCCAACTGCCAAACTCCTTCAAAACCATACTCTTTTCATCAAAACAACAATATTTAACTGTGACAGTCAGTTTTTAAAAATAGTTTCACATGTTTTCTAAACTGTGGGGAGGATGGCTGAAAAAAAACATTTCAGAGAACCATGAGCAACAGCAAAAAGCAATTACAAAAAAGGAATGTAACAGCTCATATGTGCACAGCTTTTGTATGTGCATGCAGCAACAGAATAAAATCATCTTTGATACAGAAATACTTGGAAGGCAACTCCTTCTGTACACTCTGCAGAGAAGTAGGAATTCCCTGCCTGACTGGGTCTGGCAGAAGGAGGTTCCACTGATAACAAACAGGAGAGTGCAGAAAGAAGCAGCTATAGCCATGGAAAGAATATCATATAGCTGTGCATGTGCCACTACTGGAATTAGGCTGATTTGTACTGATCTGGTATCTCGTGTGTGGTAGCAGAAGTCTTGCAAACATCTGCAACAATGGCATGCACTTTACCCATTTTTTGCAGCAGTAAGCCTGGCCATGAATATCCTGAGCCCGGTCTGGCAACTGTATGACGAGAATCTGGGGTTCAGGGTCAGAAAGGATCCCAAGGGATCAAGTTCTACCTCAACGAAGGAAACCCACTGCATGTCTTTGGATGAGTCAAACAGCTTCAGTGAAAGGCTAAGCCAAACCTCCCTTTGAAAAGATCCTGCCAAGAAAACCCGACAGTAGTGCCATAATAGGATTGTCAGAAGTTGGAAACAACTTGAAGGTACCCGACAAGAACAACCAATTATTTTACTTGATCAGGATACTATGATTCTGGGGATGCGTGTTAGAACAGCACCAGATTTTCTGGTTTCCTCATCATACGGCTGATTCATGTTCATCTTGTGGTCTATGAAGACCTCTGATTCTTTTACCATGTACTGCTACCAAGCAGGATTCACCCATTCTGTGTTTGTCATCTTATTTTTCCTGCCTAGACATAGTACTCCCACTCAGGCACGAAAATGCACTGGGTGACCTAGGGTAAGTAGTACAAGCTCAGCCTAGGAAAACCTCACACAGGACAGCCTTAGTCTCACCAGTAGTCAGAAATGACTTGAAGACACACAACAACTACATAGTAGGGGGACACAGAAAGAGCCTCCTTGAAGAATGAATCAATACAGTCAGGCATCCCCTGGGCAACAGTTCTTGCAAACAGCTAATCTTTCCAAACCCAAAAGCATTGCTTTTAAACATTTTAAATAAATACACTATATAGTAGATACATGACGTTCACATTCTCCTCAGTTTCTTGTTTTCACTTTCCATCCCACCATCCTTCTTAGTTATCTATGCCCATAGTTAGTCCTGTGTGAATGCAGTGAGACAGATTTCTTGGTCACAAAGCCCTGCAAAAAAACCATGCACACTGATGAAATAAGAAGTCCAGTAAACATTTAAACCCTTTATCATTTGTCCTGTTTCTTCTCTTTCCCAGATCTACTAACCAAATCCATGTGACCAAAACGGCTGTCCTTTTTCTTGAACAACAGTATACACCTTTGAATAGGTACCCCATTTAGAAGAGAAGCTACAAAAGACATCTATGGTATCTAACACATCTCTTAATATTATTATTATTATTATTATTATTATTATTATTATTATTATTATTATAACTTTATTTGTACCCCGCTAGCATCTCCCCAAGGGATTCGATGCGGCTTACATAGGTCGAAGCCCCAAAACACAATACAACAATACAATAACCATAGCAAATTAAAAACAGTTAAGCAGAAAACAATAACGATAAACAATACAACAAGACACTAATAATAATAATAATAATAATAATAATAATAATAATAATAATACAAAGCAAAACTATCAGTCAGTCTGAGCCCTAAGACTATCCTCCAGCAGAAGTTTTCAAACTACCTGATATTTCAGTACAGTCCTTTCTTTCCCATTGTGTCATGGATTTGAATGATATTTATGACTTATTATTATTATTTGAAATGCAACAAGATGAGTCCACAGCAGACACTCTCCTGGCTGTTGAATTGGATCACATGTCGGACACTTCCCAAGTGTCTAGGACTGTGTGATGTATTGGCGAATAATGCGTGCAGATCCCAGTAAGGTGGCCTTTTGCAGATGGTAACTTTGTCAGCAGCAATTGTGTTTAAGTACAGGCCAAGGTCTTTAGGCACTGCACCCAGTGTGCCAATCACCACTGGAACCACCTTGACTGGCTTGTGCCAGAGTCTTTGCGGCTCGATCTTTAAATCCTCTTATTGTGTCAGCTTTTCCAGTTGTTTCTCTTCAATCCTGCTGTCAACTGGGATTGCAACATCGACAATCCATGCTTTGTTTTTTAACAGATTGTGAGGTCAGCAGTATTGTGCTCCAGAACTCTGTCTGAATTCGGAAGTCCCAGAGGAGTTTGACGTGTTCGTTTTCTGTAACTTTTTCCGGCTTGTGATCCTACCAGTTCTTTGTCACAGGCAGATGGTATTTGTGACACAGGTTCCAATGCATCATCTGAGCAACGGTGTTATGCCTCTTCTTGTAGTCTGTCTGCGCGATCTTCTTGCAGCAGCTGAGGATGTGACCTATTGTTTCATTTGCTTCCGTGAAAAGTCTACATTTGGGATCTGTCGTCGACTTTTCAATTCTGGCTTTGATGGCATTGTTTCTAATGGCTTGTTGTTGTTGTTGTTATTAGTTCACTTGCACAGTTTCTTGGAAGCCTGTTGTGGACTGCTAGTCAATGGCTTGTAGACTGGTAAAGTTTCAAAGACCACTGCTTCTACTGACCTAGAAAATGATCAATTTTGGGATCCTGTCACCAGAGTAAATTTAAGAACAAATTCTATTTGATCTTGGAAATATGATTTTCTCATTCTCTCCTTCGCAAATCTCACACTCAACGTGGGAAGCATCTGATCTGACTTTGCCTTCCTCTTTAGTGTTGCAAGCACCAAAATAAGGTCCCTTGTAATAAATGCTGCCAAGTTCCAAGCTTGGAGGATTTCCTGAACAAAAGAGTAGGATGATCTCATGCCTTCCTCCTTGCTGACCATGGCAGAAATATCTTTTGACCTGGATTTATTTTAAAACCACAAGATTTAGCCCTCCTGTGAAATAATACCACTCCTCCTGACCACAAATCGTCCTTTAAAAGAAATGCTTAGCTCTTTCCATCCCCAACTGGCATCAATCCAGCTATGGATATTACTATGAAAGCCGCCCCTTGTAAAATTGGATGGAGCACTGAACCTGTCCTTTCCCAGGGAGGATCAAACGGGTACACTCAAAAGGTGAACCCAGCCAACAAAACAAAAATATAAACTGCTATCTAATTTTTGAAAAATTACATTATTGTACATATTTATTCAATCTCTTATAAAAGAACGTTCCACATATTTATGGTATTGGTATGAAATGCCCTGTTTGTGCCATAGCACATGTGCTAGAAGTTAGCTCTTACTGCTATATGTTATTCAGTGTTATTCATTTTCAAACCCTCCATATAGAAGATCCGGAGGACGGGGAGGCGGGGTCGCAGTGGTCTATAGAGATTCCATCCATCTGACCAGGAGTCCCATCCCGCAGACCACAAATTTTGAATGCGTCCACCTGAGGGTGGGTGACCGGGACAGAATAGGGATTCTGTTAGTGTACCGTCCACCTCGCTGCACTACAGTCTCCCTACCTGAGCTAGCGGGGGTAGTCTCGAGCCTGCCGTTGGAGTCTCAACGGCTTCTTGTGCTGGGAGACTTCAATATCCATGCCGAGGCGACCCTCACAGGAGCGGCTCAGGACTTCATGTCTGCCATGGCAACCATGGGGCTGTCCCAACAAATATCTGGCCCCACCCACTGTGCTGGACTTGGTTTTCTGCCAGGGATGGGAGCAGGGTGGCGGTGTGGAGGAGTTGACCACTTCCTGATCAGATTTAGGCTCCCTGCGCCCCCTAACCTCTGCAAAGGTGGAGGACCCATTAAGATGGTCCGACCCAGGAGGCTTATGGATCCGAATGGATTCCTGACGGCTCTTGGGGATTTTCCCGCCACCTCGGTAGGTGACCATGTCGAGGCCTTGGTCGCTCTCTGGAATGGGGAGATGGACAGGGCAATTGACATGATCGCTCCGGAACGTCCCCTCTCAAGTAGCCGAGCTAAACCAGCTCCTTGGTTTACTGAGGAGCTGGCAGTGATGAAGCGAAGGAAGAGGGAACTAGAGAGCGTGTGGCGTTCGGATCCGAGCGAGTCAAATCGAACACGGTTTGTGTCCTTCCTAAGGGCATATGCCGCGGCAATAAAAGCCGCAAAGAAAACTTTCTTTGCGGCCACTATTGCGTCTGCAAGGAACCGTCCGGCGGAGTTGTTCCGGATTGTCAGAGGTCTTTTAACTCCCGCCACCTCAGGCGGGAGCCCTGACAATTCGGCCACACGCTGTGAAGCATTTGCTCGGTTCTTTGCAGACAAAGTCGCCTTGATCCGCTCTGGTCTGGACACCATGTTAAATGCAGTCTCTGAGGATGTGACACGAGCACCTGCTTGTCCTATTTTGATGGATTCTTTTCAGTTTGTGAAGCCCGAGGATGTGGACAAGATACTTGGAGGAATGAGGCCCACCACGTCCATCCTAGACCCCTGCCCATCCTGGCTTCTGAAGGAGGCCAGAGGGGGATTGGCTGAGTGGGTAACGGTGGTGGTTAATGCCTCCCTTCGGGAAGGCAAAGTTCCAGCGAGCTTAAAACAAGCTATTATAAAACCGCTGTTGAAGAAACCATCACTGGACCCCACTAAATTTGACAACTTTCGGCCTGTTTCCAATCTCCCC